TTTCAAGACAAGTTCTGCTCTTGTGCTGGGGCAGTCTTCAGGCTTGATAGCGCCTGCATTAACGCCACCTGTTAGGCTATTACCGAACACATGGCTTGTGCGTTTATCAAGTATGGAATCAACGTGTTGCCTTGGATAGGTATCAGTTCCAACATTTGGCAAACAATGGGGTGCACTACTAGCTAGCGTCGACGACCAAGACGCGAACCACTAATGCCCTATCGAAGTTGAGACGACAATTATGCGCTACAGCAGCAGGCCAACGTTGCACAAGATACCTGACAGCATTCTCATTTCACGGATCACTTCAAGAAAGCACATGTCGCGCCTGGACTGGAAACGGCAGTAAAAGCTCCACGCCCTTGGACTACTTCTGTGTGAACTTACAACCAACACTGGGCCAGCAGTGACGAGCCATAGTATTGATTAACTTGGCACAATGCTCTGCATCGACGATCTTGTACATGGCTAAATCTTTGCGCAATCACTTTCCCAAGGTTTGGTCCTCTACCTTGCCAACAAAATTCTACTTAGTAGCTTGGCCAAACTCTCTGACGGCTAGGCTGTAAAGCCAGGTGACAGTTGTCTTTTCGGGTTATCAACGAGCACCCGTTTTCTGTCCGTCATCAACATTTCACCGCGATCATGCACGCTATACTAGTAAGAACAAGAACTCACTACTTTGTGCGGGGAGATCCTAGTAACACATCATCCGCTGGGCCAGGCCGGAGGCTTCGCCCTAATAACTTCTAGCCAGACAGCATGGCAGCGGTGGCGGCGAGCGACTGGCCATCTGGTCTAGATTAGCAGCGATCCCCCGCCTCTTGTTACTGGACTATTTGCCAGACCATCAACGCGATGCGTCTGCGTCAAGGCGTCCCGAGAGTTGCTGAGCCCACTCTCTTTCTTGGCCATACCAGTAAGTGTTTCTGTCGCAGTCTATGGCTCCAGCCGCGTTCACTGTTACTGGCCAACCTGGTCGAGGCCAGGGTGCGCGGTCACAAGAGAGGAAGTCTTACCGCTTAATGCTTCGACGCCAGCCCGAAGGAACGGCGCGATATAAGGCAGCACCTCGTACGTTGATAGTATGTCAACTGACATCAAATGAGATGGTTCGGGGCATTTATCATCGTCTTTGCTAGCTACCCGACGAATAGTTCAACTCTGTTCTGATGGCTGGACAAGTCTGTCTCTTTCTTACCAGCTTTTATTAGCCCCAGATCACTGACAACTGGGACGGAGCAGGTCAGATGGCACTAATAACAGCGCTTGTCAGGAACGAGACGAGCCCGACGAGACAAGAAGCGTTGATTACCATTACCCTCCAGCTTCCCCAGACTTTTGAGACGGCGCGGTAAGATGGGTGCGCAAGCAAATCAACGACAGAGACATGCAGAACACACATCAGGCTTCTGTCCTCGTCAGGCGATGATGGAGGATGGGCATGAAGACAAATAGTACGAATTACGCCTGCCAGGCAATGTATGTTTGGGCAGCCGTCGGACCCCCGAGCTCAGTGGCTCGACACACCCCCCTCGACGTGAACGAACCTGGTCTGCATGGTGCCCAGAACTGGCCAGCCATCACTCTTGTTTTAGACAGCGACATATACTGACACATGGGTTGCAGACGAGTGCAACGTTCTGCGGCCACATTACCCATTGCTGACCCTTGACGACCTGCCGTCCATGGGACAGCCAAAGACAACTCATACAGATATACGCTACTCCGTACCTCAGAAGCAATAGCTAGCCGTACTGCCACCCCATGTAGGCTGGCTTAAGCGGGTACGAATTGCCTCAGGACAAGTTCCGTTGGTGATTAACGCTCCAGAGGTCTTAAACTGATTTCACATTTAATAGCAATTAAGGCTTCTCGATCACCCACAAGAAAGATGGTCGATGATGCTCATATTATCACTATCCGACGAATTTCGGACGGCCGTTACCCAGTTGGTGCCCGCCAGCAGAAGCAGCAGTTCACTAATCTCGGAAGAGACAGCCAGGATGGGTAGGAGAGGGGTGGTGCCAACATTGCTGCTGGCATTTGAGCGCTGAATGCAGCGAGACCAAGGCGGTGATTTGCGGCGCTCAACTCCCGTGATTATTGGCTAGTGCCTTGGTCAGGCAGGCTCCTGCGGACCCCAGCCGAAGGCCTGGCCCATCGACTCCAACAGGCGTCAGGGCGAAATGACGGCTCGAGCTGGTGGTGCAGCTGCAGCTGCAGCTACCAGTACATGTGCATCCGTACGACGCACGCACACACTGGAGCAGGACAATCTTGCAGTACGCGCCATTATTAGCAGAAGGAAGACTCTGTACATGCGATGGGGTCAACAGGGATGCGTTGACTGTTGGACTTGGGGTGGTTGAAGCGCGTTTTCTGCTGACGATGAGGCTGGCTGGCGTTTCCAGGAACTCCTTAGGCTGTGCATGGCTACTAGTCGCCAGCCACTTGGTCAAACTGCCCTTGAGAAAGGTCACGACAGCTTCTGGCAGACATCAATGACAATCAAAGACACTTGGAATTACAGCTCAGGAGTCAACGACACAAGCCATGCACGCCGCCAGAGTGTCTATGTGGTTTTGAAGGCGATTCATTCAGTTGCGCCAGACAACTTTATACATGACGCTAAGAAATGCCAACTGTTGTCTATTAGCCACAAAGCAGAGGTCCAGTACAGGGCTGCGTTTTTCGGACATTCGTCTGCCTGTCAACAGGCTGGGTCTGGGGATACAATATACTGATGACCCGCGTTCTCCAAGTGCATCGGAAGACAACTTCCAAGAGGCAGGAGAGGTCGTACGGGGCACGGCAAACGCATTGAGCATGGCCAAGGGCACTCAGATGGCAACCTGGCGCGCGTGGAGAAGGGAAATTGAAAGCCACAGACGCGAAGGAGGCTCTTGTACACGTCAAGAGAACGCCACAACATGGAAAGCTGCAGCCGGCCCCTCGTGTCGTGGCCAGAGGTTGAAGCGGAAAGGGCTCCTCCAAGAGGCCACTTGTGACATTCTATACCAGCCAGCCAGCTAGGCGTTTTGATGAAGTGGTGTGCATACCTGTGGATGGCGTTCGCAAGACACGTTGGAGCGAGCAACATGACAGCCTGCGTGTTGCATGCGTCCACCCCAACAGTCACTTGTTGGGGGCTTCTATCCTTGGCCCTGTTATCTCGCAAGAAAGCACTGGCAGTTCAACTTGGAAGAGAGGAGCGTGTCCACCACAATCCCTGACAACACTCCTGTTTTTTGCTGGAGTATCGTCTTATTGCAAGTATCTTATTGTTCTGGGCCGACCCCCTCCCCTCATCAGCATGAAAAACCCTCCGCCCCTCTCCCCTCCCGTGTACTGTACCATTTTCCACATGAGGAAAGGTCCTCCGTGCCCCCAGCAGGCAAATCCTCTTTGTTTGATTTTATTTTCTCAATTATCGGCAAGGCTCCCCTCCTCGTCATTCATCCCTGGAAGAAAAACACCTTGACATTGCGGAGAGTGCAGAAAGCGCTAGCAATGTTGACCACACCACCCAGCCAAGTCGGCCCGGCGCCATCCTCTCCCTACGAAATGATCAGACACACCCACGACTTTGGCTCGAGGATTTCCGGGCAGACGTGCTAGCCTGCTAGCCTAGAGTAGGGAGTTTGCCCATTGTTCTCGTCCTCTATCTATACTGTTGCTATTCTGCGTGGGCTAAGCCCTACAGATATTAAAAACGGCGTTTTTCGTTCCCTTTGTCCGCGGCGCTGGGCTATGGAATTTTGGGGCGAGAAGACGACAGGACAGCCAAGACAACAAGTTTATTGATGACTGCTATATATGCAGCAGCATCTGTCAAGGTGAGGTAATGACGCCATGGATCTTTTGCTGCGCGAGACGTGCACTTTTGCTCTTGAACCTTTTTTTCCTCGGCATTTCCTCTCCTCTGTCTCGCTCTCCCGCGTCGGGTAGAACCCACCAGCTTTTTGTTCCAGCACTGCAGGATCTCGGATGCACGTCGCCACGCGCCAAGTTGTTCTCTCCCCCGCCTTGTTGCTGGAGTGGTGTCGTGTCAAGTTTTGGTCGTGACGCGAGAAAGTTAGCTCCCGGGTAGCTACCGGCGGCTAACTTTGCGTAGTACAAGAACAACCCATGATGCCGACATGCGAGGACAAGAAGAGCCGGCCAAAAGTTGTGCAACGTCAGTCGGGACGACGACTGGTTAGCTCGTCGTCGCTGCCTCGTTTTGGCAACTGGCGCTTGTTGTGAGAGGGGAATCTCTGAGAACAAAATGCGCAAGGTCACGTAGATGCGGGAAACAAAATTGCACGACGGGCATAGACAGGGTGGCAGGGCTTCGTTTTATGAGGTGCCAATCACCCATCCTCAAGGATGAGATGACGGCAACAAGCGAGCAAGGCTGGTTCTTGTCGCGTTCTCGCGTATCCAACGAACTTTTTGAACAGAGCATGTCACCGTGCAGGTACAAGATGTCACCACCATCACCATCACCCCAAAACTTTAGGATTTCATATTTTCGTGTAGTGGATGTCGTTTTTTATTATCAATCTGCGTGTACCTTGACATCTAAAAAGAGAAGGAGCAAAAATGCAAACCGGGCAAGCCAAGCATTCCAAGCCCCAGGCGGACTCTCCTCCCACGAGCCGGCCTGATTCCACCTCCAACAACATGCAGCACAAGATCAAGGTGAGAGACAAGGCCGAGCAGCGAGTAAATGAAATGATGATCAGATTCATGAAATCAATACTCACGAGCTTCTTGCTCGGCAAATAGTCTAGTGAATTACTTAAAGAGAAAAATGTGAAGACAAAACGATGAAAATCAGTCCGTGACCTCTATCAAACGCCGGGTGAGCAAGCCTCGACTGGCTCGTTTTCTTTACCGTCATGTAGTGCGCCGTGTGTGAGCCTAGATACTTTTGGATTTTGGAGCAATAAGAGCAATGGTGAATGTCGTCAGACGACTCGTCAGCATCAGATGTGTGCTACGTTGCGCAGTCTTTACCAGCGACGGTTGCGCAGCGGCTGGTTGTTGGCATTGTTACCACCTGCTCAGGTCGTCGTCAGAATTGTCGTCTTGTCCAAAATCCTTTACCAGCGTCGGCGGAACCCACCTCGACCACCACCACGGCCGCGTCCCCAACCACCATAGCCACGACCGCCGCCACCGCCACCGAAGCGAGCCATCTCAGCCAGACGAGGGTCAATCTGCTGCTTCGCCTCCTGAAGAACATTGACAAGCTCACGAGCCTGCTTTTGGTCTATCATCATGTTAGTACATCCTCATTCTTGCTCTGCCAGGGCATTGACAACTTACTGTCAGTGGTGAAGAATGTAATGGCGGTACCGTTGGCACCAGCACGACCGGTACGACCAATACGGTGGATGTAGTCCTCCGAGTTATTGGGATAATCGTAGTTCAGCACATGAGTGATGTTACGAACGTCTTTGCAAAAGAAAGGCGATATGTTAGCAGTCGAAAGCACACGCAGGCGTGTTACAGCAACAAGTTATTCCAGCGCTTAAAGTGCGACGTCGTGCAGACAGCTGCCACAGCTCTAGATGGTGTTGGCTAGGTGCGTCGGCCAGTCTGCAGATGCGTCATCCCGTTTTGCTAAAAGCGAAGGGGCGTGGGGGCAATCCAATTGCGGGTTGTATGCAAATTTCCAGTCCTGGAGAATACGAATGCAGTCACAGGTCGTCCTCGGAGATCAGGGAGTCTAGGCAGACAACAAACTTGATCAGGGTCAAGAGATGCCAACCTCCACACTCATACCACAATGAGACAAAAAGGTACAAGGGTGGAGTACGAGCATAGCCGTCGCGCGGCTACACTGCGAATCGAGACTCCAAGCAATGAGAACCACGTGGATCCGGTCATTCCAGGCAATTGCGCGCAGTAAAGATAGCCCCTAGACACACGAGAGTAAAGTATAGCACATGTTTCGCTGGAAGTTGCCATAAGAGGGGGGGAAGGGGGGGCATGATACTCACCAATACCACGCGAAGCCACGTCAGTGGCCACCATGATGGGGCTCTTGTTGGTCTTGAACTGGTCAAGGACCCAATCACGTTCGTTTTGCTGCTTGTCGCCGTGAATGGATAGTGCAGGCCAGCCGTCCTGGCGGAGGAATCGAGTAATGTCGTCGGCGACACGCTTGGTGCCAACAAAGATGAGGATCTTGTTCTCCTTGTTGTCCATGACCTTCTCGAGATGCTTGATCATGCGATCGCGCTTCTCCATGTCGGTGACAACCTCGACGATCTGGGTAATTCTGTGGTTGGCAGCGAGGTCCATGGAACCAATGTTGACCTGGATGAAGTCCTGGAGGAAGTCGGAAGCCATGGCGCGGACCTCCTTGGGCCAGGTGGCAGACCACATGAGAGTCTGACGGTCGGGGCGAATCTGCTCAATAATCTTGCGAATCTGGGGCTCGAAACCCATGTCAAGCATGCGATCGGCCTCATCGAGGACGAGATAGGTAACGCGGCGCAAGTTGGTCTTGCCAGCCTCAAGCATGTCGATCAGACGACCAGGAGTGGCAATGCAGACCTCGACACCGCGGGAGAGGTCACGAATCTGAGGGCCCTTGGGGACACCACCGTAGACGCAAGTGTTGCGGATACGTGAAGAGCGGCCAAACTTGGTGATTTCCTGCTGAATCTGAACAGCAAGTTCTCGAGTGGGGGCGAGAACGAGAACAATAGGACCATCGCCGGGGGCAAGAAGGGGCTGGGCATTGATGTGGACAATGGCGGGAAGACAGTACGTAAGCGTCTTGCCGGAACCAGTCTCGGCAATACCGACAACATCACGACCGGAAAGGGCCATGGGCCAACCCTGAGACTGAATGGCAGTGGGGGCAGGGAAGCCCTGTGCCTTGACTTCATCCATAACGTAGCGGGGGAAGCCAGCCTCGTCGAAGGTCTCGACAGGCTTGGGGACATCACAACCAGCAATGGTCATCTGGTGCTTTGTGCGGAAAGCCTGAACCTCGGCGTCGGAGCGGTTGTCCACATCGCTGTTAACCTTGTAGAAGTCCTTCTCGAACTTGGGCAGGGTAGAGAGATCTGTTGAAGAGGGTTAGTAACGTTGACGAAGAAGAAAGCAGCTGACACCAATACATACCCCAATCTTGCTTGCGAAGACCAGCGCCAAGCGCAGACATGCGGTCACCACCACCACCGCCGCCGCCATAGCCACCGCCGCCGTAGCCGCCACCACCACCACCACCGTAGCCGTTGGAACCGCCGTTGGAGTATCCGTTGCTGCGACTGTGGGAAAAGAGTTAGCCAACTGAGCATCTCGCCGACGCATCATGTCTCTTTCGAACTGCCTGTGCAGCCGCCACCGTTGTGTGCTGACGCCAGGGCAGGCAGAAGAGGAAACATCGCCACAGCCTCGTTGCCGCCTGACAAACGGACGTGGGAGACCAGGAAGAGGAAGAGAAAAAAGATGCGAGACTTACCCTCCGCCATAACCACCGCCATAGCCGCCGTTGCGGTCACCGCGATCTTCACGATCACGTCCGTAGCCTCCACGGCCGCCGCCGCCGCCGCCGCCGTAGCCGCCAGAGCGACCGCCGCGATCACCGCCGTAGCTGGACATCTTGTGTTTGGGAAGGGGGGTGCGAGAGTATGTGTTTATCGGGGGGCGATCGAGTGACGTGTCACAAAGTGTAGAGAGAGAAGATCTGAAATGGCCGGGGATGAAAGACTGATGGAAAATCCTGGGCCTCTGCTGCGACGGGAAAAGGAGAGAGATGGATGGGGAGGAAGAGGTGATGATGTCTGGGGGGAGTGTGAAGGGGCTGCGACAAAGATTAACAAAGATTTTTTTTTCCCTTAGCCTGCTTTTTGACGGGCCTTCCGACTTTTTTTATGGGCTGCGCCTGCTTTGACTCGACCGCATTTGCACGGGAAATTTTCGGGCAAGCCAGGAAAAGTGAAACGTATTCTCTAATTGGCCATAAATTGTGGGCCCATGGGTTGGCGTGGGCATTTCTGGGCAACTCACAGATGTCTTGATACCCTGTACTTCGAGAAAATCTCGAAGACATCAGGAATAGCTTCTGTGTGTGTATATTGGATCTATATTGGATCTCACATAAATGACAAACCTTTGCATCTATGCACTCTGCTAATGGGGTTGGCTTTGGCTCTCGTTTTGTGTGGTGAGTCGGACTTCCAGCTTGTTGGTCAGTCGCTTCGACACCATCAGGTAGGTACAATCGAACAGCAGCAATCGTCTCCGACTGGAACACGTGTGGCGACAGGCTGTACAGCAACCCGGGCGGGTAGATTCCGAAGCTAGACACGACCACGGCAGGTAAAGGACTGCACAGAGGCAGCAAACAATGACTAGAACTGATTCGTAGCCGATACAGGTGGCCAACCGGGACGCATGGCGGCGTCTTTTTTCTCTTAATGCTCTGCAAGCCTAGACCCAATTCTATGATACCGAAACAAACAAAAGAACAAAAAGTAATAAAGGATACACGTTATTATACTCCAACACCGGGACTTGAATTCCCACCCTGAAATGCCGTCGTGACCTGGCGGAGGGAGAGAGGATGAGGTGTATGTGATGCCCCCATGTCATCCACCGCCGATTTTTGTCTGGCAAGTTTTCTATTCACGAGAGATGTCGCGACCAAAGGCCTTGGACTTGAGCCAGTCGAGGATGACGAGGACACGGTTGCGAGCTGGGCGTGGTTAGCATGTGACGTGGGATGGAAGTTAGACAGACGGAGATAAAAGAAAAGAGACTTACTGCTAAAGCACATGGAAAGATAGGCGCTTCTCCAGAAGAGGTAGGTCATGCTGCCGCCGGTGGCTAGGTTGCCGTTCCACCAGCTGACGTCGGCGACGGCCTTTTCGCTGCCAATGTAGGCGAGACTGCCCTGGTGAGAGTAGCGGAAGGGCTTGACGTCCTTGATGCGGCGGAGCTGCTTCTCGAGGAGCTCAATCTCCTGGGCGTCCTCGGCGGCGTTGCCCGCCTTGAGGTTCATCTTGCTGCTGAGGTCGTGGATGCGGCCCTCGAGGCTTTCCGTCTTGGCCATGTTGTTGAAGAGGCGGGCGAGGAAGCTGCCCTCCTGGGAGGCGACCTGGGCGGTCGGGGCGTAGCCGGCGACGGCGCAGTCGCCGATGGCCCAGACGTCGCGCGCGCCCTGCACGACGAGGTACTCGTTGACGGCGAGGCCGCGGCGCGAGTCCTTCTGCGCGGGGATGCGCGCCATCATGTCCTTGACGATGGGGCGGACGGCGTTGCCGGTGGCCCAGACGAGGAGGCCGTATGGAATCTCGACGCGCTCCTTGGTGCCGTCGGGCCGGCTGATCTCGGCCTCGACGGTGTTGTCGGTGACCTTCTTGACCATGGTCTTGGTCATGATGTCAATCTTCTCCTCACGCAGGGTGTTTTCGGTGTAGTCGATGAGCTGCTTGGAGAAGGAGGGCAGGACGTTGGGGAGGGCCTCGATGAGGGTGACCTTGAAGCGAGGGCTGATGCCGGGGACGAGCTTCTTGATGTCCTCCTCGAAGAAGTCCTGCAGCTCGCCGGCGAACTCGACGCCGGTGGGGCCACCGCCGACGACGACCATGTGCATGAGGCGGTTCATCTCCTCCTCGGACTGACCGCGCAGGGCGGCGGTCTCGACGCAGTCCATGATCTTCTTGCGGATGCGCTGAGCATCGCCAATCTCCTTGAGGAAGCAGCTGTGCTCGCGGACGCCGGGGATGCCAAAGGTGGCGTTCTCGGCGCCGACGCCGACGACAAGCATGTCGTAGGGGATCTCGGTGGTGCTGGTGGCGCCGCGGACCTCGGAGTTGTCGACGACGGTGATGACCTTGCGCTCGGTGTCGACGTTGGTGGCCTCGGCTTCGTAGTAGTTGGCAGCGCCCTTCTTGTGGCGCAGGATGGCGCGGACGGGCTCCATGATGGAGCGGTGCTCAATCAGGCCGGTGGTACACGAGGGCAGCAGAGGGGTGAAGAGGAAGTAATTGCGGGGAGAGACGACGACGACATTGTAGTTTTCGGTATCGAGGTTCTTGAGAAGGGCGACGGAGCCCCAGCCGGTGCCTATTTTTGGGGGAGGGAGAAGAAATGTTAGTCCGAGGTCGTTGCCGAGCGTCGGAGTAGCCGGAGATGCGTCACATACCTAGGATGACGAGGGTCTTCTTGGAGGGGTCAGGGACAAACTGCTCGCCGGGATTGCGATCATCGTAGATGACATAGGCAGTGTATCCCAGGGTGCCGAGGACGGAGAGGTAGGTGAGGCGCCAGATCCAGCGAAAGGTTGTGCGCAGCTTGCCGGGCCTGGGCTTGGGAGCCTCGTCTGAGTAGGGTCTGCGGAAGGCGATGCGGCCGGTGACGGCGAGTCTCATGGACGGGGAAGGACGGGCGGCGCATCGAGCGGCGATTGACGAGGCGCGGGCAGCCGCGGAGAAGCTTCTGATGGCCATGGGGGTGTTGAGCCGCAGGCCGGGTCGGGCAAGGGCCGCGATAGCTCTCGATGACGAGGCCATGATTCTTGTGTGGCCGTGCGACAAGGGAGGTCGGGGGTTCAATGGAAGGAGAGCGCGGTGCTTCGACGAGATGGCAGAGACTCAGTCGATGGCAAAGGAGGCCACAGCAAGGATGAAGAGGAAGCAAGCGGCGGCGCAATTGGCGCAATGGAACTGGGCTCTCGTTGGAGAGGGAGAGGTTGCGGCAACGGCGAAGAAAAAAAGCGGCGCGAACAAAGTTTTAGCGGCCCGTAGAAGGGGAGAGCTGTTTTTTTTGGTAGTAGCGGAAGCACCTTGACCAGCCACGAGTCAAGCTAGCTGGCTCAATATTGGACCAGAAAAACCGAAAGAATTCAGAAAAAGAGAGAAGAAAGAGTAGGGCAAAAATTTACTGTTGGAGTCAGGCAAACCCACTCTCACGGCACTTGAGCGGTGCTTCTTTTTTTGCCCAAGCCTCCCAGGTGTCGCACTGAAGCTTGTCAAGGCGGGCTCAGCGGGTAGCCCGGACGGGCCTTGGTTCACCTGGCAGCAGTCTCGGTGGCCCTTTACAGCGCCTGTACGGATAGTGGGCGGTGGGCGGGTCTGGCAGGCCTTTGACGCCCTGAAAGGAGAGGAGCCTCGTCTCGGGGTCACCCTGTTGGCTAGACAGGGCCCGCTATAATCTAGCACGGTAAGACGGTTGGTGCGGTTAAGTTAATGACGCAGTGCGCGATAAGACTGGATGGAGATGGAGATGGGGAGGAGGAGAGGAAAAATCAGCTTGAAAATGGAGATAAGGACGGAAAAGGAGGTGAAAGAAGAACGAGGCCAAAGGGAAAAAGGAAAGGCGTACGACACGAGCGTGGTAATTAATATACGCAAACCTAAGGTAGTCTTTCTTGTCTGGTGGAAAGACTCCCTATGGCACCTGTTGGCTGCCCTGGACAAACAATGCCAATTCCTCCTTTCACCTTGCCGCGTTTGAGATAAGACCCTGCCACATCCAGATCTCACAAGCTTGTGATAATCCACCACATCCGTATCCGCCCAGCTGACAGCTCGATGACACATTCCTGCCTCTCGCCCATCTCGGTGCCTCTAATACATTACTCTCCCCTTTCGCCTCGCACCACCCAGCTCGAGCTTGTCAGCCGTACGACCGGCCGACCAACTACTCCCTAATTACCACCACAACTGAACGCCTTGATCCGTGATTCTCCGAACCCGTCCAAATGCTGCGTTGGGCGCCCTCCCGTGCCATTTCGCTCTTCCCGCCTCAACGTCGGGCGCACCAAAACGCCTCCCCCCCGGGAGCTCCCGCGCGCGCTCTGCACATGCCGAGGTGCTCCGAACCCGGACCGCACGCCGCCGTCGGCAGAGATGCCGATGATCTTGGGCCAACCAGATTGCGGGGAGGGCGTTGCCTAATTGCCCCTGTGATTTCTTTGCAACAGAATTCTACGTTGAGCCGCTCGAAAACCACCCATTGGCCCGTGTTCAGCAATCCTCGTGTTCCGATTGGACCGACTGGTGTTGTCTCTGCCTCTTGTCGTTCTGCACCCTTGACTTCTCACAAACGGTGAGAATAAAAGAAAAGATAAAATCTACTCCTCACTAGCACATGATTTGGACCCGCGATCACTTCCTGTTAGCTTGACATGCCCTACTGCTCACATCCCTCCAGCTTCCCGTCCCTCCCCGCGAGCTGCTGCTTCCTGACCTCCTCCGGGTCCGGCATCCCCCCCTCCGCCACCAGCCTCGCCAGCTCCTCCTTGTCCTCCCACATCTCGCAGCGCTCTAGGAACTCCTCCGGCAGGTACGCCGCCACCGCCGGCACGATGTCCTTTGCCTCCACGTCGTAGTACCCGCCGGCCTTCAGGTCCAGCGTGCCCCGCCACAGGTCCATGCCTGGCGGGTAGAAGCCCGCGTGCTCCCAGTCGATCAGCGCTTTCACTTCCAGCGTCTCGTGGTGGACGAGGATGTTGTGCGGCGCCAGGTCGCCGTGCTGGAAGACGTACCCCAGCGTGGCGAGCGGCAGCGTGCGCATGCCGCGGTCGGAGGGGTTGGTGCCGCGCCAGGGGGGGAGAACGTCGGGGCTGAGCCAGCGAGGCGGCATGACGAAGCCGTCGATGCCGCGCTCGCGGGACTTGAGGGTGGCGAGCTGTGGCAGGACGATGTCGTTGACGAAGGCGAGGGCGATGGCGTGGGCGCGCTCGACGCGCGAGGGGTCGTCTTTGATGGTGCTGAGAGGGACGCCATCGATGCGCTCTGTGATGAGATAGCGGCGGCCGTCGGGGTGTATCCCGTGCTCGACCAGGCGGGGCACCGGGATGGTTGTCTCCTTGGCGATGAGCTCCAAGGCCTTGGCCTCGTTTGTGATGCGCTCGTGGTTCCTGTTTGAAGAATGTTAGATCGGGGGGGGTGTCACCTAACGGGGTAAGACTCTGGCACTGCTGACCATGACCGGAACCAAGCGAAGGCAGTGCCGTCAGGTCGCGTCCAGGCAACGGGGAGTCTGGACGTCTTGATGAAGGTCGTGTCGGTCATGGCGTGGACCACGTCCATGCTCTCATCGGTCCATATGATTTGGGTAGACGGGCCCTCGGTAGACGGGACTTGGGTAGACGAGACATCGGTGGAAGGGACTTGGGTAGAAGGGATTTCGGTAGACATGTTTGCGGTCTAAAAGTGAAGAAAAAAGAACAGTTCTCTGAATTTAGCTGACAAGCTTCCTTGCTGACGAGCGGTGATGGTTGTGAGTTGGTGTTGTTGGGAGAGAGAGTAGACGGGCAAAGTTGGGAGGTGCGTCGGGGCCGCCTTTTATCTGCTTCGAGCTCAAAAAGCAAAAAGCTCAGGGCCGCAGAGGGGACAAGGCTCTAAGCAACATGGCCTGCATCAATGGATTGGGGGACAACAATAGTGGGATGTTTGTTTGTGTAGTTTTTGCTTGCGTAACGTGGACAACGCTTGAGAGATGTCGGTATCCGAAAGGCATGTGTGTCTCGGCTGGCGATTACGCTTATCCCAGTGGGATGAGTAGTAGTAGTTTTCATGGAGTAGTGGCAGTAGAACTACAGCAGAAATCTTATGCAAATCAAAAATTTTGATTTACACGAATAATACAACATCTATCTATCTAAATATCCATCCAATGCTGGTCTTGGAGAGACCAACGTCATTGCTTTTCCCTCACAGGCTTGACTGAGTTGATGCCGGGCATAAATCGCGAGCAGACATTCGTAGCGTTATTCTGTTCCCCGAAGTGAATGCCTTTTGCTGCCAAACTTACCCACAGACATAGAATCAACCCGTTATTTCTTCGGTACCGGCGTGAGGCAGCCCAGGCACATCGTGATAGTCGTGGTAAATTTACAACCGCACCGGGAACAGTAGTGGTACTTGACTGGATCCCCCCTATCTGATCTTCTGGGTTAAAAAAGCAGGAAGCGTAGAGAAGAATGTTTCCAAGCTCACAGATATTGGACGACGTCGTAGTCGTGGTAGTTGTCGTGGTGGAGGTGGTAGGAGTCGGCATGGTTGCTGATGTGATGGTTCTGCGGTAGCGAGCGTGGGTTGGGTTGGTTGGGTGATTGGATGGATGAAGAATCTGAAATATTGCTGATTTCGAGTTTATTAAATACTCGGGAGAGCGTGGTCTGGGCATCTCAACGAAGTTTTGGCGCCGAGTGAGGGTTGATCGAGTGCAACTTCTCGAGGCGTACGACAGCCAACAAGATGACGGACGCAATAAACAAGTTTCCTATAAATGAGCATAGTAAGATATTGAAGCTGAGTACTTTGAATCAATATAGTATATTCTGCGTCTGTGGAAAGGCTATCTTGCTGCTTTGGTCGATGGGCTCAGGGTGGGACGATGGCTTCATGTTGGCTACAAGCTGTTGTTCTGGTAGAGTTGGTGGGACTGTTGGCATTCCTCGCTCACACAGTTAAGACTAAGTATTTTAAGTTTTCAGAAGATAGATGAAATAATATCTTTATTACTATGAGACTGTTGCTTTGTACATTGTTCACTCGTGTCTTGCTCAAGTGGTTGCTAGAGTATCACAAGCGTGAAGCGGTGGAGTGGCTTTGTTGGAACAATGATTACGAGTTTCGACTCGGTTGGTAATGCACTGAATTGGAACTGCTGTATTATTCAAATGGCGACGCAAACTTGGGCTTGATGAGAGATATCCCGAGTAGTCGCTGGCTGTCAATGACGGTAGAGGGCGCTCGCGGACGGGGTGCCTTTGTCTAGGTGTTCGCGTACGTTGTACAGTGTCCGTGCCTCGCAAAACGGGGATAATACAATTCCGCTAGAACTGGCGTATTGTATTAAAGAGTTCAAAAACTTGGAATGATTGCACGTCGCTCCGAGCTCAGCGGCATTCTGGTGGTGGGTATCTACCATGCTTGTCACTGTCGGGCTGGAGTGCAATGCTGGCGGCAAGCAGGCAGCCCCATCAGTTGGTACTGCTCTACGGGTACAATCCCGAGCTCCCAATGGAAGCTGCGATTCACAGGCCTGGGATTGGTGAGCCACTATTGGTGCAGCAAGCACAAGGCCCCGACTGAGGGGGCTCGAGGGGCACACAAACCCCCAACCCCAGGTTGGGGCTTTGATGAGAAACTTCAAGCATACTAACATGCAAAGAGTGGCTGGATGTTACCCATAGGGCATTGGGCCGGACAAAAAGAAGGTAAACAACGCTCGCGTCATCAGGATGATGATAGCCAGAGCTTCCTGGTGTTATGTTGGCATTACTGGTACGCATGGGAAACCAACCCCGGGCTTTTGCATGAATGGTCAGTCGAGAGCCGGCGACGCCTCGCGTGTCAAAACCATCAGTTCTGTCAAAAGGGCCAAGTTTTGGTGAAGAAACAGCCAAAAGTTTCCCTAGGGCGAGCTGGTGAGAAACAAGGTGGTGTATATGTTCGGGTGGCGCCTTTACTTGCACGACCAAGGATGGGTGGGCGGGCATAGGGCCAACACACAACAAGTAATGGTATAGACAAAAGTTCCAGCATCTCCGTGTAAGGAGGCGCAGGGCAAAAAAAAAAAAAAAAAGGGAAAAAGAAAAGGAAAGAGAAAAAAAGGAAAATGGAGAAAGGAGAGAGCGGTTTGCTTCATACCCCTGCCCAGTTAGCCTCGCGTCTGCCTCGTGCAGGCTGATACGGGTCGCATGAGATGATGAAACGTCGAGATGCAGCTTCTGCGACGCCCCCGAGTTCCCACCAGCTGGCTGGGCTGGCTTTGTTGGTGTTTAGCCTGCCGGAGCAGTTATGTAGTAGTAGTAGTAGTAGTTGGTTGGTAATTTATTTATTCATTATTAAATACTAGTTATGCAATTCGATTCTTATCGACATGTTTTGGCTTTAGTTCCCTTGACCACGGGGCTGATGTCGCAAGGATCAAAACAGAGGCAACCGCCGGAGGGTTTTCTTAAGTTGGGTAACTAGTGCTGGAACCAAGTCCGGTCTGTCTTGTCAACTGTCATCCATCCATCCATCATCACAACAGAGAGGCGCACCCAACCCAACCCCAGCCCATATCAACTTGGCAATCGTTTCTTTTTTTCAAGCCTCTTTTCCCTTTTTTTTTTTTTCGTTCTTTTTTTTTATCAATTTATTTATTACCCCGTGAAATTGTTTAATCTCCTTGTTCAACTTGTCATCTACATACCATAGTCCTCCCATGTTCCCCCCTCCTCCACCATCGATCATCATCAACCCTCCCCCCTGTCCACTGCCAAACCTCTCCATAGCTCACAACCCATAGCTCATACATGGTCGTCTCAAGTCATGGCCTGGTGGTTTGACGTCCTAACGAGCCCGTCCAAATCGCCGCCTACTGCATAACCTCGCTGCCTCGTGTAACTTGCTGTCCGTCCCCTCCCCCGCCCCTGGATGGGCCATCTATCCATCTATCCATCCATCCATCCATCCATCCATCCATGCCTTGCTTTCCTGCCTTGCTTTCCCTGCCCTCCTGCCCTCCTGCCCTCCTGCCCTCCTGCCCTCCTGCCCAGGCCTCGCGTAGAAATAGAGATGGTCGGATGAGTTGGACTATCCGCAACCGCAACCGGAGCCCCTGGTCCCTTACCCAAGGAGAGTTCCTCCTGCTCCCCGTCTGTGAGGCCTCGCGTAGAAATAGAGATGGTCGGATGAGTTGGACTATCCGCAACCGCAACCGGAGCCCCTGGTCCCTTACCCAAGGAGAGTTCCTCCTGCAGCCACCGTCCGACTAAAGTTGACTGACAGATCCATTCCCTTGTTCGGCAACGGCGCACCCCGTCCACCCGTCAGTCCTCGCTTCCTCTGCAGCTTGACATCCTGCAAACGGCCCCCCCGAAAGCACTCGAGTGTTACAGATTTGATGCGACTTGTATTGCCGCAATAGTTGGTCAAATCTGCCTCGTAAATCTCCTTCCTCCCTTATCACTCATATTGCCTTCTGTTCCTAGATTTTCTTCTTTTGCTTCTTCTCCTCCTTCTCCTTGCCGCCCCTTCTCGAATCTCTTTGTTTCTCGCCCACCATATCCCGATTCGAGTTGTACCAGCCCTGACACAAGTGAAGGAACTCGACAGCTTCTTGGCTGAGTGTTGGCATCTGTGATGCATCTACTCGGCCCTCTCCCAATATAAGCCGCCCTTTCAACCAATGCAAGGATCCCCTCCGGGCTCTTAGTCGCTCGTCCTCTCTCAACATGCCTCCCGCCGACATTGAACAAGCTGCCTACGACCTGTTCCACCCACCCACCGCCCGCTCCTTTCCGGAATGGACCACGGAAGACGACAGTGACGTTGACATTGCCTCCGTCGCCGAGGAGCAGCGCCGCCGCTTCCGCGCCGCCAGCGTCGCAGGCCGACAACAGCGCAGCAGCAGGTACAAGGCGCCGCTGCGCGAGCTGCCGGCCATTCTCACCCGCGGGCGCGTCAGCCAGGAGGCTCATGAGATCCGCGCCGCCCTCGAGGGCCGCAAGGCGGGCCACCACGTCGCCAAGGGACTCGGGGGGCTCCCGGGGCTGGGGGGGCTCGCCGACGCAACGTCCGGCTTCACCCATGTTGCGTCTGAGGCGGCCGGCGCCGTCGCGGATGGCTTTCGCCACTCGGCCGATGCGGCGGAAGAGGCCTTTGCGGATGGCAAGGGTATCGCGGGAGCGGCCGGCGCGGCGGCGGACTCGGTCCACGACGGCTTTCATAAAGGCATCGGCGTCGTAGCCAGTGCCGTCAAAGGTGTGCAAGGTGCCGTTGCCAGTGCCATCGGGGCCACCAGTGAGAGCGAATCCTCGGGTAATGAAAGTACCTCGTCGACGGCATCGACCATATCGACCATATCGACCAAGTCAACGGACGATCCTGCCCCGCAAACTCAACAACCACCGCCTCCCATCTCAACAAACAATCCCCCTCAAGTCTCAGAGGCACCCACGAGCGTGGCTCTTCCTCCTCCTCCTCCTCCTCCTCCCTCTCCTACGCCACAACCGCCACCCCCAGCACCGCCTCAAAAGACAAACACTCCTCCGCCGTCAAGTGAAAAGCCTGATCCTCCCAAACCCACCGACAACCCGCTTGATAATGTACCCCCTCCAAAAGCAGAGCAACCATCCTCGGTGGAAGAGGCGAGCTCCTCAGAATCGGAGTCAGCAACTTCAGTAAGTAGAAATCTCTTGTTGTCCATGAGTGCCGCGGATCCATCTAACAATCGGTAGTCGGAGACTTCCCCAAGGACATCCGCAGAGACCTCGCCCACGTCTTCGGAAGAGGATGCGAAGCTTTCGCTCAGCACCATTGTTCCTGACGCAACTGCGACGACCCAAAGCGGCACCCGCATCATACTCACACCCATAGTGACAAGTTCCCTTCCTGCCATAACATCGGGTGGCAAAAAGGGCACAGCTCCCGAAAAGGAAGCCACCACGCCGGTTGCCGTGGCCCCTGCCCCTACCACATTGTCAACAAGTATCTCGACAACCTCGAGACTTGACAGACCTCCTGCAATCACTCCCAGTAGGCCTGATAGTGATAGAAACGACGGTGGTGGTGGTGGTGGTGGTGGTGGAGGCGGCGGCGGTTCACGTGGCGGGCTCAGCACTGGCGGGCAGGATGCCATCATCTCCATTGCCGTATTATGTATGTACTGGGGAAAATCGAGGGGTGACGAGGATTTCGCTAACAAGATCGCTTAACAGTTGTCGTCATCGCCGTTATTTCACTCGGATACTATTTTTGGCGAAAAGGCAAGAAGCGGATGGACTCTGACCACGGTGGTTCATTCAAAGCCATGATGAGACCGCAGCTCGACAAGGCAAAGAAGGGTCTCACCAAAGTTGCCGACAAGATCCCATATGTCCGCGATAAGCTCTTCAGGAAGGAGAGCTGGGAGAACATCGATGATCCTTACAAGGGTCGGTTCACGGAGAAGATATTCAGTTCCATCAGTTCGGCTGGACCTGCTCCCCCCAAGAAGGACAATGCCAGGCTAGATCCTATCAGAGTGCAGACCACATTTGAACAGAGGAGCTCAATCGCGTCCCAGTTCAATGGCGGGCCTGCCATCGGGGCCACGGTGTCCTCTGTCGGCCTCTCAACCATGGGCGTGTCCACGCTCGGCGTGTCCACGATCGGAGACGTATCTGCTCCAGGACGATCAACAGAGGCAGGGGTCTTTGCAGCGGCGTCTGCCCCGAACCCCAGCATGTCACCATTCGCGGACCCAGGAGACATGGAAGCCCAAGCACCAGCACAAGCACGCAGGGCCTCACAAACGAGGCAGCTAGCCGGCACCACCCACGGCCCGAAGCCGTCGCTGTCCTCCATCACGCCTCAGTACAACCTGACTTTGCTCTCCGCCATGGCAGGAGGCGGGCGCCGCATGAGCGACATGTCCTCGCTGTCCTCGGGCTTTGGCGACGGCGACATTGTCGTGCCGCCCAAGCAGGCGCGCAAGTCAACCCGCGCCAGCAAGATGAACAACGTCACCAACAGCGGCGACCTGGAGGACGATGAGCAGCAGCAGAACAATCACCGGCACAGCACGGCCACGACGGTGGCCACCAACGGCCGCCGCGACACGGTGTACACGGAGGCGTCGGAGGACTCGCCGCCGCGCTTCCGCACGGTCAGCTCGTGGGTGCGCCAGCAGTCGGGCCGCGTCAAGCGCGCCAAGCAGCGCGAGCAGGACGCCGCGGACGAGTCGGGCACGCCGCCGCCCGTGCCGCCCATCCCGCCCGAGCAGGAGTTTCGCCTGATGATGCCGGATGGCGAGGAGCCGCGGCGGGTCGAGGACACGACCGGCGGCGACTGGAGCAGCAGCGCCCAGGCAACGGGCGGTGTGATTGGTACGGCTCGTTGACGAGCCGTCGTTTTCGTGTATCATACCCGGCTAGAGAATTAAACGAACCCTTGGAAAAGAAGGCGCTGGTCTGCGCGAAACACTCTTTGAAACCTTTTTTGTAATATATTTCATGTTTAGCTAGCAGTCCTTACCTCCCAAAGAGTTGGCCGGCCCAGGGGTTTCGATGCCATCTATAGCTATCTTTCGAGATACCCGATTCTATACCACAAAAAAAAAAAAAAGAGAAATCTATTTCAAATTATTTGAAGGGAAACATTTCCCAAAACCCGATTTCCATCTAGAATTCTCGTCAGAACATGTCACAAGAAGAAAGAAGAAAAATGTGGCGGTGAAACGAACCCTGGTTCCGTGGATAAAGATCTTGACCAGCTCTTCTATCCTGGCTGGCGAACACTGGCGAATGTTTCGCTCGATGAGATCTGCCGAGGTTAATTAATCTCGTTGTGCGACCGGATTACCAAACAAGCCCGTGTTTTATGAACCATTTGAAAAATAAAAACAACAGGAATAAAAAAAAAAAAGGCGACCACCGCCACATCTTGGTTCCCGGATATCGAGTTTCCGAAAGGGGACGGAACGTACCGGAGCCGAGACGCACAGCCTCGACGTAGTCTGCCGCACCATAGTTCTCGATCCACGGCCAGTACGTGTTTGTGTCCTGACGGACGGTGCTAGGGTGCGCGGCGAGCATCTGCGCGACGGCGCCGTAGCCGAGCAGGCACGGGGCGAGGGCGAGCTGCAGCGCGAGCCAGTCCTCGGACTGCCCGACGTCGAGCACGTACCTGGTGTACGCGGTGCAAGCTAAGGGGAATTGTTAAGCCGGGGGAGATCCGGAAGGGAGGAGAGGGGGCGCGCGTGGGGGGCTTGGATTTCTTGCTCGGAGATGCCGAAGCTCTTGCAGTAGTTGATGTGCAGGTTCATCTCGCGGACGATGTGGCCGACGATTTCATTGGACTAGGGAAGGATGGATGGGTGAGTAGAGGGCACGCCTGCGGCAAAAATCTCGTCGGGGATCTCTTGACGGAAACGCACTCGTTGAATGTCGCTGATGTTCTTTGTCTTGTACGCCGCCAGGGCGTTGGCGCGCGCAAAGTGCACCTGTCCATCCCATCGCGTTAGCGAAAATTATCGACAGGAGCGAGAGAGCCAGAAGAGGACGACGGGTCCGCACCAGGTACAGGTAATCCTGGATGATGTACCCCTTGAAGGACTCGAGCGGCAGCGTGCCGTCGCCCAGGGCCATGACGAACGGGTGGTGCAGGAACTCGTCCCACACGGGCCTGACGTCGGGTCTCTCGAGGAGGTACTCGACAAAGTAGCCCCTGCGGGCGGCATCAGCAGAAGGTCACGTTTGAGAATGCGGAGCGGTCTTGGGTGAGTGAGTGGGGGAGAAGACGTACGGCGAAAAGGGCAGCGCGTAGGAGGAGTGGAAGTGGTTCAGCGGCCCGTGACCCGCGCCCAGCCCCGGCGCCGCCCGGATGCCGGCCGCGACGTACCGGCACGCCGCGCGCACCGCCGCGGGCACGTCGTTGCCCCGAGAGAGGTTCGCCGCAATGGCCGCTGGCAGACGGGTTAGCCAGGGTGCTTCTTCCGCCCCGGCACGGCACCCGGCACGGCACCGCACCCACGCCCGACAAAAAAAACTTACAGGCCAGCGAGCACCCCGTGCCGTGGGTGCTCGTGCTCCTCTGGAACGCGCTCTGCACGCGCTCCGTCGCCCCCTCCGGCCCGACCAGCACGTCCACCACCACCAAATCCCCCTCCTCCTCCTCCTCCTCGTCGGAGGCGGCGGCGGCGGCGGTTAGGTCGGCGGCGCGCAGCGGCACGTGGCCGCCCTTGAGCAGCACCCAGCGGGGCCCGAGCTCCGCGCGGATCCTCCCCGCCAGCCGCTCCAGGTCCTCCACGCCGCGGACCCCCTCCTCCCCGACGTCACCGTGCGGGCCGGTCTCGGTCAGCAGCAGCCTGGCTTCGGGGACGTTGGGCGTTAGCAGCGTGGCGCGCGGGAGGAGACGCGCGACGAGGTGCCGAACGGCGTCGCGGGGGAGGAGTTCCGCGCCGGACGTGGACACCATGACCTATTGCGAAGGGGGATGAGCGACTTGGGAAACGTTCATGGTGCCGTTGGGAGAGCGTACCGGGTCGACGACGACGGTGGTGAGCCTGTGCTTGTCAATCATGTCGGCCAGGACGTCGATGGTCTCCGCGGACCCGAGCATGCCTTTTGCCGATGTCAGCGTCCCTCCCTTTCTTGTCTCTCGTTCTCGGTCCCCCGGGAGAGGGGAAAGAGGGGCTCACCCGTCTTGACCACGTCCACGCCAATGTCCCCCGCCACGGCGTCCACCTGCCGCCCGACGAACTCGGCCGGCACCACGTGCACGCCCGTGACGCCGAGCGTGTTCTGCACGGTCAGCGCGGTCGTCGCCGTCATGGCGTAGCACTGGTGCGCCGCGAGTACCTTTTGGTCCGCCTCCAGGCCACTGTCCGCCCCCCCCCCCCGGGTTCGTGAACTTACGCCCCGCCGGAGGGGTCGGAGCCGGCGACGACTAGTACCCTGCCCTGAGCCATTGCAGGTGGCAGTGTATACGGGGTTGCAATGCGCGGTGGGCAGGCAGCTTGAAATTCCAGCAAAAAACGTAAGAATTGCAACGTCGTTTGATTCAGTGGTTGATGAGACAAAACGCTACTTCATCGACGCTATTGTTATTTCACTCAACGTTTTAAACACTCAACGGATACAGTGGGGTTGGGCCGCCGTTGGTCTCGGCATACCGCTCCGAACATCGGCAAAGTTCAAGCAATGTATGTATAGAATTCTGTGTGCTGTGAAAAAACTGACTCCGTAAATGAGTATAGTTTTTAAAAATGGACAATTACATTTCTTCAAAACAAGACTTGCAGCTTTCGCCTGCTTCTCTGGGAGCCGCAATCAATTTCCTGGTCGGCCCGCTGAGCCGCTCCGGTTTTCCTGCCTCTTGGATGTTTGCACCCGACGCCATGCTGTGCCGACACAGGACCATAAACAAAAAGAAAAACATAAAAAAGAAAAAGAAAGAACTAAAGAAATACAGAAGTGAACCGATAACATGTCAAATGCCAAATCTACCGCCCCAAGTTAAGCGGCGGAGGCAGCATGCTGGTTCGTAGGTACTCGGTCGGCTCGCTCACGCTGCGCTGTCTCTCCGTGCGGTTGTCGTCGCTGTTGAGACTGTTGCCGCTCGAATTCCCCCCTCCGTCCTCTTCCTTCTCGCTCCCATTTGCTTGGCGAAACCTTTGTCGCTGCTCCTCCTCCTTTTGCGCGCGCTTGGAGATGGTGTCCTCCCCTTCCGACTCCCCCTCACTGCTCTCTTCCGACTCCTCATCTTCCTCGTCTTCCTCGTCATCGGATTCCTCAAAGACAATCTGGCGCATAACGTTCTTGTCAAAGAAATCAATCACCATCCTGCGCACGCCCAGACGGTAGTGGTTCCACTCCATCAGTCCCATGACGTATTTGAAAAAGTCGGTGCTGCGAAACGCCGACGGCTTGCGCTGCTTAAGCTTCTGTAGTTCCATCGCTGCCCTCTTATAAAGGACCGTGTTACCGAGATCTACGAGAAGCTCGACAATGCGCGAGTTGACCTGTTCGTCGGTGAGCAAAGGCGGAATCTCTGCATTTTCTTTGGCCGGCGTCGAGCTCCAGACCGGTGGCGGGTCGCGAATTGTCCGTTGCGTGACGGGCAATTCAATGGATGTCGCTACAACTGGCTGCCATGGCTGCAGCGATAGCAGCTTGCTGAGATCGGTTGGAAGGCAGTATCCGAGGGAGTTACCCGTCGGCGTCGTACTCGCATCCCATCCATATTCCGATAAAATCTCCAGCCCATGCGTGGAGCGAGAGATGAGGCCTAGAACGAAGAATGCCGTCCCTCGGAGACTCATCACGTCGTGCGCCTCGGCAATGCGAACAATATGCTCAACCACGTCGCTGGCCTCCAAAAATGGCGCCCCAAGCTCCATGCAACCAACATTGCCGACCGCCCACATGCAGGCCTTGACCTTGGTGATGAGCTCCGTGTCTTCTGCTTGCATACCATGATCGCGAATTGTGGCCGCGAATTCGTCAAAGTGCCCCTTGTCTCGCAACAGCTTGCAGCCCTCCTTTGTTCTCGTCAGCTCTCTGTAGAAATGAGGCGGTAGATGGTTGTCATGGAATTCCGCTCCGTGGCTAGGTTCGTCAAACATGGTAGATTGCTGTCCATGCTCGTCACCATCTAGCAGGAACGCTTTTGCAAGAGATGCCTCAACGACGCCGACGTAGCTGTCGTTTCTACCCAGGAACCAGTCATCCATTTCGTTGCTGATGTAGTCAAGTCCGTCTAAATAGTGATACCCGATCGAGGTGGATAGGAAACGTAGAAGTAGCGGCGCGCCAATCTCACCGAGATGATCCAAAGCTGGCCTGCACTCGACGACATATTCTAGGTACCTCTTTCGGTTGCATGCTTTCTCCAAGATCTTTACGGCGGCCGCGCACACATCGATTTCGGGATCGTAAAGTTGCGTTGATAACAACTGGATGGCCCATCGGGAGTCGCTGACATCCCCCAGTGCGTTGGTAGCAACAGGACGACGAAGGGTACACTTGCGTAGCACCTCGGTTGCATAAATTCGGATATCCTTTGTTCCCGCGGTAAGAGCCTTGGCGAGCAATACACGGTGATGTCCTTGCAGCGTATAGTCAAAGTTGGTAAGCAGAAGCTTGATCAAGTCTGGTCGCTGCTTCAAGTCGACAATGTGATACATCATGTTGAACATCTTCCATCGTTCGAGAAGCATTATGCCCTTGGGCTCGCCAGTTAAGACACCAAGCATGGCAAAATACCCATGGCAAAGAGTATCGGTAAGACGATCTTTTGCAAATAATGGATACTGCGCAGTCAGACCGCTTGTCGGATCACATTGTGCAAGACATTCTGCAATTTGGCGGACTAGTTTGCTGTCAGCCAGTATGTTGACGCCCTCGTTCGATTGCAACAGCGCGTGCATCAAGGCACAACCAGCCTGAATATATTTTTGCGTATTGCGCGTGTTTTTGATTTCGGCAAACTTGTATTTGAATGGCCGATAGAAGCTCATGATGCGCTTCATCCATTTGGATGCTCTCACGGCTTCCTCTAGCCGTTTGCCGGTATGCAGCGGACCGCTGATAATCTTCATGATTATGTCCCAATTCCATTTCGCATAGTTGGAACTGTTGAGGACACCAGAGTCGATCAGCAACTGGCGGAAGGCGGTATCGTCCAAAATAAGGGTGGTATTTGCTCGAGGTTGCTCTTCCAAGGCGGCCAAATCGATCATGCTGTCGCTCGAGGGAAGCATACTAGCCATTGTTTCCGACGGTGCGCTCCTGTATAAGGTCTTACTGACGCTGCTTATCTGATAGACAATGCCGGTTGCCACAAAATGCTGCTCCGTGGAAAAATCGGTGGCGGCCTTGAAAAGCTCGGGCAGTAGCTGGAGCTCCGCGCTCCAAGTCGGTGGTAGCAGCCGGCTGGCAAGTTTCAGGACCTCTGAGAGCAGTAGCGATATTTTGCGCTTCACCATAGGGTCTTGCTCTATTTGCGCAGTCTGCAACAAGCTATGCATCAGGCCAGCCTTGATGAGGATAGCCAGAATAAGAGCAGTATAGTGATCGACGAAATTTTGCTCAGTCCCATCTTCCTCCATGTATGGCGCCGGCCGTTCTTTCGCATCGCCCGACTTCATATTGGCAACGCGACCATAGGTAGTTAATCGACGACCAGCAAGGAAAGACGTCGCCCAAGCAGGAGGTTTGATTCGCAGTAAAGAAAACAAGAGATCCAGCACAGTCTCCCGTAAATTTTCGGCGGGAAGAAGCATACTGTAGATGAGAGATCGGATAGACCGAAAGTCGTACATGCTTAGGGTCATGATACCAGACCATGACCTCATCGCAATGGCGATGGCGCGGCAGCTTTGCTTTAAGATGATTTCGTTGGTCCCCAGAGGATCGGTAAATGCTGTGAAGAGGGCATCTAGACCGTAGCTGGGCTGGAGGTACTTGCGTCTTTGTGGCGAATCGAGAAGGAAGAGGAAGACGGAAGCCAGGCTTTCAGAGGCCTTGTATGAACCTTCAGAGAGGGCATCCGACAACGGCCCAAGGCCACCCGACGCTATTAATAGGGGAGCGTCTCTGACAAGAATTTCGGCCAAGGTTTCGATACAAATGGGACGCAGACGATCAATGTTCTGGTCATGGGCTGGGACAGTCGAACGCCGATCTTCGCCCTGCTCGGCAACAGCAGCAATGGTTCTGACGACAGCTCTCGATATCTCCTTGACGCCGTCTTTAACGTCAAGAAACGCCCTGACGAATTTGAGAGCCTGCTCGCGCTCCACATCGGCCTTGCGGTAGTTGTTGAGGGAGCGAACGACGAGGAAATCAGTGTTGAGGCTGCGGATCTTGCGAAGCGAGGCCAGGTCAGAAATGGCATATCGCGTGACTCGGTAGCCGGCGGCGACGACCTCGCGACTTTCGCTGAGAAGCATCATTTGCATGCGCATGCCAAAGATGGACCACACCAAGTCATACTTGATCGCGGGATGTCTCTTGAACAGACCGACAAGCTGGTTGGCGCGGCTGACGTAGTACTCGGGCACCATGCCCTCGACTTCGAGAGCTTGCAGCAACTCGGCGAGGGCGAACGAGGGGCTCTCGGCGGCCTCGTCAATATCAGACTCGTCCGCGTTGGACTTGACAGGGCTCTGGTTCGACCGATTGCCGTTGGATACGACGGTATCCTGGCTCCATGTTGGCGTCGGGGTGGCCGGTCGTGTGTGCTGCTGCTGCGCTTCGGATATCTTGCGACGCAGCTCGCGGATGCGTATGTTGCTAGCGCTCAGCTCCGCCTCGACGCGCAGGCGCTGGTCCTTGGTCTGCTTGGCCTTTTTGACGTTGAGGGCCTCGAGCATGTTCTCGCTGCCCTCCTTGATCTTCATCTCGCGGGTGAGCCGGTCCTTGAGCTGCAGCAGCAGCTGCTCCGAGGCGAAGTCGTGGGGCGCCTCCTCCAGGACCTTGTCCATGACGCCGCCAGCGTAGACGGAGCCGACGTCGAGCCTGCTGCCGGCGCGGCTGGACATGAGGATCTGGCTCCGAAGTTCGGAACTGAAGCTACCAGGGGCGGCGGTCGGGTTCAGGCTGCTGCCGCGGGGGCCAAACGACGTGGAAAGGTTGCGCATCGAGGCGGCATGGGCACCGGCGGCGGGTGGCTGGAGACCCGAGGGCCCATCGCGGTCGAGGCTGGTACGGCCGTTGGACGGCTGCTGAGGGGTCTGGCCTCTTGGGCCTACCTCGGAGGAATTGGCGAGCATGGTGACGGCGTCTTGCCCACCGGCTGGCGCGGTGCCCTCTGGCGGGCGTGCTGCATTCGTGGACTGCGATGCCGGGGGCGCTTCAGGACGGAGGAGGGACGCGGGAGGAGGAGGAGGAGGACGACGACGAACGGGAATCGGGCGGTTGTCGCGCAATGTGCCACATCCGATGCAGCAGCCCTTGGGTAGTAGTGGTCGTGGTTGGGTCGGATTGGGACTGACAGCGGGTCGATGCAATGTCTCAGCGCGCGAGAGCCGTCGATGTTTGGGAGTTGATGTCGATGGAGGACGAGGATTAAAAGGCTTGAGGGGAAGATGGTTTGTTGGTACGAGATAGTTGCAAACCAGTCGATCTAAGGCTGACTGGGCGGGGCGCCAGGCAGCCAAAAGCAAGCAAGACCAAGCAAGCTCTCCGAGGCTGGGCAGTGAGCCTCGCCAACTGCAGCCAAGGTCTCAGCTTGCGTACTGGATTAATATAGAATCATAATTTAGAGAGAACGAATTTTTTAATTGCGAGGGATTGCCGACTGATCCTTGCTCTAAAGCCCCTGTTTTGTTGCACAGTTGCGGCCTCCAGCTTGGCTGGCTGGTCCAGGCTGGCTGGGTATCCGTACAAACATGCTGTACGACAAGATAGAGCGACGCCGATATGTTGTGGATGAGGTATCACAGCGATGTCAGTGTAGAATCGCTGAAACTTGTTTGCCGAACATGTAGAACATTTACGGCAGATATCCCACAAGCGGCCTTGCAGTGTCCTGACTGACGGTGGTTCAAGGTGTGAATCTAGTTGACGAGCTAAAATGGCTAGCAGAAAGAAGATTTATCAGTACTGCAAGATGAAAAAATGACCAAGCTTTGTATGATAACTTCGACTTGTTCCAGTCTCTGATTCTGGGCTCCGGCATAATTGTCGGATTTTCTTGGAAAATCGTAAGCTTGAAAGAGGTTGAACTCACATTGCGGGAGCCGAGTGTAACTACATATGTAAGTTAGTGCGTGTAGTGCTGGGCTTGGTGGTTGGCTGATGGCGTGTGTATGCATTCCTAGCATCCATCAGCATTTCGATTATCTGAATTGCTTGATAGAAATGCCTGATAACGTCGAGCCAACTCTCGATTCAATCACGCATAGTTACACCACATAGAAAGCCGCATTTCTGATGATTTCTACCCCGAATGCTCGCTCGGCACCGCGCGCCATGTGTCCGGCCCGCACCCTGGTATCACAGCGTCCGAAAACATCTGATCATCCACGGTTAGCTTGGGAGCCACGATTGGGAGGTAGTCGGCTCTCGCGTTTTGCAAGACGCGAGAATGGGATTCCCGAAAAAGATTCTCCAAAAAAACCCCCATCCAAAGGAAAAAAGTCACAAGGCGGACACGCGGGAAGAAAACATGACGTGACATTGGGGAAGAAGAACCATCTCAGACCCCCGTGGAGCCCGGCGGCCCTCCGCGCCGCTGGATTTCGGCGGGCTCCGATCCCCCCTCCATACATGTGCGGCTCCAAGCCAGCAAACGGCTCCCCGTGCTAGAGTTTGCCCCGTCTGACAATCCCAGGAACCAATGCACCTTTTCTCTTCCTTGCTAGCGTCGTGGTAATAACTAGTGGACAAGCTACAGGAGATCTTGTATGGTATGAGGAGAAATAGAGAGGCGGGGGACGTGGCCAACTAAGTGAAGCGGCTCGCTCATGCCTGCCGGGTACATATCCGGCCTGTTTGTTCCATGAACGGCACATAAATAGTTTGCTCGCCGCGTTTCCATGTTTTTGGAATTTTCTCTTCCCAAGCGCATACAGTCTTGGAATTTTGCACCAGGAAATTTCTCGTCAGCGCACCTGGTCATCGCTAGCTCTGAGCTCTGTGCACCAAACGTTGATAGCACCAACACCGCCCGGCGCCAATCTCCAAGCCACGGGGACATCCGACGACAAACAAGGTTATAAAGGGCCATCAGATCCGGCTCTCAGAGCTTCCCATTTTCACTCCTCCATCTTTATAAATTCAAATACAGTCCCCTTTCAACCGAGTCTTCTTCTTTCCTCTTGCGAAATCTCGAATCGCTCTTCTGCAAACGCCCCCCTACCTACCCCTCCAGCTTCCGCTTCAAACGCCACCACCACACATCAAAGATGCCCTCCATCACCGCCGCCCGCTACGGCAAGGACAATGTCCGCCTCTTCAAGGCGCACCGGGACCCCAAGACGGGCGTGCACAGCATCACCGAGACCGTCGTCTGCGTGCTCCTCGAGGGCGACATCGAGACCTCGTACACGCGCGCGGACAACTCCGTCGTCGTCGCCACCGACTCCATGAAGAACACCGTCTTCATCCTCGCCAAGCAGCACCCCGTCACGCCCCCGGAGCTCTTCGCCGCCACCGTCGGCGCCCACTTCGTCGACACCTACGCCCACATTCACGTCGCCAACGTGCGCATCGTGACCACGCGCTGGGCGCGCATGCAGGTCGACGGCCGCCCGCACCCGCACAGCTTCGTCAAGGAGGGCGAGGAGAAGCGCACCGTCACCGCGCGCGTGTCCCGCCGCGGAGGCCTCGCGATCAACAGCGGTATTGCGGACCTCACGGTGCTGAAGAGCACGGGGTCCGCGTTCCATGGATTCGTGCGTGACGAGTTCACGACGCTCCCGGAGACGTGGGACCGCATCATGTCCACGGACGTCGACGCCAGCTGGGACTGGAAAGTGTTCCCGGACCTGGCTGCCGTGCGCGCTGCGGCGCCGCGATTCGACGCCGCGCACGAGGCGGCTCGCGCCATCACCTTCAAGCGCTTCGCTGACGACAACAGCGCCAGCGTCCAGGCCACCATGTACAAGATGTCCGAGGACATCCTGGCCGCCGTCCCCGAGGTCAACAAGGTGTACTACTCGCTGCCGAATAAGCACTACTTTGAGCTTGGTATGTTTGGCTTTTTACAAAAGTCGCCTTCTTTTTGGGGAACCTGAACTGACTTCATGAATAGACTTGAGCTGGCACAAGGGCATCAAGAATACCGGCAAGGACGCCGAAGTCTACGTGCCGCAGAGCAACCCTAACGGCCTCATCAAGGTTGAAGTCTCCCGCGATGGCCATTCCTCCAAGCTATAAATTAAAACCCCGCTCATGGCATGGCATGGTGATGAGATGTCATTTTTTTTCCGTCGCAAATAGCATTGTCCTTTTTTCTCTTGCTAGCGTCTGAAATTGGAAACCACATACGCAAGATGTTTATAGATCAAAACACTACGTTCAACAGCTGCTGTCACCATGCCTGTGATGAAGGCGAGGGAACCGGGCAAAAAGATACTTACAAAGGCCATGACGTTCTTGCTCGACGGGCTGGTACTCGCTGACAGATGCACATGGCTGTTCATCTCTGTTATGTTCCTGAAGCTGATGGGCTTGAACCTGGAAGCGTTTCTTCGTGTCGCCGTGTGGAAGAGTAGGATCTCAAGAGCGACGCTGCGATCCGGACCCGGTTGTCTGTCGTAATCTAACCTAGGCAAGATCGAGTTTTTGTCATTGCAGAAGCAAGGATTCATCTGAAAAATGCTGAACATGTTCATGGACGTCCTGGATAAGAATCAAGTGTTCCTGCAACTCATATCATGGGTAGTGTTTATAGCCGTATGAACGCTTTTGTATATATATTACACAAATAATACATGATGTATCTGAGCCCTCGTCCCCAAGCTGACGCGGTTCCTTTCAAGCTGTCATCACCTTCACTTCAACCAAGTTGCCTCCCTCATAACCTCTCCTGGTCCGCCTTGCGCACGCGCTCCACTCCCCGCTCCCAGCCCTTCTCCCCGACGGGCACGCCGCCGAAGCGCACCAGGTTGTCGCGGTACGGGTGCGCGGGGCCCTCGAACGCCTTGAGGCGCGCCAGGCGGCCGTCGCGCAGCCTGTTCTTTGGCAGCATGCCGCTGACCGCCTTGCGCAGCACCTCGGCGCCGCCGTGCGCCTCCATCAGCGCGTCCATGGTGACCGCGCGCAGGCTGCCGGGCCGCGTGTTGTGCCGGTAGTACGTCTTGCGCCACTTCTTGCGGCCCGTCGTGTGCAGCGCCGCGCAGTCCGTCACCACCACGTAGTCGCCGCAGTCGGTCGACGGGTCGAACGTGGGCTTGTGCTTGCCCATGAGCAGCACGGCGATGCGCGATGCGAGCCGGCCGAGCGACGGCGGCGTGATGTCCTCGTCGGCCGGGGCGGTCGCGGTCGCGGGAGGAGACGGGCTTGGTTTCGTGGTCGATGTGGCTGGTGTTGTGGTGCTGGTGGTCGCTGCCGATGCGGCGGCGGCCACGGCGACTTTCTTGGTCGTCAAGATGGGGTGAGGGGCTTTAGCGGATACGTGATGCCATACTCGCGAGTAGGCTAGTCGGGTCTATCATTGTGAATAGTTAGCTGAAATTTGTCTTCTTTCTGTCTGTATCCAATGTTTCCCTCGAGGATCGCCGTGGACAGGCAGGAAGGAGATGACTTACCATGCCAATTGTTTGTGACATGGTGCCGGACTGGGCTTCGATATGAGGTCAATTCTAGCAGGATAAGTTATGGACGTCGGAATGTTAAGGCCTCGAGTAGTTTGAAGGCCTTGCGTCCGTTGTGATGCCTCCGAATAGCCTGACCGTGAAGATGTCGCAAATGCTCATGAGCTTCAAAAGTTTGGCGCATCCCCTGCAGAAACTTGGCTGACTAACCAACGGACAGCGACAAGTCACCTGATGTTGGCGAGAAGGAAGCTTTAGCGGCCTTTTAGCGGCGGACGCCGCCTTGCAGCAGTTTACAGCGATTGAGTCCCCGCAAACCTCGGCCACCAGGCGCTGTAAAGCCAAGCTGCACGCTGTGTTCGGGCTTCCGAATAGAGGGGCTCTATTACACGCAGTGATTGCGATTATTCGCTGGCGAGTTGGAGCTTTGGATTTCAAAGCAAGAACGTCTTCGACCAACTCGCACCCATGACGAGATAGTGAAGGCTATGCTCAAGTCTGCCACCTCCAAGACACTCGCTGCATCCTCCGTTTGTTTTCTCTCTGCATATTCACTCTATCGCTATAACAGAAACCACACAGTGCAGCAATCAGTTGGCGAGACCGGTAGTCATAGTGAGTTGCCCCGCGACAAGCTTCCAGATAGCCTGCAGGTACGGAACTGACGGCGATCTAGAATCTCTAAGCAGAATGACTGCCAACCACGCTTTCCAGGTGAGCATCTACAGCAGTCCCTAATTTCCCTTCACGCCACTTTATTGCTTTTCCTTGTCATGTCACCCGCACCCCTTCCCGTTCTTCTCCTCCCCCAACACTACCGTGACCCTGCGGCTTCCGCGTCGGTTACAACTCTGCATCCCATGAAACGCCAACTCACGCACTCCCAAACGCGCAGACCCTCTTCGCCGTGCCGCTGTCCTGCGACGGCTGTGTCAAGTCGGTTTCGGACGCGCTCTACAGCCTGGGAGGCATCACCAAGGTCGAGGCCAACCTCCAGGACCAGCTAATCGCCGTCGAGGGCTCCGGTACGTTTCACCACTGGCTGCCCCGCGCAGGCCGACATTTTCAGTCGCCCGGGCTCTTCCGAGCTCCTCTGAATCACACCCAACATCGCATCCACGCACATGTCCAAGTTATAGCTGACGTCTTTTGTATTCCCCTGCAGCCGCCCCGTCGAAGATTGTCGAGGCCATCCAAGATACAGGAAGAGATGCCATCCTGCGTGGATCAGGATCCTCAAACAGTACGTCGCAGCCGTCCTCCCCTCCCACCACTGCTTCGGCGGAGCTTGCGTATTCGCATCTGTGGCAGGATAGTCACAGAGAGATTACGATTGGAGATTCTATGCTAACATGATACTCTGCGCAGGCGCCGCGGTGAGCATCCTGGAGAGCTTTGCCGAGCCGGCCCGGCTGCAGCAGGGCAACGACGAGGACCCTAGTCGCGAGGTCCGCGGCCTCGCGCGCATGGTGGAAGTCGGCTCGGGTAGGACGCTGGTTGACCTGACGGTTCGCGGCGTCTCGCCGGGCACCTACCGCGCCACTATCCGCCAGTACGGCGACCTCAAGGACGGCGCCGCGTCGACGGGCCCCATCTGGACGCAGCAGCAGCCGACAGAGGCGGGGGCGTGCGGCCTCCTCGGCGTCGTCGAGGTCGGCGCCGACGGCCGCGGCGCAGTCTTCACGGACCACGCCTTTGCCATCTGGGAGGTCATTGGCCACGCCATGGTCCTCACCAAGCAAGACGAGGGACGACCGCTCCAGAACGACGCGGATACCGTCGTCGGCGTCATCGCCCGGAGCTCGGGCATGTGGGACAACGACAAGACGGTGTGCTCCTGCACGGGCAAGACGCTGTGGGAGGAGCGCAAGGATGAGCGGGCAAAGGGCATGCTGTAGAGAGTTCGTGTCGGGGAGTGCTTTCGCTGGTACGTACACTTGTACGCGGGTGGGCTGCATAGCAGGGGCGTTGTGGTACAGTAGATGAAAACAACTTGAGAATTGGGTGGCGTTGAACGGGAAATGAAGACGCCTGATGAAACATGTTCAGACGATCGGGCAGTGCATGGGACGGACTGCAATCTAAAGGGCAGTCGAGACCTTAGCCGCGATGAATCATGAAATGAAACCACTCGTCTGACCTTCCCTCCCCTGCTCCCGTCCAAGCTGCGACAGTGTCGAGAACGAGGAAGTCATATGAAGCAAGTTCCGGGCCAGTTTCATGCTATCCAAGAGCCGCCACCCTCAAGATACCGACAATGCTCGTTTACCAAGATAGGTTTGATCTGGAATATCTCAGCGCGAGATCTAATCAGTAGCCTCTCTAGACCGCAAATGCATTCAAGGCTAGCCAGGTTCGATCGCTGCCACGGGTATTGCAGCCCCCATCTGCCGTCCCGTTGACTTCATGCTAGAAGTCCGACTCTTTGATGGGAAGGATGAGACGGGAAGAGGTGAAACAGCGTCACTGGACTGACTGGCTGGCTTGAATTGCCGCTTTGTGTCGACCATTCCGTGTCCCTGGCGCACTTCAAACAGCCACATGAATAGTTGGTATCCTTTCCATGGCGAGTAGATGCTCTCGAGGACGAAGAGGAACTAGACAAGAAACGGAAAGGACCATTCAATAGTATCGCAACATGACCACGAACGATGGTGTTGGCATGTAATACCATACCGATACATAGCACTGCAAGGGTTGACGGCCAGTGCCGGCGTGAACCCGGCGTGAATCAGTACCGCCGCCTCAACAGAGTTCGAGTTAGCTACGCCCATATTCAAGCAGACAAAGCTATGGCAAACATATTCTTGATTCTTTCGACGCTCCAGTGCTGCCAAGAGCCAGACCCATGAGCGTGGAAGTACCACCGAGGTGACACTGCGATGGCATTATTCAAGACAAAGAACAACCGATAAATTGACACAGGTAGAGTACTTCATACGCGAGACATTATCGTCTTGGCCGGCCAAGGTGTCATTGCAGAAAGATTATGTCTCGGAGAGGAGGCTGAATTCTCGTCTGCTGTGTAACGTGTAACGTGGGGGGGGGGCTCTTCCCCCTCACTTCTTCTCTTGCTCGCGTCATGTGTTTCTGGGCCGTACTTTTGTTGAGCAGCCCAAATCCGCGAGATTCTTCTCTGTTACGCCTCGGCCCGGCGCGTAGTTGCTCGGCGCCACTGGATGCCACGGCAGGTTCGCATCGACGTCTTGGTGTCGGCCCTTTTCGGGGGGCTATTTTTGGACAAAGAAACAATACGGTGTGACGAGAAACACACTCTGGCCATGTGCCTCATCACATGGCCAGCGACTGTGTGATGAAGCCATAGATGGCGGTTGGGGAAAGGGCCGCTCCCCGAAGCTAAACATAGAAACATTTGTGCATGCATCTAGCCATGAGCAATCCTTGTATCTGGTTGGTAGCACTCGAGGTCTTGATAGGTCAAGGTAGAGGTACGATGACTGCATAGTTGTTGCTAGGGCGCAGGTTGAAGGATTGCTGAACGGAGAATGCAAGCAAGCATGCGTCGCACCTGCAGGATTTGATCAGGTCCTGATGTCGTCGTGCATTGTCATATCCGTAGTTAGCGTAGAGGCATGCTGTTGGATGCCAAGTAGGGTTGCTAGCAGCCAGCTGTTCTGGTCGGAAGTATGAGTTCACCCTTGTCCGCATGCCAAAGTTCTTCTCGTGAAGCGGCCTGAGAAAATATGCAAGGCAACTTGTTGGAGATGAGACGACAGCTAAACTGGAAGTGGTATCCAGGCCGGCAAGGGTTCATTGAGATGGGTGTTACAGGGGGCGAACTTGGGCGCTTAGCTGGGGGCCAATGAGCAGGCAGAAGTGCGTGATGGTGTAACCTCCAGCGTCCCAAGATAGCAACACACTAACGGCATTGAATCACCTAGAACGTGGCAGCATTAACTAGTTAGTGGCGTTTTGGCCATCATCTTTTGACGGCCGCCGTCGGTTTCCTGGGTTGCATTCGAGTGCGGTGATATGGCGGTGCCTGACGCTCTAGACTATAGACTGCACTGGCGGATGGATGTCTGAAGCCAGGTCTGGCCGATGGAATTACAGGCTCGGGCGGAGGATGAAAAGTTTTGAAATTCAGGGCTATGCAGCGCCGCAGCGGATATGACTTGAGATGAAAAGAGTCCACTGCGCACCGTTGGTTCCGGCGTGAAAGTAGCTGGCGCCATCTAGGTCAAACGGGCGCCAGGCGGTATACCCGGAGCGGTGCACGATATGGACGGAGTCTGGGCCAGGAGCGGGGATGTTATTAGCACTCCGTACATTCGGTAGAAACAGCTGGGAACAGACATTCCATGCCGCCGCCCTGGCTTGTCTGTGGATCGTACTGTACACAGTTAGTTCCCCAGTCATGTTCGGTTCTTGCAATGCTCGCCGGTCAGTCTGTTCTAGCGCCGCATCGGGCCATTTAACAGGACGGACCTGCATCGACCTGCAGAAATGGTCTCATCATTGTTCGCTGATGGCGCTGCTGATGCTATTCTTGAACCCTGAGCTGAGGGTTTGTCACCCTGCAGTAGGCAACGAAGTCTTGGCGGGAGGATATTTGCGGGAGCGACGGAGTCGGGCCTGCAGCAACCAAGACGCACGCGTGCTTGCGGCCGTGGCTTGAGCCTCGCATGGCAGCTAGTTATTGGCTCGCGGGGGTTGGCACTGGCAAAAGGAAAGAAAAGTTGATCCCAATGGCAAGGCAAGCCAAGTGCAAGCCACGGCGCAGTCCTGTCATCAGCAAGCCTGTGACAGAGGTTTCCGGGTCCATCATCCAACACGCCCAACGTCTGTAAAGCCATGTGCTGCATGTCAGGGCCGTGGAGTCGAGTCAGGCAAATGCTGGCCCCTGCGCTCGCCTCCTTGGCGAGCGAGGGTGTTGGCGCCGAGATGCGGGCATGCTGGAGACTTGGAAGTGGAGGTTATCTGGATGTGATGGTTGTAGCAGGAGGGGTGGCCAGCCCCTTGGGTGGGTTGGGGCTAACGTAAGAGACAGCGTCGGCGATGGGAAGGACGGCGGTAAGTAGGTGAGAAGGGAACACAGGCCGATGGGTAGTGGTGATAGGTGATTCGTGGTGATGGTGATGGAGGTGTGTATCTGCCGCGGCAGCCCCAGAATTGTGTGTCGGACCTGACCTATCGCCGCCGCAGCAGTACCTGGTCCGACACACAGCGTCGCACGCAGTTTTGAAGTAGCGGCGGCGGCTTGGTATGAACTGGCAAGCACAAGCACAAGCAAAAGGCCAAACCGTTTTTCTTGTACACGGGTACCACCGTGATTGCTATTTTCAAAGAGGATATTCTTAGTTGGGCTGTTGTATTGCTGGTAGAGGGGTACCGATGGTCACCTGCAGGCCTGGTGGTATGCCGTTTTTTATTGTCCGCAAGCCATTCATGCATACCCCCCTCCCCTCCCTGGCAGGCCTGTTACTGATTACATCTACACCACAAGCTTACGGCCCTAACTATTGCGATTTTTATCGGCCTTCTCAAAGTTCTCTCTTCTTTCTCTTTTCAGCCTTCTGGGCCCTTTTCTGCAAGCCACCTCGTTCGTCCCCTCTCGCCCGTTTTTTCTCTCTCACTCGGTTGGCTACCGGTGCATTCGCTACCTTGCATCCTTTGAGAGCAAACGCATCGCTGTCTACGGCCGGTCCAGACGACACAGCACGCCAGCGAGAGCAAAGTGGTATTTGCCGACGTCTTGGCTTTAATCAATAGTTGCTGCGGCCTCCTCATCTTTCTAATTTACAACCTTGATTTCCCCGCTCCAGCTGGCTAAGCGGTCCTGTCGTTTCCGAAGCACGCTCGGCCTATGCCCGTCGACCACGAGGATATCAACTCGACTATTTCCCGACTTGGGCTCTGGCAGCCTTTTCCTTCTTTCCTAGCAACGCTGTCGTTGGATTTCGTCCATGATCTGACGCGAAAAGAAAGCCGACACACTCTTTGTTCAAGTCTCGCTATCAGCAACGCACATTATCCGGCTCCATCTATCAATACCAATCGTCCGTCTGTATTTGCACGGACTTATACGTCAAACCGCAGCCAGCTCGTCTCCTCTGCCGACAATCGAATGCAACCCAGCTCCCGGACATCTTCATCAAAGCTAAGTGGACGCGAATCATCTGCTGGCAAGTGGGGGAAGACGCCATATCGAGCCACGCGCAACACTTGTGCGGTGTATTGCACTAGCAAGAGCTGAAGCCCGGAGGAACCTCTCATTTTTTGAGAATTGCCTTGTTTGGCTCCGTTGCTACCTTATTACTAGTACGTTGTCTGCAACAGGGTCTGACCCCTGCCTGGGCTTGCCGTGCCTCAAGAGTCAATCAATAACTACCTATCCGTCCCCGTCAAGCAAGGTACGGATACTCCATACGAGTGCCGGCATCCACTGCCTGCATCACTGCAATACCACACAACCCATCCACCCGCCACCCACCGCCTATTACATTGCCTCACATTCCGTGGCTACTTTCCTCCTACTAATTTGGGTACATACGTACCTTTTGAGCCACACGGCCCGCCCCCTCCCCGCCAAGCAGCCCAAGTATTGGCTGCACCGCATCTCCCACCTCCTACTGGTGCTTCTCACTAATAAGCGCCCAACTTGCTGCAACCCCAGCCGCACCGCTGCATATTCCTGCAGCATTCCCGGCTCCCCTCTTCTTCTGCTACTTCTTCTTTTTTTCTCCGTCCTACCTTTGGACTTTGCTGTCACGGGGCTGTCTCTTCGTCGTAAACTTGTTCATTTACCGTCCACTTGTGCAGTAGTCACTGCCTTTGGTCATCATCATGTCTCTGAAGCTGGTAAGCCGCTCGCCGTCTCCCACCATACCAGCCCCTGTCATTGACCACTATCGCAGGAAATCGAGACATGGGTTTCGGCCCTCGGACGATACGACAACAATGAATTCGATGAGGCGCTCGCCGACTTCGAAAAGATAGGCGATACTAGCAGGATTCTTTTCAACATGGGTGTTATTCATGCCACCCTCGGCGAGCACGAAAAAGCCGTACGTCATGTAGCTTTCGAGCCGGCTTCATTATTCAACTGCTAACCCGAACTTTTCCCCACAGGTTGAGTGCTATCAGCGAGCCATTCGTCTTGACCAGTATCTGGCCGTCGCCTATTTTCAACAAGGTGTCTCCAATTTCCTCCTGGGCGACTTCGAGGAAGCCCTCGCCAATTTCAACGATACCCTTCTCTACCTCCGCGGCAACACGATGATTGATTATGCACAATTAGGCTTGCTCTTCAAGTTGTACTCCTGCGAAGTACTGTTTAACCGTGGCCTCTGCTATATCTACCTCCAGCAGAAGGAGGCTGGCATGCAGGATCTGACCTTTGCCGTTAAGGAGAAGGTTGTCGAGGACCATGATGTAATTGACGATGCGATCCGCGAAGAAGCCGATGTAAGTCTCGCCCACAACACAAAATAAGCCAAATTCTAACGTTGAAATAGGGATATACTGTCTTCTCCATCCCTGTCGGTGTCGTATACCGGCCGAACGAGGCCAAGGTCCGAAACCTCAAGACAAAAGATTACCTTGGCAAAGCAAGATTGGTCGCGGCATCGGATCGGTCCAATGCCTTTACAGGATTCGCAGGGTCGGAAATGAAAATCGCAAGTTTGCCAATCCACAGCTTCAAGATTCCCAACTAACGACTTCTTCAGGCTGCCAAGACGGAGGTCAAAGATGACCGGCCCACTGACAACATATCGTTTGCTGCTACCAACTTGGTCAAGCCTGGCATTCAGTCTCGGAGACAGCAATCAGAGCCACCAAGCACCAGCCGCAATGTATTCCCTCCCACCCCCCCGCCAGAGAACGATCGTGGCCCGTCACGCGGCGCTTCAGTCCGCAATGGTGGCAGGCCCACGCTCGCGAGATTAAACATTCAACCGCAAGAGTCTAATCGCAAATACGAAAAGGCTTTCTCCCCAGACGACGGCCGACCCAGTGCCACACGGTCTGCGTCGAGTGCCCTGCCTTCCCGAGGTTTCTCTCAAAGAGAGCCGCCGCCACTGCAGCGCCGACCCACCAAGACGATTGAAGAAGATACCTACGCCAACAGCGACGTGTACGACATGTACGCCGGCCGCAAGGAGAGAGAATCGAGAGGCGGCAGCAGACAAGAACAACGCCGACGGCCGTCACAGCGATATGAAGAGGAGGAGGATGCGCCATCAGACTATGACGACGGCTCCTTGGATGGAGCGGAGTTTGAAATGGTCTCCAACAACCGACGCGGTCCCGGCTCCATGTCCAATGGCTCACGCAACACATCAAGACGACCCGATGTTCGCAAGTTTCGAGTCAAAGTCCATGCCGAAGATGTCCGCTACATCATGATTGGCGGTGCCGTCGAGTTTCCTGACTTTGTCGACCGCATCCGAGACAAGTTTGGCATGCGCCGCCGCTTCAAGATTAAGATCAAGGACGAAGACATGCCCAACGGCGACATGATCACCATGGGCGACCAAGATGATTTGGACATGGCTATGTTGAGTGCTAAGGAGGCCGCAAAGAGGCAAAGGCAGGAGATTGGAAAGATTGAGGCAAGTCTGGCCCGAGGAGCATCCTACTCTCTCACCAAGTCGTCAGCCGCCGCTTATCTCGTGTTCGGTGGCTATCTACGAAACCAATTGCTAACCGAAAATTTCATTAGGTGTGGATTTTTGAAGTTTAGACTTTGGGCCAGTTGTATACCCCACGCAACCACATGCCGTGCTGGTCCCGATTGCATTTCTTTGCTATACTTGGATTTTTACTTCTCTTCTCCCCCCCCCTTTCCTTTTGTTATATGGAAAGGACGACGAACGCGTAGTCGTTCCTGTTCACCGTACCCCTATTCTATCACACCGTGTATCAAATAGCATCTGCTCCGTCGTCGATGAGGATACACAGTCATCTCTCGCAGCAAGTAACGACTTAATGGTTTCCTATCTACTATTTCCCACTACTTTTTTCTCAAATATTGCCATCTTGATCTGATTTCTCGATTCCTCACTTGTTCGGTTACAAGCCCGTCCGTCATCCAAATATAATGAATAACAGACTCTCACACAATTGCCAAGTCTTTACTATTCTACGTGACACTGTGTTTGCTTTGCGAATTGGTGATAATTCTTTTGGGTATGAATAGTAGTGATACAGTAGTACTTGCAACTCACTGTCGATGACGGTTCACTGACAGAGAGTAGTCATTTTTATACAATTTGTTGCACGCATCGTAGCCGGTGCCGCCACTCGTCCCGACCCAGCGTGGCCAACATGCGACCACTGCTCTGCGACACGACATCCTGGCCGCCCGCACCGACCAGGCGCAGTACGTTGTGCATCGTCAGCGGGTCGACGCCCTGACGATCCAGGACCGTGCGCAGCGCCTCCACGCTGCGCTGCCCGTTGCGGCCGCCCCAGATCCCATCGTCCTCGTCCTCCCGCTCGAGCACGCCGCGCAGCGCATCCAGGACGCGCGCGTCCGGCGGGGTGGCGGCCACGGAGGCCCGGTAGACGTCCGCCGGCGGACGGAAGAAGAGGTACGGGTGCTGCCGGACCACGTCCGCCGCGTCGCGGAAGCCGCCGTCGCGACTGGCCAGCACGGCGTGGACGTACGCGTCGGGGGCGTCGCGGAGGAGGGGCGGGACGCGCTCGAGGGGGAGGGGGGCGCGCGGCCACGATGGCACGCCGGTGGTGGCGGCGGTCGAGACGGCGGCGAGGGTGGGCGAGAGCAGGTGGGTGCGCATAAGGGCGGCCTCACGGGGAGGAAGCGAGGCGAGGGGTTCGCGGAGGAGCAGGTCGCGGTACCTGCCGTTGAAGTGGTCGAGCTTCTCGACGTTGAGCTTGATGCCGCCGCGGGTGAATTTAAACGTCAACTATACGGATTTTCCTCGTTAGCCAGTAGGCAATACAAGTTTTAGAGGTAGCGAGGGAAGAAAGAGAGGGAATGCATACGGCTTCGGCAATGTCGGCGACGGAGCGCGGCGGCTTGGCGCTGGGCTTGAAAGACGATCCGAGGTTGGCGAGCCAGGCGAGCAGCGCGGCGGGGAAGACGCGACCGGCCTTGTAGGTGGACAGGTCGACGTCGGCGTTGCGCTTGCTGAGCTTGGTGCCGTCCGGGTTGACGAGCAGGCCGAGGTGCGCGAAGATGGGGGGTTGCCAGCCAAAGGCGTGGTAGAGGGCTACGTGCTTGGGCGCGGAGATGAGCCACTCCTGGTAATTTCATCCTGGTGTTAGCACAGTGGAACGTTGCAGATAGAAACAAATACAAGGAGAAGGATGGCAGAAAGAAGCAGAGGAAGGGGAGCAGGCATTGGGCTGACGTACTTCTCCACGGATGACGTGGGTGATCTTCATGAGGTGGTCGTCGACGACGCACGCAAAGTGGTATGTCGGGAAGCCGTCTGACTTGAGCAGGATGAAGTCCTCCTCGGGCTCCTTCTTCTGAAAGTGGCCGTAGATGGCGTCGCGCAGCGCGGGCCGGGCCCCGGTCTCTCCGCCGCCGTGGAAGCGCACGACATGCGGCTCGCCGGCGGCCGCGCGGCGGGACGACTCAGCCGGGTCGACGGCGCGGCAGGTGCCCGGGTACAGGGTCGGTCGGCCGGCCTCGTGGAGGGCCTGCCGCTGGGCGTCGAGCTGCGCGGGGCTGCAGAAGCAGCGGTAGGCGTGGCCGTTGTCGAGCAGCGTCTGGGCGTGCTCCTGGTAGATGGGCAGGCGCTCCGACTTGTCTCCGTTGTCAGGATCGTTCACGCAGTCGGTTGGCTAGCGAGAAGGGGGGCCGATGATACGTACCTGGCGGTAGGGACCGTACGGGCCACCGCAGTCGGGGCCCTCGTCCCAAGAGAGGCCGGCCCATGAGAGATCTTCTAGTAAGCGCGCCTCGGCGTCATGGACAAGACGGCTCTGGAAAGAGTTGGCGTGAGCTTGCTGGACCGCAGCGTGACAAAGGCGATGAGATTTCTTTTCTTACCTGGTCCGTGTCTTCGATGCGTAGGATAAATGCGCCGCCATCCTTGCTGGCCCGCGCGGCGACGTTGTTGAACAGCGCGGTGCGCAGCGAGCCCAGGTGCAGGTATCCCGTGGGGGAGGGCGCGAAGCGCGCCCGGATGGGGAGGTCAGCGCTCTGACCGAGGATGTAGCGCGTCGCTGCTGCCTTAGAGGTAGTGTCCTTGGCCGCTGGCGTCTTGCTTCCTCGGAGCAGACCGAGGCCGCGCTTCGGTTGTGGTGATGAGGCGGAGGAGGAGGGTGCTTCGGGGTTGCGCTGCGAAGCGCAGGCGTGGAAGCGGCGCGCCGAGGTTTGCTGGCACGGTAGGAGGAGAATGACGCGGTCGTACCGTACTCGGCACGATAAGCGCGCGAGGGACATGACTGCGTGCGGCGCCGTGGTTGTGAGGCCGACGCCGCTCGTGGTTCGGCGGTTTTTGGGGGTGGAAATCTGAATGAGGTTGGCGTTAGCGGCTGCTGCGGCAGCTGGTGAACCTCAGGCGACGGCGAATTGCAGGTGTCAATACTTGGCGTCACCAATCTTTTGAAAGTAGCATTTGTGTATTGCGCATTGTTTCTTCCTCTTTTGAATACATTTCCTTTCCATTTAGTTACCTTCTTTCTCAAATACTTGCTTTAAAACGAAGCGATAATCTGATTCCGGGACGACTTCTTGAGAAGGCACGCTGTTGGTGCAAAAGGTACCTCCATCGGTAGTCTTAAGCAAACGACCATCGCGGCCCGTCAGAGCTTCAAACAAAATCCATCGTACCGGGGAAAAAGCATGAATTGAAGAAGCCATTGTCTGGGGTTAAATGCCGGATTTTTAGAACATAGATTCATGCTGTAGCTGGACTGCCGTCACGACATCCATAGGTGAACGAGCCATACCTACAGACAGACCAGGTCTTGGTACCGGGACTCGCCACCAGCGGACCGGGGCAGAATGGGAAAACCGGCGGCTGATGTGGACCCTTAATCAGGGCAGTATGATAATAGGATCCTCAATGGCATTGCCATGAGGACAGTCGAGGGGACCGGATTCCGGGGGGTCCGATGAGGCCAGGCCTGGCGAATGTATGTATGCATGTAGCTGAAATGGCAGACTACCTTACAGATGCCACCGCGGCTGTACCAGCAATTTGATGTGGGTTCTATGCCAGCTTGATATCAGTACAATATCTGGCCTCTTTTGCCTTTTCAATCACATCTCATATATTTTCCATCGAATTTTCATCTACACAAAAGCAGTCAGGCGTGCATCAATCATGCATCTACGGATAGAGCAAGTCACAATGCATACCGGCTTGCTGACCCGAGTTGCCACAAGGTGAGCTAAGCCGGTTCAGGCGGCATCCCCCCCTAATTTTAAAAGTTTAGCGTCTTTTTCGAGCCTCGCTACCCCACTACAATCGCTGAAATTGCCCTCAAACTTTTCTTGCCATTTTTTTCTTTTCTAGCGCTTGTTAGTGGTTCGCAGGTAGATGGTGGGCCCGCTTCTTCCCGCTGTGCCCTTTTGCGGCCTTTCAAGACTCCAAGCCAAGCAAGCCCAAGCACATTGGCGTCATTGATGACTGAGAACGGGTTGCCGCTTTGTGTCTTGCCGCCTGTCTTTGTTTTTTTCCGTCGACGCCTTCTCTTATTACTTCTCTTCTTTGCTCGGGATACTTCCATCCTTTCATTCTTGCCTAGTCTATCCTTCAGTCATTCCTACGCAACTTGAGAATCCTCGCCTGCGCCACCGTTGGTGACGTTCGCCCGTTGTGCAAACGCCAGCCACAATTCAAAGCCGCGACGGTTCGCGTTCAACGTCTAACGCTTCCGGAAGTGCAGTGAGCAAGGCATCACCGGTAAGCATCCGACCAAAATCACACGATACCAGCCGCCTTGAATATTCTATCCAAGGAATCACCACCAATTCTCCCTCCTTTCAGCCTAGTGCTTTCTCCTTGTTGCCCGGAGTTGCCAAATCCCCGGCTCTTCCGCCGGAATTCTGCCATCGCGACAGGGGGCCTCTCAGGGGACAACCCACAAGCCCAGCCAGCCCAGCCAGCCTTCTTCTCCCTGCGCCCAAGTCTTTGAGCTCCCATCCACCATCCGTCCCGCACCCTCTTCTACCCAGACATGCAGATGGCTTCCATCTCTTGAACCTCTGTTTGTGCCCTTTGCAATTGACTCATCTCCAGCTTGCTGACTGATTTCTTTGGCCACTTCTCAGCTCGTCTCGCGCCTAAATTACGTCCGTCGACCCGCCCCCGACTCTCCACCATCGCCCCTGTCGAAAAAGATCCTCACTGTTCCTGCGCAACCCGCTCCTGAGCCCTTCAGACCTCGTCTCGTCGGTTGCTTCCTTCTCTAGGATCAATTTTGCAACCTCTCGCCAGAAGCATGCCGCGCCGACTTCAGAATCCCTTTTCCACCCTTCCCACCATGCCGCAGTCCGAAAAGAGCCAGAGACGCTCTTCCACTTCCAAGTCCAACCGCCTCTCCCAGCTCTTCTCCAGCCCAAAGTCCAAGGAGGGCCCCTCCGCCGCGCAAAAGTCTCTGCTCGCCATGCAGCAGCAAGCCGACCAGTCTGCCATCGATCGGCCTCACTTTCCCCAGGCCGCCTCCCGCGACTCCCAGTCACAGCCCTTGAACGGCTCGCCTGCTGCCATCTCGCCCGCCACCGTTCCGCTACCCACCATCTCTTTATCAAGTGCCATGGCTGGTGACCAGACCCTCGAGCCTTCCACCACCACAATCTTCAGGCCAGAGACCGCCGAGGAGATCGAGAGACAGCGCATCGCCGACTCCCAATTCGGCCCCCTCAGCAGCCCCTCCCACCTCTACACCTCCAAGTCGCACGGCGAGCCCCTCGAGGCTCCCATCGAAGACGAGCCTCCCTACTACTACCTGCTCACCACGTACATCAGCTACCTGATTCTCATCCTCCTCGGCCACATTCGTGACTTCTTTGGCAAGCGCTTCGGAGACAAGAAGCTGTATCAAGCTCTCAAGGTGCAGAACGGCTACGCTCCTCTCAACGATGACTTTGACAACTTTTATACCCGCCGCCTCAAGCGTCGTCTCGACGATTGCTTCGCTCGTACCACCGTTGGCGTCCCCGGCCGCTACATTACTCTCATGGACCGCATCTCCCACGACTTTAACCTGTCGTACCAGTACACCGGTACATACACCGAGACTCTCAACATGAGCTCCTACAACTACCTTGGTTTCGCCCAGTCAAGCGGCCCCTGTGCCGATGCCGTCGAGGAATGCGTCAAGCGCTACGGCGTCAGCTTCTGCAGCCCCAGAGCCGATGCCGGCACCTCGGAGCTTGCCCTCGAGGTTGAGCGAGAAATTGCTTCCTTTGTCGGCAAGCCTTCTGCCATGGTGTTTTCTATGGGCTACGTCACCAACGCCAGCTCTTTCCCCGCCCTCGTCAGTAAAGGCTGCCTCATCATTTCCGACGAGTTGAACCATGCCTCTATTCGTATCGGAGCTCGTCTTTCCGGTGCTGTTATCCAGTCCTTCCGCCACAACGACACTCATGACCTCGAGCGTGTCCTTAGAGAGGCCATTTCTCAGGGACAGCCCCGCACTCACCGACCCTGGAAGAAGATTTTGGTAGTTGTCGAAGGTCTCTACTCGATGGAGGGCACCATGTGTGACCTGCCCGGCATTCTCGCTCTCAAGCGCAAGTACAAGTTCTATCTCTTTGTCGATGAGGCTCACTCGATCGGCGCTCTTGGTCCCAAGGGACGTGGTGTTTGCGACTACTTTGGCATCGACCCTGCCGAGGTCGATATTCTCATGGGAACTCTGACCAAGTCGTTTGGTGCCAACGGCGGCTACATTGCTGCCGACAAGGCCATCATCGATAAGCTCCGGGCAACCAATGCCTCCACGCAGCTTGGCGAGTCTCCCGCTCCTTGCGTTCTCCAGCAGATCTTGGTGTCCCTCAAGCTCATCACTGGTGAGGTTAGCCCTGGCCAGGGCGAGGAGCGTCTGCGCCGGATTGCCTTCAACTCTCGATATCTCCGCCTCGGACTCAAGCGTCTGGGCTACATTGTGTACGGCCACGACGATTCCCCCATTATTCCTGTTTTGTTGTACCACCCTGGCAAGATGCCCGCCTTTAGCCACGAAATGCTGAAGCGCAAGGTTTCTGTTGTCGTTGTCGGATACCCCGCCACTCCTTTGATTAGCTCGCGCGCCCGTTTCTGCGTTTCCTCAGCGCACAATAAGGAGGACATGGACCGTCTTCTGGTTGCCTGCGAGGAGGTGGCTGAGCTGCTGCAGCTCAAGATTTCAACAGGTGTTGCAGGCGGTCTTCCTCACCTTCCTAAGAATCTGCCAGCCATGACACATAAGCAAGAGAGCGAATGGCGTGCAGCCAATGGCATCCCAGTGAACCCGCCACGATGGCAGGTAGAGGACGTCATCCGCCATGGTGTCGAGGACACCAAGCTCCCACTCCGATAAACATACAGCATTACATAGGCGTTGGAACTTTTTCTTGTTTTATATCATATTGCCCATTTCATCGAGTTCAGCTGCAAAGGACGACAGGCACATGCACGAGGCGTTGAGTGATTGGCTGGTTGGTTTTGAATAGGGCCGTGGTGCTGAAGACTGGCGCGGTCGCGAATGACGCCTTTTACCCCTTCTTTGGTCCAGCGCAGCGTGTCTGCGAAGACATGAATGCAGCCTAGGTGGGCGGCATTTTTATTAATCATTTTTAATCATTTCGATGTTGGTAGTCTGGGAACGGACCCTAACCTCGACACTTGCACGAGGGTGGACGGGATGGCGGCATGTGGCATGGCAGTAGACGGATGAGATGAGATGATTGGTAATGAGGTATGGGAGGTGTACATAGCCACTGAATATTTACAATATAAAGCTATTCTACTAGGATTGCGACGGACTCTTTTGCGCGGATTAATAAATGGCTGTTGAATTTTGCGAAGAATGTGATTTGCGCTGGGCGAATGTGAAACAGGACGTGGAGGCGATAGTGGGCTCGCAAAAAGGCACCATCTTGGCGACGCAAGGGTTGAACCACTGAGGAGCCTCATGAAGAAAGATTCTCTTGACTGGTTACGACGATGAAGATGATTTTCCTTTTCTGTATCCTAGCCTGGGCTGCATGGCCTCATTGGACTGAGATCGCTGTCTACCTGCAGCGGATCTGTAAGTCGAGACAAGGTGCTTAGAGGGGTTGAAGTGTGCAGTCAAGCGCGCGCTTTCAATTCAAAAAACTTTGTGGCATGATGGTCTTCTTCTTACCCGTCTTCTTGTGCAGCCCATAATACGTGGCGATTTCAATATTTCCATGTACGGTCCAAGGCAAAGCTGTGGTAAGAAGTTGGTTGGGTGTGGTGGGGGAGGAGCTTGCTTGGTGCATAATGCGCCAGTCTTCATGCCTGCTTCAGGCATCTGCAGATTTTGCATTTTGTTTTCATTTTATTTTATTTTTTTCGGCATTCTCCATTTTATACCTGCGCGTTTCCGCAATGGAAAGATGCAAGTATAACAATTTGAGTTTCCGAGCGTGCGGTGGGTTTTGCGCAGCAAGCGTCAATGCAGAAAATGGAATTTAAATTCTAGAAGGCAGCCTGGGGGAGAGTGTGTGTATGCGTAACGAGGTTGAATACTTTGATGAAATTGGATGTCGAAAGAAGAAGGGAATGTGACAAGGGAAAGCAGTTGGTTTTGTTTGATGCCGTTGCTTGTTTCCTTTGGCACAAGGCCATGGACGTGACGGCGGCATCAGCGCACAGTCTCTGCGCGCTTCCGTCTTTCTGTATAGGGATGGCGAACGGGCCAAGGGGTCTCGGGCATTGCCGAACTTGTCGTAGGATGCTGCTTGGCCGAGCCGGCGACCGCGAACGCGAACGCGAGGTCTTTGTCCTGTCCCGTTGTTCCGTGGCGTGCTGGGTGGGATAGGAACAGCTGAGACGAACGTGGACGGGATGACGGGTAATCAAGAGAATTCTTGATATCCGCTTAGCCGACTTGGAACTCAGGGAGCACCTAATTACGTAGGCAAGTCAGAAGGGAAGATTTCAGTTGCAGGTTGAACGCGAGGAGGAGTTGAAGTTGGTGGTGGTGGTGGGGTCCCGGGCAGACGGACGTTTGGGATCTCTGGGGTTGTCCGCGGATGTGTTGTTGTACGTGTGGTTTGGTAGGATTGCTGTAGTGTGATAGGGATGGCGGCAGCTGCAAAGGAAAGGGATGGGTATGACTGCATAGTATGCTGATAGCAATACACGATATATGTATGTATGTATGTATGTGATTGCGATGGTGTGTGGTGTGTGGTGTGGTGTTGTTAAATTTGGCATGGAGGTTCCAGTAGTCTGTAGGTGGCGTGCAGTCGCAGGCAGGCTGGCGTTGTGCTGACAGGCGCTGGGTTTTCTGGAAGGCACCTGGGGGACCGCAAAAAAGGGCGGTAATAATAGAGCCGCTGTAAAAGCCCGTTGTTAGTGGACGGGTAGACACGTTCAACGGGCCTACTGATAGGTAACACCTCTTATTATGTAGGTTAGTACAAGGTAAACGCCTCTCTGCTTGAATCTTTGTGCCTGTCTGTCATCTTGGCAGTGGTGTAATCCCTGATCCCGGCCAGTCTCGTTCTCTTTTTCCCCTTCCCTTCCCTTCCCTTCTTAGCGCCCGCAAAGAGCTTTCTTTCCTGCAGGCTGCAGCTCACAACCTCTGCACGGACGGCGCCTCCTCCAAGGCCCTCTGTCTAGTACTGGCTAAAAATTCCCCAAGTCTTGCTATGTACATAACTCTTGCTATATTTAGCTTCCCCCCCCCCCCCCCCCCCCCCCCGCAAGGACTGTAAGGACTGCAAGCCATCGTCTCTCGATACCTCGTCTGCGCGCCCTGTTCCTGTAGTCCTGCATGTACCCCTCCCACCAGGCCGAAGAAAATACCCACTGTACCTGTTGCTACCGCTGGTTCCGCTCAGCGACCTGACACTTTGTTTGGAGCTGGAATCCTTCTAACCAACTTGCACTCTCCTCTCCCCATCTCCATCTTTTCTCATCTCTCTCTCACTAGTTGGTTATCCGCGCCTACCACCGCCATCCATCTCTATCTCCTCCTCTCGGCCCCCCTCCCCCTTCGCCGTCCGCCCGCCTCCTGGCTGTCCTCGCTCCCGTTTGGCTGCATTGCATTGCCTTGCATCCAATCCACCACTCAACCTCTCCCCCATTACACCCTTTCCGATCTGCGACCTTGTCCTTGTTCCCCTTCTCCTTTTTGTTCCTCCTCTTCTGCTATAGCCGCCACATTTGCCTTGTGTATCCAGCGTTTCCGTCTCTTTCTTCGACTCGCCAACACCCCGTTCGGCTCTCGTCACACAGCACGTCTCCTCGTGATCGCAACAGCCGCAATCTCCCACCACCTCTTAACGACTCGATACCCTCTCAGCATCCAAGAACAGCCACCAGACACCCTCTGTTCGAGCTTTGACTTGGCTTTTCACCACCGCAAATTTCGCCTGCAGATTCAATCAGACCGCCCACCTCGTATTTCAGCCTCGAGCCGCTCATCGTGCACGGCCTCCGCGTCTGCGTCTCCCTTATCTCGCCGCATCCATTCGCCCAAAATCAAGCTTGCGCGTCCGCCCGCCCGCCCTCCACTGCCAACACCGCTGACGACCACCATCCGCGTCTGAAGACGAAAATTGCCTAGCATTTGGAGAAACCTATCCGTACGACGATAACTTCAACCGCTAGCAGGCGACGTTGCTCGCCCCCCTCGCCTCGCCTGCATTGCAGAGCCCCTCCTTTCCCTCGCGCCCAGCTGAATCACCAGCTTTGCCGAGGGTCCCCGACTACACTCGACCTCTCTCGCACCACGAAATCGCCTGTCTAGCTAGGCACTCTCCGTCATGGCTTTCGAAGGCGGCACCGCCTACGCAGAGTCGGACGCCGACGACGAGTACGAGCGAAGCATGGGCGGCCACTCCCCTGTCGGCGACTCAGAAGCCTCCCCCATCGACTCTGAGCTGTCGACATCCACCGAGCACACGCCCACCACATATGGCCGTCACAGCAGTGCTGACCGTCTGCCCGAGACAATCATCTCGGAATGGACCAGCGAGGAGTGTGCCGACTTTATCAGCAACATCGGCCTCAACCAGTATGCCAACCGCTTCATCGGTACGCACACCCTAGAGCCTCAAGCTCGAATTGCCCCGCCTAGCTTGATAGCAGCTAACATTATGGCAAAGAAAATGAAATCGTAGGGGAAGCCCTTGTCGCCCTACTCCACGACGATCTCAAGAGCATGGGTATTGCCAGTGTAGGTCACAGATTGACCATTCTGAAAAGCGTCTACGATGTCAAAAAGGCACAGGATATACCCATGGAGTCAGATCACTATTTACCAATGTGTAGGTTGTACCGCGTTATCTCACATTGCGTCTCCTAACTTGTCACAGCTGCCGATGCTGAGGCCCAGTACGCTACAGCCACGCTCAACGATATCAAGCACCTCGTCGAACAGCTGAGGCTACGAGACGAACGCATGAACCTGCTCGAAGGGGACCTGCGACGCATGACAGACGACTTTCGACGGCTACGCGAAGATGTTTTGCCCGCCCTTCGAATCGCCAAGGACGCGCAGCAGCCACTGCCCAACGTCACATCCGGCAGCCAAGGCTATACATACGAGGCCGGCAACATTTCGAGCCCTGGTCCAACGCCCCCGGGCGGTAGCACTGGTGTTGGCGGCGTAAAACGCCAATATTCCACACGCAAAATTTTGATAGGAGCCACGCCAAAGAGTTCATCACCCACACAGGCTGGCCACGAAAGAAGCATTGCCGAGCAAACGCTTGACCCGGCCAGCGCCGCCGAACGCGCCGTCCTGTCGTCGAGTCATCTTGCCGCCATGAATGGCTCTTCCCACAACGCGTCATCTCCCGGTTACTCGCCAAACATGCCCTCCCCCACATCACCGCAAAATTACCTGAGCGGCACGACGCTTGCCTCGCGTTCATACCGCAGCGATACAGCCACACCGTCAATACGAAACTACACCGAGACGAGCACCTCGCGACGGCGTGAGACACCTGTGCCCGACACCCCGAATCACCCGCCTGGCTCGGTAGAAATCTTCAAGTCGTTTCGGGTCTCTATGGAGGACCCGTGCTACAAGGTTCTACCGGCGGCGCTACGCAAGTACCAAATCAATGCGCCCTGGGATCAGTACGCCCTGTACATTGTCTACGGCGACCAGGAGCGGTGTCTGGCTATGGACGAGAAGCCCCTGATTCTCTTCAAGCAGCTGGATAAGGAAGGAAAGAAACCCATGTTTATGCTACGCAAGACGACCAGTGCCCCAGTGGATGGCGACCCTGGTAGCGCAGGAGGCACGTCTTCGGGGTACGGCCCGCCCGGTGGCATCATATAGAATGCCGATGGCAAGGGTTGTTTTAGTTGTTGGCTTCTCTTCACATATATACATTATTTGGTTGAAATATTTGATGCCTTTTTCTCCCCCTTGTTCCTTTCTTCTTATTTCTGGAGCATAACAAGCATGGGCTGCGCGCACACAGCAAGTGCACGCATTGTTGAATAACAGGGAAACATTTGGGTCGTCTTTGGATGTATAAATTCCGTCTAGCGCTTGAATTGATGTAGCCTATGGCTATCGACTGGGGTATACTATTCTTCCAACTTGCTCTCTCTCTCTCTCTCTCTCTCTTTATATATGTGTGTATGCATGTGTATGTATGTATGTGTGTGTGTGTGTGTGTGTGTGTGTGTGTGATATGAAGACCCCGGCCAGTGTCCTTTACCACTGCTTCATGCTGAACGGAATGCTAGAGACGGGGTGTTCCGGGTTCAGCCTTTTCCTTGCGTCCTTCTTTTTCTGCGCCTCGAGGTCCATTGCGCCAGCGTCCTTGAACTTTGACGAGGAGGCGGCGGTGCTGCCGTCGGCCTTGGCGAGAAGCGGGCTGTTGGAGTCGACGGACTGCCGCGTGTTGGCTTTGGCGTCCATGGCGATTTGGGGGGCCCTGTCGAGTTGTAGTAGAACAGACGGGAGATTCTGGTATGGTATGGTAGGAGGTGAATTGCTCTTTGTGATTTGAACTCTGACGGACGAATGGGGATATACATGGCTTTATATTCATTGGCCGACATGGTTGTGAAAGCTGCGAGGCGGATGGGGCCCGCGTTCGCGTCAAGCGTACCCGAAGTCACCAAGACGCCGAATCAGTTCGCCGTAGAGAGGGGCCCAAGCCGGTAACATAGCTTTGAGTAAAAGGTAATAACGGTGATAGTATTGCCGTGATAGACACACACACACACACACACGCAATGCCCTTCAGCCTTGCGCCAGGTGGGGGGACGATGGCGTCCGGATTCCCCGCCAGGCAAGAACGCTACGGTGTAGGATGACGAGGCGGGAGTGCGTATAGGTTTGCGAAGCCTAGGCAAGAGAAGCAATTTCAATGAATAATCTTGGATCTAAACGATGGTGAAGATGGCCAAGCGGTGCGTGTCGGTTCGAGGCTGCTTGGATGCCGAACAGTGGCAGCGCAACAGGTCCAGTCCCTCGATGACTCCTACGGCCAAAAGGGAGTACCCTCCCGCATCTTGGCAGACGTGCTTGTAGATGAAGAGCGGCGATGAGTTAGTTGCAGCAAATGGAAGGCAGTCACGGCTTGCGAATCACTGCACCCACGTAAGACGCGCACATGATCACGATGCTCTAGTTCGGCTGGCGCAACGATGTGGGCTGGTTTGTAAGTTTTGTTAACTTAGCCCCCACTGACTTTTGCGCGGCGGGTGAGTTTTAATTCCCTGCCTATCTTGGAGCTCGTTTTTTAGTAGCCGGGGGAAATTGCTGCAAGAATGATTGGTAATGCCAAAGCTGTTAGTTATGCCGCACGTTACGTGGTGCAGATCATCGCGGCCTGCATTGCGGCGATCACTAAGACCAATGGCGCATTGCACTCTGCAGGGTGAGACGTTGACAGCCCAGGTAGACGACGCAATTAAATAGCTGCTAAATATATCCAACGGCATAGCCTGGCTACTTTCAATTTGCTGATCCGTAACTGCTAGCTACTTTAGATGACTGCTAACAGCGACGCTCTTTGCGCCGCTCTACACGTCAGCTCCTGACGCGGCAATGCCTCCAATATTCAAACCTGAGCATTAACGAATGGAAGTCAGCAACGCTGAACAGCAAGCCGATGGCCAATTGCTGCCCGTTTTAGATTCCTTTTTCGGCATGTCATGCTCGAATGGGCTGTGGTCTATACGTCTGAACGTGTTAAGCATAAATAGGCCTGGCCCGTCTGCCTTACGAGCACAGCCACCAACTTGTCAGATGCAGGTACCCAGGCCACACACGGCAGTTTACATGACCACTTCCCAGGGAAAATTCAAAATTATAAAATCCATTTTGGCTATTATTCGAGGCAATCGTTGGTCGAGTTTCAGGACCATAACATATAGAACACAGGCACTTGCTGGTGGTACGCAACGTGGTCACCTGGCCTGCACTGTAGATTGACGAGTGCCAAGACAGATGAGGCAGACAAAGGAAATGATGCTAAGATAAGATCCAAACGCAGCTGCCTAGCAACTTTCTTTGTCAATGTGATGCACCGTCTCCAACGTACACAAGGCGTCAAAGTTTGTGACGACTCAAAGAACCGGGTTGCCGCTGCTACGGCCGGGTTATTCGTGCGACCTACCTTTTTCAAGACAAACGCTTTCCTCCTTCTCCAACACAAGCCCCTCATCATCATCATCATCATCATCGTCATCATCATCACAACCACCACCACCACAACCACGACGTAATAGGGCCAAGAACGCTGTCGATAAGAGGCGCAGGCTGTTTGACTCTTGCAACAAACAAGCTCAGGCAGTTTTTGGACGATTTTTACTCCCTTCAACACCATCAGTACGACTGGAACAACCGAAGCGCTATGATCGCACGCGATACGCCTTCACCGTCGTAAAAGTCGACCAGCACAAACGCAACACAATCAAAATATTCATCTTTTTTTTTTCTCGCGCTCATTTTTACCCGAAATCATTCATAAAAGCCACCCCTAAAAGACCAACCCGCACATACATTCGTACACACGGATCACAACGAGCACCACCACTCTTCTCAAACGCAAAACCGCGAATCCCCCCCCTACAATGCCGCCATCCCCACTGCTCCAACGTGCTCTCGCCATCACTGCCCGCGACGCCGGCCTCGACCGCGCCATGGAGCGTCTCGGCGGCGGCGGACCGGTCGCGCGGTCGGTGGTCCGCGGCTTCTTCGTCGGCGTCGGGCTGGGCCTCATGCTCGCTCTGCTGTGCTGCTGCTGGCACCCCTGCTTCGGCGAGGACCTCCTCGAGAGGCCCGCCTCGCCAGCCGGGGGGTATGTTGGGGAGGACGAGAACGGTATCGTCCGGAGGATTATTCCGGAGGAGGAGCGCCGGCGGGGGCGAGGGTGGTGGAACCGACCGGCACGTCCACAGCGGTCATGAGCGGCGAGTTTGAATATGTGGACGAGGGGGTTCGTTTTTATATGGCGTTCAGGACATGAATATGGGTTTATTTAGCGGATAGATGAGTTTACAGTGTGCATGCGGCGAATTTGAATTACAATTGTAATTATTTCCTTTTTATACTTCGTCTTATCTTTGGCGTTCGTTTTGTGCAAGTCGTTTCATTGCCCAGTTGACCGCGTGTAAGCCAAGTGGCACAGAACCGGTGGCATTCACTGACGCAGCTAAAAACAACAAAACACAAAAGTACTTCAAAAGAGAAAAAAGCCAATTGGCAACGATACGATGTAATCTCGCCAGTTTAGCACACCCGCCTACACAACGTCCAAGTCAAAAGGTTACCTACCACATCACATGTACGGTTGCTTGGGTACAGGGTAAGAAACGGCACCAGGGGTGCACGTGACGCAGCTACAAAACTTCTGGCAAATCAGAGGCGACCGAGCGGAACCCGCTCCTAGTAGGAACTGACGAGGACCGAAATTTTTGAACTACTCTCAGGAGCTCCTAATCGATCATCCCCCAGCCGACTTTCAATTTGCCCCCGACGCTTTCGATACCTGTATTCCATCATTTTAATAGTTCCAAGCATTCACTTGCCGAGGACATCTGGCCCTTTGTTACAACACGACCTTTCGAGCGACATCCTCTCCTCTTCCCATCGCCGACGTCATCTCAGCGGCCTTTCTAATTAATCCCATCTTAATCCACAGCCGCCACCATGGTTACCCTTACCGAAGTCGAGGACGAACACTTCCAGGAGCACCCCGGTGCCCAGTACGAAGACGACGAGGACTACACGGATACTGGTATGCCACCCAAGTTTGCGCCCGCTGGCCCCCTATGCGCCAGCATGCAATCAGCTCGCCATTGGGTCTTTCCTCTTAAGCCTCTCCTGCTAACCCATCGCCTTCTCAGAGTCCGAAATCTCCAATGACTCCGACTTTGACGCTGAGAACGAGAGCTTCGCCGAGCGCCTGTACGCCCTCCGTGATATCGTCCCGCCTAAGACGCGCGGCTGGATCGCCGACAGCGCGAGCGCCATCTCCAACCGCGCGTGGAGCGTCATGTCCTTTGGCGGCAAGAGCGCCTGGGTCATCACCACGTCGATCCTCTTCCTGGGCGTCCCCTTTGCGCTGTCGTTCCACGAGGACCTGCAGTACGCCGCGATGGAGCAGGAGTACAATATGCGCCAGAGCGGCGGCGACATGCTGACCGGCGCTGCCGGCGAGGAGCAGAGCACCGCCGAGAAGGTTGGTGCCGCTCTCGCCGCCGAGGGCCAGGGCCAGGCCAAGCCTGCTCTGTAAACTCGGAGATACAGTCTTGTATATCCTATACCGCAGGAAGGCTATCCCGCGACATACAAAGCAACATACGAAGGAAGAAAGGAGAGAGAGGTCTTCCCGCAGTCTCGCCATGGAGACGGGGATTCCGGAATCATTCACCGTGACGATGACATGATTTATCGCGTGTACAATTAGCAAGAAAAACGGCCGGGGCTGTCAGGATGGAAAAACGACCCATCTCAGTTTCAAGTACCTCATTTTCGCGGCAGCTTGGGTTGCCAAAGGGACATTGGCAGATTGACATGTTTTTTTGGGATGTATAGACAAAAAAGCAGGGAAAGAGGATTTCTCGCAACATGTTTTCTTTTTTTTTTTCGTCGGCGGACGCTTGCACATGAGGTTGCCAACTTTGGGGCGTTTGTACCATCTCGCAGCATTTTCTCATGGGGTTTGGGGGCTTGCACATGTATATTACCACGGTACCTCGCTCGCGCTTGAGATTTCTCACTGCTGCATCACTGAATATCGACTCCACTTGAAAGTTATCTGCCTCGTGGTGTCCATGGAGAGTTATAGGTCACGCCCACAGTTCATGTTGCTTTCGTGTTTGCCCCTGGTCATTGTGGAATGGTTTCTCATCGCTATGCAGGTTCCGGTGATTCAAGAGCCTGGAGAGGTTCTGTTAGATGGAAAGTAATCTTCCGAGGCTCATACAATAGACAAAATCACTATAAGGCGCGGGTTGTCGGATTGTTTGTAAGTGTATTCTGCCTTGATGTATCAAAGACGACCAATATTTTATAGTTTTACCTGCAGATTTTGAACCTGATCGAAATACAAGGCCACGGTGAGAAGTCGTGAAGACACCTGACAGATCAGCCTTCTGACGTGGCTTATTACATGCAAGACATTGCCTCACCTGCCAGCCTGTGTAACGTCGGCCTCCGGGCCCACCGCACCGAACAACGTTCTGCCTGTGGAGCTGTCTTTGGGCATCTTTCATCGTCCTTGACTTCCTCCTTGTCCCATTCGGAAGAATTGCAAAAGAGGGATGGATTACGTTGCGCTGCCCAAGATTGAGGTACGTGGTTTACCTTGCCCCCGGCGAACTCCGGCCGCCTTGCACCCGCAACAACTAACGGCTTGCTTGCCCTTTACCCCGCGATAGCTTCACGCCCACCTGACGGGCAGCGTCTCGCGGCGCACGCTGCACGACATATGGCGTCGCAAGAAGGACGCCGGCGAGACGGACCTCCAGGACCCCCTGGAGGTGATGCCCGAGGGCAAGTTCGACTTTAACGTGCAGTCGTAAGCCTTCCGCCTCCCTGCCCACCCGAGCGCTTCTGCATCGGGTCGCTGAAGAACAAAAACTCACATCCTCTCGTAGATTCTTCCCGCTGTTCAGCAGCTACATCTACAACCTGCTCACCGACGCCGCCTCCGTCACCGAGGCCACCACCGCCGCGCTGCGCGACTTCCGCGCCGACGGCGTCGCCTACCTGGAGCTGCGCACCACCCCGCGCGCCACGCCGCTGCTCTCCGCCGAGGCCTACGTGCGCGTCGTCCTCGCCGCCCTCGCCGCCTTCAACGCCTCGCAAACGGACACGCGCGCGCGGCTGATCCTGTCAATCGACCGGCGGCACGACGCGGCCACCGCCGCCTCCGTCGCCGACCTCGCCGTGCGGCTGCGACCCGGGGGCCTGGTGGTGGGCGTGGATCTCTGCGGGGACCCGACGGCGCGCCCGGGAGGGGAGGTGCGGCTGTTCACGCCGGCGTTTGCGGAGGCGCGCGGGGCCGGGTTGGGGGTCACGGTGCACTTTGCGGAGGGGCGGGCGAGCGGCGCCCGCGAGGAGTTGGAGGTGCTGCTGGGGTGGGAGCCGCGGCGGCTGGGGCATGTCATCTGGGAGGACGAGGCGGCGAAGCGGGAGATTGCGAGAAGAGGGTTGTGCCTGGAGCTGTGCCTGAGCTGCAACGTGCGCGCGGAGATGGTGACGGGTGGCTACGCCGGGCACCACTTTGGGTACTGGCGGGGGGTGGACGGGCCCAAGATTTCCCTCGCGGTATGTGCCTGGAGTCCGCGGGAGGGTGTGTGTGCTTGCTGACGATGGATATAGACGGATGACGTGGGCGTGTTTGGAAGCCCGCTGTCCAAGGAGTACGAGCTGGCGGCGGAGCACTTCCACCTGGACAGGCAGGCGGTTTGCTCGCTGGCGCGCGAGGCCATCGACTCGACCTTTGGCAGCGACGAGGACAAGGAGTGGCTTCGGTCCATCATGTGGACGTCATAGAGATGGAGCCGAGGCACATGTCACAGATTCTTGGAGTCACCGAAACATGATTGCTATAGGGGATGTTTGTTATTTATTTCAAGACGCTGGTTCAAAAATGTAAACTGCCATGCTATCGAATACCGCGGCAAAATATGAGGAGCGGAATGGTTCTTTCGAGTCATGTTCTGGCAAGCCGCCAAAGGTCATCGTAAAAAGAAAAAGACTAGAGGGAAGAACGATGGGTGTCATCGTTCAAGTGTATATGTATACGCACAAACAAACAGAGTTGCTGGTAAAAACTTGCCGCGGTTGTGCAATGGCAAGATTGCACACGCTCAAGAAGAACCGCAATTACAATCAACGCCGACACCAGTTTGAGCAGCAAATCGCCTTACGGTCCCGCCGCCATCCCCCAACCCGGCACTCATGTCCATCGTACAGACCCCACGGGCCCATTCAAAGATTCGTGGTGTGCGTTTGTCAAAGCCTATTTTCTTTAGTGCGCACCTTGCGGGAGCGCATCGAGATCGACGTCGTTGACCTTGCTGCGCTCCATCTCGCTCTTTAGGGCGAGATCGCCGAAGAAGTTTGCCGCGCGCTCGCTCTCGGCGCGCGTCTGCACCGTCTCGTCGCGGCGGTGGTCGAGCTCCTTGACGCTCTGCTCCAGGCGCACGCGCAGGTTGTCGGCCGGGTAGCGGAGCACCTTGCGCACCGACGAGGCGATGCGGGCCGAGTTGCCGTGGACGTAGTCCATGTCGGCTAGCTGCTGCGTGATCTTGGTGGCGAGCCGCGGCGGGAGCGAGTTGGGGATCTGCTGCAGCACGTACGCGGACGCGGCCACGGCGGCGATGACGATGCCGGGCAGGATGAGCTGGCGCAGGTTCTCGTTGCTCAGCACCTTGGTCGCAGTGAGGGCTTGGTCCATCCAGTTGCCCATGCCCATCATGCGCGGCACAACGGCACCGGCAACTGTCAGGGCCATGCTGGTGCTGGCAAGCTTCTCCTGCTTCTGCAAAATGGTAGACCAATCGAAGAAGTCCCAGACCTGTGTTGAAATGTGAACGTTGCGCGCGAGAGCGTCACGCTTGCGACGGAACATGACCTCAGGTTTGAAGTGCAGGTTTTGGAACTCATCGCCAATGTGCAGCAGGCCTAATTGCTTGATTGTGTTGACTCCACGCATTGTCCTCTGTCTGGCACGGTCTTCGCAGATGTCGACAGCTTCTGATATTTGCGACAACATGGCCTCCTTCAGGTCGTCGGCGTATGAGAATGCACCAAACAAGCCGGGGTAAGGAATGTCGTACTTGGTATTTCCAGACTCAGTAATAGCGGTGGTGAGTTGTGCGCGGGTATCATCATAGACCTCCTTGCATGTGATTTCAATGCTGGTGCTGACCTGGTCATCGACCTCGGTCCTCGCCTTCTTGCTCGATTCTAGCTGAGGCTCCAGTTCTCTGAGCTCACGAGCAACGCGGTCAATCTCAGAGCGGGCAACTTCTTGGTTGACTCGGGCAAGAGTGTTGACGTCGTTGAGGATGTTGACAAGGTACGTCTTGGCGGGGGCAAGCTTTGACCTCGCGCGCTTCTCTAGGACAAACCTGCGTAGAGATTGTTCCAAGGCCTCGAAGTCTCGAATCTTGTCCAAATCCTTACCCTTGCCCTTGTCACTATCATCCGGATCATCTCCGCCGCCGCCACCACTGCCGCTTGGCCCTCCTGGAGGCGACGGGCTAACCGGGATGGCATTGCTGGACACAAAATGGACTAGCTCATCGGCCTCTTTTCGTGTGCGCGGACTGAGTCTTCCCACTTGATCCAGAATCATCTTTTGGCAGCGTTCTTTGTCTCTGATGTTGTCATAGCCGTTGACGACCATGAAAATATAAGCCTTCTCAGAGGCGGCTGTGGCAATGAAGTCCGTCGCAGACTGTGTGAAGTGGTTGGCTGCCGAAACAACGAAGACTACCACGTCAATTTCTTCTTGCCTGCTGAAAATAGCGGTCGTCTTTGTGTTGTTGGAGTTGAGGCCTGGTGCATCGATTAGTGCGATATCGACAACACCGTTGTTGAGCAGAGATTGATCAATGGTTCTGTTGTCCTTGACGAAGATCTTGCATTGTGTATATGTGTCGCTATCGACGACAATCTTCTCGAGGTCCATGAGGGTGAAGACATCGTAGGTGCTCTCGTCGTTCCGGTTGTAGATGGCATCTTTGTGAACTGCGTGTACTTCCTCCAAGCCAGCATTCTCCCTGGCGTCGAGCACTTCGCAGAAGATGGCAGTGCAGGGCTGCTGGTCTTCGGGTAGAAGCTTGCGGCGAAGAAGAGCATTGCAGAAAGTTGATTTGCCAGCATTCAAGTCTCCGGTGATGAGCACCTTACTCGTAGTATCTTCGATGCGTTCACGGAGAGAAATGAGGTGCTTGATGCTGGACGCAATCTTGCCGTCGAGGAGAGCAGCAATCGAGTGCTTCTCGAGGGAGTGGACTAATTCGGTGTGGTGCAGGGACCCAAGCTTCAGGTCGAGTTTGAGAATGGAGAATTCCTGTGCGATCTGTGGCGAGACGAGCCGGGGTTCTGGGACTCCTCTTCGCTCAGCAGCGGTGCTAGATTCGGCGGTGCTATCTTGGAGAGATGTCATGGCGCGTCGAAGGATTGGCGGTTGTGCTTGCACCGAGGAAGACGAGCTGGCGGCATCAGCAGCCATGGTGCTAACACGCTGCAGGCCGGGTCGAGTGGCGTTGGCTTCGAGGTCGGAACGCTGCACGGAGGGGTAGTGAGCAGGCCATGATGTGTTTGTCTCCTGAAGACTGTTCAACAGCTCTAGGACCTTGTTTATCGAGCGGCCGAGGGCGGTGCGCTGGCGGTTGTACCAGATCTGATGGACGACTCCTGACTGTCGTTCGTGATGCATGGGCGCATCCCAATTTGCGCCCGTCATGGCGCTCTGCTCATCGCCCGCGATGCTTCCGCCATATCCGGAATCGATGTCTATTAAGTGTTGTAGTCGCGCCGCGTGTTCCGAAGCGGCGCCGTTGCCGACTGTCATGAATTTGGTCTCGTTGGGGTGGCGAGCGGTGTTATTCGCGTCGGGCTCGGCGTCCTGCGGCGCAGGGGCTTTGCCCTTCCCGTTGGCATACTCCTGGCTCATAGCGATGCAAGCCTGGCTGATACCATTTCGAGAGAAATACTAAACAACAAATGGTGCAAGATTTCGCGACGTTGCGATGTGAAGTAGCAAGGCTTGCCGACGACTGTGGCGTGATGTTCTTGGGGAGGCGAAATGTCAAATGTCCGTTGGGGAGCGTGGGTCGGTGATTGGCTGATGCAGCGCCGAGTCCACTGTAAGCTGGTGCAGACACACTGGTAATTACACCTACACTTACCACTAATGAGTGCGGTTTACTGTTTATTTGCATTACACTAGTAATGACGTAGTGTGTCTGTTGTCCTTTCCTTTCCTTTTCAGTTTCTTTTTCTTGTTGTTGCATTTCCCAATATTTGTTCGAATCCTGACAGGCCATGGACCCTGGTAGCGGGCGCTATATGGAGTAGACAGGTTCGCAGGCTGCGGATGGTTCGAGTTTGTGCCTTGCATATGCTCTCGCAGCGTCTGCAATAAATGCTATGAAAAAAATACAAAATCAATCGATTTTAATGTTCACAATATCATAATCGCGGCTAATAAAAAAACTATCACAGCAGCAGTGACGTGGCTGACGACAAGTCCGACAGGCTACCATATAATTAAAGTGGACCCAGTCGCCAAGAGGCACGCGGTTACGTCGTTGCAGCAGGCAGACTGTATATCCCACCATCTATCCGCTGCATCACCACCACCACCACCACCACCACCACCAACTCCAGCTTTCCCATTGCGACATTGAAGCCCGGAAGTGGCATTCCTAACCGGACCGTGTACCCTTAACGGCAGATATCGAGCCAGGCCGAGCCTCCGGCCAGCGACAAGATGAATGTGAGCGCCTACGCACCCGTCCATCGCATCGGCAGTGACGAGCCGCTAACCACCACAAGATGCTTGAATGGGTGTTTGGCAAGCGCATGACGCCGGCAGAGCGTCTGCGCAAGAACCAGCGTATGCTCGATAAAGCAATCCGCGAGCTCGACCAGACCCGCGTCAAGCTGGAGAAGCAAGAAAAGACGCTCATCCAGCAGATCAAGACGAGCGCCAAGAACGGCCAGATGGGTGCCTGCAAGATCCAGGCCAAGGACCTTGTCCGTACGAGGAGATATATCGAAAAGTTTTATGGCATGAGAAGCCAGTTGCAACAGATTTCGTTGCGCTTGCAGGTACACCCACGCCAACCATCCTCGCCCCTGGCCGCCCTGTTTGCTGACCCCCGCCTCAGACGTATCGAACGAACGAGCAGATGATGCAAGCCATGAAGGGTGCTACAATGGCACTCGGAAGCATGAACAAGTCTATGAACCTGCCACAGCTGCAACGCATCGCCATGGAATTCGAACGGGAGAACGACATAATGGAGCAACGCCAGGAGATGATGGACGATGCTGTTGACGACGCCATGGATGTTGGCGTCGAAGAGGAAGGTGACGAGGTCGTTGAGCAGGTATTAGAGGATATTGGAATTGAGTTCAACCAAGCAGTACGTTGCAGCACTCCAAACGTTGATGGCACGCTAACATCTGCCTCGCACAGCTCGGAGAGACGCCTACAACGATCGGAAATCCAGCTCAGCCAGAGGGCAGAATTGCACAGGCGGTTGGCGGAGGCGGAGGTGACATTGACCCCGTTGACAACGACTTGGAAGCAAGGCTTGACAACCTGCGAAAATAATATCGGGCTCTGTCTGTGTCAACAACACTGCAGGATCCCAGCACCGCTACTGCTCCTACGAGTCCAAGAATGGACGACTATTTATCTCTATTGGAATTTCTCATCTGCTACTACACTTCATTTCGGCGAGCCAAATAATATATACAGCTATTTCCCCAGCTGCCGAGACTGTACTTGTACCCTGCAGAGGCCACATTTGGAAATGGTTCAGCATGACGGCTTGGGTTGGTGAAGCTCATGACCGACGCACCAGCAATGCATCTGGAGCCGAAAGGCGGGCAACAGCACAACCAGCAGCGTCTCGTAGCTTGCAACAAAGGGCTGAGGCGGAGATTGTGCATCAAGGTTCCGCCGTGAAAGAAGAGCACCTTTGCCAAGATGAAGATACCTCTCTGCACAGCATATGCGTCTGGAATTAACATCTGGCATCCACGCTATCGAGTTTGATGCCCCGTAATTGAGGGGCTCGTGAAAATCTCCATTTAAGTCGGGGATGCTGCGAGGAATAGGCAATCAATATTTGCAATCTGCGAAGTCGTTTTCCTTGTAAGAGAGCAATATCTATTCCGTTACCTGAGCTGAGCGTGAGTACACATCTCCTCACAATGTCTAACCCTGTGCCACACGCCTTTGCTCAGGACCCTTGATGGCAAATGCAGCCTGTTTGCCTGTTTGCCTGTTGGCTTCCTATTCAAGTCGGCTGGCGCTAACCGGTGCTGGCGCATCAGGCTGCCGCCAAGCCATCTTGCTCGTTTAGTACTACAACGACGGTATATATTCATCCACTGCTCACTTGTCGTGGTCGTCTGCAATTGGCATCATATTTTTCACTCGTTTTGCACACTTGCGCTCGTCCTGACTCCGTTTCCTCCCTCCTGTCTGTGTGGCAATGGGCCTCCTTCAGCTACCTCCCGAGGTATTGGCAATGATTGCTGAGCATTCGTTGCCATACTCCGAGGAACTCTCTCTCACATGCAAGCAATTGTATAATGGGATAACCCCTGTGAGACAAAGACACATCGACCTTCGCAAGCAATACCGAAACTTCTTCTTCACCCCCAGCGTGGCCAAAGTTTCCGACTTGCTGGCAGAAATTGCCGCGGATCCCGTCATTGCCGCCTACATCGTTCACCTTAACCTGGAGACTCGTCAACACTGTGAAGATGGTGAAATAGATGACGAGTATATCGAAAAAATGAACCGCAAGCTTGCGCCCTTGGTCCTTGGCTCTTCGCACCTCTCCACGCTCAGCGATGACCAAGATGGGCTCCACGCGCTCTGGCTGCGAGAAATCGTGCATGACGTGGAGCATGAGAAAAAGGGGGATGGTCAGGCAGAGTTTTGCATCGCTTTTCTCGTCTCTCTTCTCGTCAATGTCGAGACATTGACCATGCCGTCACAGTGGTGCGACCTCGATATCATGAGAGGATCTGATTCCACGCCCCCGAACCCCGTGATTGCTCTGCTACAACTCCTTGTCAAGAACGCCAATAACAAAAGTTTGAAAAACCAACCATTGCAAAAACTGCGCGTTATCAAGCCGAGCGCAGAGGTTGATACGCAAGGTGGCACTGATCTAGAACCCTTGCTTCCCTTCCTGGCGCTTGACTCTCTGCGAGAGCTGCACCACTGGTGTGCGGTCTTTTCATCCGGGTATCGTGAAGACATGCCTTTTACTGCTCTTGGCCGCAATATGGAAGTGATGAGGCTCGAAGACTATGTCATTTACAAAGACGCTGCTAGGTTTCTTTTTAGGCATATGAAGAACCTGCGCGTTTTTGAGATGGAGTACTCTATGAAGGATGAGACAGGCTATGGCTTTGAAGCTGACGATTTTATGCAATACTTGATTGTAGGGGCAGGAGGGAGTCTTGAGAAGCTGCTTCTCATCGGGAACCACGTTTGGCCTGACACGGAAGTTTTGAACTGCTCGTTGCGGGGATTTACGCGGTTGAAGCACCTCGAGCTGAGCACCCTGTTTCTTGTCAATGGGCCCGGGGCTCTTGGTCCTGGCTATGGAGAAGAGAACTGTGAAACGGAAGAAGAGGAGAGCGATGATGAGGATGAAGACGAAGACGAAGATGAAGATGAAGAAGGAGAGGACGACCAGGAGGATGATGAAGCTGAAACTGAAGATGACGATGAAGATGAAGAAGGAGAGGATGACCAGGAGGGCGATGAGATTAAAGGCGAGAATAACGAAGACGGAGAAGAAGACGCGTCAGACGGGGAGAAGGAGGATGCGGGAGATGCTGAATCAGACAACCAAGAAATGAGCGATGGAGAGGAGGACCAGGATAAGACCGTGGATGATGTACCGGAAGGAATCACGCGGTTATACCATGAAGACGGTACACACGACGATATGCTTGACTTCTATCCCGAAGATCGCCAAACGAAATATCGGAACGGCAACACTGTCTGGCGCCTCGTCAGCGCGCTTCCCGAGACGCTCGAGACGCTCGTTATCCACACTCCTGCTGCACCGCGCAATAGTTCCTGCGTAGAGCGCATGTTTCTCTATTTCGAGGAGCTGCGCGCCGAGCGGCTGCCCAACCTCAAGCGGATCGAGCTGCGCGTGAGTCTGCGAACGCGCTGGGGCGACCTGCTGGAGGGCGGCGACGATGAGGTGGCTCATCTGCAGGCATTTTTCGCCGACAAGGACATTCTCACCAAGTTTGAGGTGTATGATGACGTGATACACTGGATCAACCGTGATGAGCCAACCTGGTGGTGAACTGGACGAGGTCGGAACGGCGTCTAGAGGTTCAGCTCTGTCTGGGCTTGGAAATTGGGAGGATGGACTGGATTCTGGTTATAGAGAATGCTCGAGGAGAGAAGAGAACCTACTCTACTGTACATAATACCTACTATTATTCACTCATATCCGACTCGATAATCGGCGGATTATCGCAGGGCCTTCCCACCGTCAGTTGGACCACTCCACCCCCGGCCCTCCCCCGGCAGCGAGTGAAATCCTGGCGTCGGACGGAGAGAAGCCTTCGTGTAACTAGCTTAAGCGATCGCCAAAGGTCTTGACGTACGAGTCCCACCCGGCATCGTCGAACAGCAGGCCTGACAGTCCGGGGTTGAGCCCCTGCACCAGGAACTCTTGCCAGGCATCCTGGCGACAGAACTGGTTCGCGTCGAACCCAAAGTCCGGCCCCGTATACTCCAACACCGGCTGCCATATCTGAGACGAGGCCATGCCGGAGGCCAACACGGGGTCTGTGCCGGGATGCGGTGAGGGTGTCGCGGCCTGGTCGTGTCTTCGGCGTTTACTCCGCGACTCTCCTGCTGCATCTGGCGATCCCTCCGAGCCCAATCCCTCGCTGCCCAGAGCTTCCTCGGAGGGTATTTGCCCCGCCTGGGATGGGCTGTTCGGCACTCGGGTCTGTGAGGCCAGTTGGTCGAGCATCAGCTTCAGAGTGTCCCGACAGTGACTTGCGCTGGTCCACGTGCGGCCCATGCCCTCGAGCAACGATATGCTGTGATTCATGTCCCTTGGCATGAAGCAGTTAGCAACAATTGTCCGCATTCTCCGGGCTCCTTCATCTCTCACTCACAGGATGCCCTTTTCGAGCGGGTAGAGTTTGAGAAGACTCGCGTAGGCGACCACGAGACCCGCCATCCAGACCGCGGAGAGGGCTCCCGGCCAGGCCAGCACTAGAGAGCCCTTCGCACTTGCACGGAGCTGTCGAATGATCGCACGGCTTGCACTCAACGCCGACTGCAAGCAGGACCCAAAGTCCTCTCGGTCGGTCGGCAGCGAGAGGAACGGGCGGCTCACGCAGAGGACGAGGTGGTGATATAGGACGGCAAAGAAGGCCGCGTGTGGTGATTTAGCGCCGGTGGCGTCCTCGTCGTCTTGGAGGGACGACGGCAGGCTGTTCCACCACGAGTGAATCCTGGCCGTCAGGTCGAGGACCTTGTCCAGCGCGATCGATCGCTTGTGTATCGACGTGTGGAACAGTCTCAGAGCGTCTCCGAGCAGCTGCGAATACGTGACCATGCAGCCTAGAACAAGACCAGGAGCCTCTTCGGGCCGACGCGTGTCGTGGTCCCGTCCGTCGGAGCCACCCGCCGGGGCCAAGCCGTTGTTGCGCAAAAACGACTCGCGAGTGGCCGGCAGGTGCGCGCGCGCCTCATCCCCCGCCTCAACCGGACCGTGCAGCTCCGGCCCGCCGGGCACGCAGACGTCCACCTCGTCATCGCTCACCGCCACCGGATGCCCGAGCGCCAGCCCGAGGTGCCGATCCAGCACGTACGCGCACCACCACACCCTCTGCCTCACGCCCAGCGCGTCGTCGCCGCGGGGCAGCTGCCGGTAGCGGAACGGGCACCGGTGCAGGCCCGCCTGGTACATGAGGCGCGTGAGCGCGCCGTGCACCGTCGAGGCCGCACGCGAGGACATGCGCGTCACCAGGTACAGCTCCATCGCCAGGAGCGTCTGCAGGGCGCGCACGTCCTGGTCGCCCGCGACGACGAGGCCGAGCAGGCCGGTCAGCAGGGCGGGTGAGGTGATGCGGCAGCGAGGTTCCGAGAGCTGGTCGTCCGCGTCGGTCGCGGCGATGTTGAACACGCACTGGAAGCGCAAAGCGCGGCACAGCTTGTCGCGCAGCGTCTCGCCGCCGCCGCCACCGCCGCCGCCGGGGATCGTGGCCGAGTAGAAGCGGTGCACCTCCTCGAAGAACGTCGGGCCGTGCAGGAACGGGAACACCGGATGCCACTTTCGAAAGTAGATCATCAGTAGCTCCTTGGCCGCCGCGGGCGTCGGGGGCGCGCCCAGCCCCGGAACCCCTATCCCATAGTGAGGACCGCTGGGCGTCGCGGCCCCGGTCGAGGCGTCGTCGCTGATCAAGCCGAGGAGGAGGTCGTCGCCGTCGCCAGGCTGCTGCTCGTGCGTCGCCGGGAGCGAGCCCGGGTCATCGCGCGCGGCGGCGGCAGCGGCGGCGGCGGCCGGGGATGATGAGGAGGCGGCGAAGGCGCGGAAGACAGTGTTGATGAAGAAGACGCCGCTGGCGCTGCCGATGAACTCGCTCTTGTCCGGCCGGCGCGAGACGAACGAGCCGACCTCGATGGGAGGGAACAGCGCGCCGGCCTGCCTCGGTTGGCTCGACATGGCTGGTGCCGTCCGTCGATGGGGATGGCCCGTTATCGGACCGCGGGAATAATTTTTTTCTTGTCTCTATTCCGGAAGTAGCATCTCCCGAGTTTGTTTGCATAAAGCAGGATTGCGGGCCGTCAAATGATGATGGCAAGTCGAGTGCGGCTAAACTTTGTGCCGCGATGACGCAGCAGCGTCGCCACGCGAATCAGAACATGATCACCTATGTAGTAGACGTGTATACTAATTTGGAAATTAAATGTTAGATTCAAGCCAACATTCTGTGTGGTAAAACACTACACGAGTACAGCAGATAGTTCCTGGCCATGTTTCTCATATACATATACATGCCCAATCTTATCCCCAGACAGGCGAGCGGCACCCATACGACGTCGCCACCGTGCCGCCGGGTCCGAAGACACTAATCAAGCCCTCCACCGCCGCCCAGGTTCCCATACCCGACGTGGCCAGGCCAGCCAAGGCGTAAATGGCGCACGGGACGTGGATGTACCACCTGGCCATGAAGCCGCGCGCCAACCGCTTCATCCCGCTGTCATGCACGACGTTCTCGCCTGTCTCTGGGTTGAACCCCTCGCCGGGCAGCACGGCGGCGGACTGGACGGACCAGCCGAGGTACGCGATGCCGGGGAGCGAGTAGCTAAAGTTGACGGCGAAGAGGCCACCGACGAAGCCCACGATGCCGTTGAGGTTGGGCACCGCGGCGGCGATGAGGAAGGCGATGATCCAGTAGAGCGGGCCGAGCGCGTACCACATCCACCGACCGCGGCTTGACGCAATAGGCGGGAAATTGAACATCTCTTGGAACACTTCAATGTAGACCGTCTTCATGCCGACGTGGAAGTACAGCACTGGCAAAAGTGTTAGTTTGGAGAAGAGAGCGATGCGGCATTCCCAGTCACTTACCGACAGCGATTAGACCAGTCAGAAGGTTCAAGACGTTGTTGAACGTGCGCAGTCCGGCAGGGTTGATGACCTGATAGATGACGGAAGCCGAGTACTGCCCAAAGTAGCTATACACGAAGAGGCCGAAGAAGAGGTAGACGACACAGATGAAGGCCTGGGCGCAAATCATGCCTTTCCAAAAGTCCATGGGGTGTCTCATCTCCGACATGAAGGCAACGAAGAGAATAGCACCACTGTAGGCATCTAAATGGTATGGATAAGCACACGCGAGCCAATTATTTTGGAATGAGTAACCACTCACAAACCATGTTGTCAACTCCGTTGAAGATGCCGGCAAAGCCGTGTGCTTGCTGCTGATAAGCATCCGGCACGAGGCCTGCAAATGTCTTGACCGGGAGCTTTTCCTTGGGCAGGATGGTCGACCCAAAGATTGGCGGAAAAAAGGGTTCATACTTTGCCGCGGCGACCATGCTGTTGTTTTCTTCACGTTAGTAACCCCCTCCCCGCGCGAACTCTTCAGAAAGCAAGGGCTGGGCTCACATGGAGATGAAGCTGGCTATGTTGAACCAGACGGAGAGGTTGCAGATCCAGCTTAGGCGCTGCAGCGACCGGATGCTGCCAAACACCATGCCGATGGCCATGATGATGATCATGCAGACGATGAAGCACAGCTGCGGGCCGGCGAGCAGCGAGATGACGCGCCCCTTGCTGAAGATGAGTACCATGACGGTGCAGAACTGCTGCAGCGACTGCATCACGTTGATGAAGTGCCGCGTCTTGGGCCCGAAGACCCGGAAGAAGATGTCGCCGTAGCTGAGCATCGGGTAGCGCGACGAGTCGAGCGTGGTGAACATGCGCCAGAGCATCAGGCCGCTGAGCGTGGCGGCGATGCCGAAGACGACGTAGAGGGCGACGCCGGTGCCGTATCCGACGCTCGCAAAGACGAATCTGCAAAGATGGCGGGATCGTTAGCTGTCGGTACTACGTGCTCGAAGAAAAGCTGTCGCCACGTTGACAAACGTACGGAGTGTTGGACCAGCCGAGAATATCGGTGGTGACGAGGAAGAAGATGGAGCCCCAGCCAGCGGTGCGCATCGCCCTGGCGGCTGTCTTCCACTCCTCGTCAAGCGAAGTCGTGCTGGAGCCGCCATGCGCCACGCTCGGCGCAGTCTTGTCTTCGTCCGGGTTGGACGCCGCCAAGACCTTGCCATCTCCGTCGACCGCGGCGCCCTTTTCCTCAGTCGACGGCCCGGGGTTCGTGGCGGCGGCAGCGGTAGCATCTCGCTCGTCCATCTTCTTGGTTTCGTGGTGGACACCCTTGGAGAAGCGGCTCTTGACCATCTTGCTCAGCGTCATGGGTCCGCGGCGCTCGAGGTAGAGGCGCTCGGCCTCGCGCTCCTCCTCGCGCTCCACCTTGGCCCAGTAGCGAAACTCGGCAAAGGAGACGGTCGGGTCGACGCGGTAGTTGATGCCGTAGGGGCGTAGGGGCGCCGTCTTTTCGGGCACCTCGAGCGAGTGCTGGCGCGCGGCGGCCGGTGCGGCCTCAATGGGCATCTCGCCTCGGTCGCCCATGCTGATAGTGGGCGGGCAAGTGAGAAGTGGATGGTGAGAAAAGAAGATTTGCAGAGATGGGAGGAGAGGAGCAACGGAAACTGATGAGAAAAGAGAGCAGGGGAATGCAACAGGAATGTATGCCAGTTATAGAAGGTAATGTCAAGGCATACTAGTAGTGATTTAGTGTCTTGCTAGCATGCAATGGACTGGATGAGCGAGCGTGATGGGATTGTCAGCATACGAAGACAAAAGTCCTTGAACTCGACATCCAGCGTGCCAGCATGTCGGACTGCATAAGCACTGGGAATACGGCCGATACCTGGTCAGGCCGGGAGTAAGTTGCCAGCGGCCCCCGTCCTCTCTCTCCACAGTGGCGCCGCGATGGAGCGCCATGGAGCCCTGGCGGAGAGAATGTAGTGGATAGGGCGGACTAGCCAAGCCGGAAGTGCACTGGTGGCGTTCGCGACAGGCCCGAGGGCTATTACCGGGAATCGCAGCGCCGGAAGCAGTTGGTTGGGGGTTGGTGGACGTGGAGGAAATCCGCATGGTGGGATGGATTTGGCCGAGAGCAGCCGTCGAGGAATTGCGCGAGTTTTCTGGAGTAGTGAGGCAAGGTTCAAAAGGACCAAAGTGTGAACAAAAGTACCACGCTGGGGTGAACGATAAAGATCAATTACACCTCGAGGCTTCGGTACTGTACCCGCAGTCGCTGCTACGCCGTCCAGTCACTCGTCGTTGCTAGGCCGGTCGGTCATCCACAGTGTCTTCCTCGGGACACAGGTCGAGCATCTCTTTTATTACCACCCGCAACTCTCCAAGTTGCAGGGGTTTTCCAGGGCGAGTCCTGTCATTGACTCCGCCTGGACAGGACGAAGCCAGCAGGTGAGGCGAGCTTCCACATCCACCCCAAACCTGAACCAGTCTAGTATTTGTGGGTAGGTCGAGTTATTATTTGCTAAGATGACGATCTTTTGCACGGCACGTAGCTTTCCTTTTTTTTTTTTACCCAGGCTCGGAAAAGGACGAGTCCGCACTTGGTCGCTGCGTCGATCCCCAGTCAGGCTGCAAGGGTGGCCCGAACGCCCCGGAGTTCCTCGCGGCTTGAATCTGGGGGCGGGCGTCGGCATTGACGTGTGGCAGAAAATGGCCTGCCGTACGGACTAGTCGCTGGGACTATAAATGAAGCCCCATTCTGCGCGTCAGCGGCGTAGGTTGGGCTGTCTCTAACCGGGCCGGATTGCCCATTGTCCAGCTCGAGCCCGGTGCTGTAGCTGAGACTGGCGAGGCTCGCACCTGGCTAGTGCATCCAAAGTACCTCGTGCGTCGTGCCCGTGGGGTGTTGCCAATAATTCAAGCTGCACTGAGGCTGAAGAACGGCGAGTGGAAGCCGTCGCTTTGTCGACGCCCTCGACATGCATGGCCGCCCCAGCCACGAGTTGCCCTGCATGACCCTCCCTCCCCTCAATCATTTACTGTTATTGGGCGCTATACCGTAAATATTACCGGCTCGTGCCAGCACTGGTCCCAGGACCTGCTCCCGGATCGCCAAAAGCGCTCGAGGCGCACCCTCACCCGCGGCGGCATCGGGCTGTACTCGCTGCCCATTTCCGCGAGCAGCCGGCCGACCGTAGCCCGCTCCGCGAAGCTTCCCGTGGCAACGGCGTATCCCAGCACCGCGAGCGGCCAGGTGAGACACCACCGGAGGTTGTCCTTTTCAAAGGCGTGGCTGACGAGCCGCAGCAATATCTTGCGCTGCGCTGCCTTGACGGCGTCGATCCAGTCGACAAGTGTGGAATCCGCCGAGGGCGGATAGCTGCAACAGCAGTAAATGCTGCAGGCTGCTTTGAAGATGCTCGCCAGAAGATAGGCGGTGTCTGCCTTGGGCATTGAATATGGTTCCGTCCACGCCTCCGGAGCAAACCCTGCAATGGTGTCGTATATTTTCTCGGCCTTTTCCTTCAACAGCGTACCGGACATGCCAAGGTGCGCGGCGCCACGCAAATCGCCAATCTCGAGTATTTGCGCCCACAGAAAGCTGGGGCACGGAAAGTCGTTGCATAATGTGAGCCTGAATGCGTCTGTGAGTTCTTGGTTCGTGAACGTGTATAGTTGCACAAAGCCTCCAGCGTGCCGTGTCAGAGTATTGCCTATGACGGCGTTTCTAAGGTTCAGGTCAGTCTTGTTGAATTCCGACGCCAATTTCGCAATAAACGCACATGAGGATACGGTGAATGGCATTTCCCAAGCTCAATTCATCCCTGCCGAGAACAGCTGGTGTTCCACACCGTCTGAGAAGAGCAAGGAACCCTTCCAGGTGAGCATGTGCACCGGGCAGCGCAAGATAATCCTATAATTCAGGATCAATGCCTGTTAGCTTGGCGTTGGATCGGTATGGAGCACTGAAGAGACGCACCTCGATAGCTGACATTTTGCAGATTCTTTGCAACACCTTATTCTCGAGGACGTTGTCAATGTCTGTGATCTGATGGCGCGCAGTCTGACAGGAAGCATTCAGAAGCTGGTAAAGACGGCTCCAGAGGTGAGACGTATCATCGGTTGCACTCGGCGTCGGGATTGTTCCCCGAGCCACTCCCAGGAATCGAATTCGCGCGCAGAGAGCTGCTGCGACAATGACATCGCTGTAGGGGTCAAACGGCTGAGGCTGCTGGGCCACGTTGTGGCTGCTGCTTGCAACCGCCAACTCCGCATTGTCGCTTTTGACTACTTTGTTTCCTAATTTTCAGCCTGGAATTAGCAACCTGGCTGATGGATCCGAAAAGGTCGCTGCCACGGGCAATGGAAAGCGCATCAACAAGTGTCTTGGTAGCCTAGGAGGTGACCTACTGTATGCGACGGCTTCTATCACGGCCCATCCTTGAGGAATCAACAACGGAGGAACTTGTTGTGATTCGGTCGTGGCGTACCACAATTCAGGGCCAGTGAAGACGGCAAAATTGTCGAGGTGTAAACGTTCCTGGCGGTGCTTGGCCAGCTTGTGGTCGTCTGGACGGACGGACTGGGTGGTTGTCAGTTGTCCCTGCCATGCGCCATCTTGGTTGACTGCATAGTGAGCCGACAGCGGAAGAGGCTCGAATCTAATCCACTCTCTCCGCTTTGGAAACGTCTCCTTCGTAGCAATAATCTCCTGCGAATGCCTTTCATAGTGGCACGCGACGTTCCGCTTTGCGCAGCTCTTGCACTTTGGTCTCTGCTCGTCGCATCGCACGCGTCTCACTCTGGCACAGAAATGAGCATGTCGTCGGAGTCCATCCAGGGTGTCTGTCCTCTGCGGACGGCAATGCGGACACCCCTGAGCAGAGTGGTCACTTACCGGCAGCCGAGGCAGCCTGTTCTAGTCTTGGTTGCCCACTGCTTGATTCTCGGGCGCGGCGACGGATTGTCGCCTTGGCTATCCGGCGATGTACTTCCCATACTGCGTATTTCTATAAGACTTCAAGGTCGCTACAGGACCACGACATCTCTGGCTCTGTTTTCTTCACATGCATTGATGAAGTGAAGTGCCAACTCGGATTGAGCCTCATCCAAGTGTGGCTGTACCTATAGGCTAAGTGGCGCTGGAAGAATAATCCTCCGCAGCCTATTCAGAGTGCCAAGGCAGCCACTGTAACGTATCCATAGTATTCAACCATAACTTGTTGTGTCTTTACTTTCTAACAATAATCCAGCCGGATTCCGCAGTCATTACGCGCAGCCGCACCCTACACAACGTGGGTGCTATCTGTTGGTTGCATAAAGGGGTAAGTAGATATTAAATAGAGTGTACGGCCGCCGCGGGCCAGGGACTAGCCGCAGCACAGCTCGTTCGCCAGGCTGGCGCCGCTCGCGGAGCTGACCTGACGTGACAACGAGGCGGGCGTGCCGCCGACGTTTGACGGCATTCGCGGGCGGCTGAGCGACCAGCAGGGCGCCGGCGCGCTGGACTCCACCTGGACAGGCTGATGGATGAGGACATTCGTATTGATAGGATGACGACCGTCAGCGTCAGCACCATAATCATGGAGCTGAGCTGTATTTGGCACTTTGATGCAAGTTGCCGACAGCACAGACTCGGGTCACAAGGCACACACTGCACAGACCAGGAGACAGCTCATACCAACATCCATTTCTATGTGCTACCAGAGATACTGCTCCTTGAACTCCTCCGGCATGTCAAAAGCGCCCTCTTGGGCGTCCGAGTCTGGGGACGCTCCTGGTAAGAGATGATGTCGGACATCGGTGGCAGATCTTTGGGCAGGATTAGCAACGCGCTCGCCGGACGAGGCTCCCAGCGCCATCGCCGCATCGTGAGCATGCAATGGCCGGGCAAGGCGCGCGGCCGTTCTAGCCGGATCCTCCTGCGTTCCTGCTGGCTGGGTGACACCCACCGCCGCAGCCGCTCGAAGACGCTGAAAGTCTTGTGCCCAGTTCATCACATCCCGGGGCGTAGAGAGGGGGAACCGCTCCCAGTACGCGGCCATCTCGGCCTTGTCTGCTGCCTTGGCGTCGGGCAGGGCGGCCACTTGTGTGCTGCTTCGGAAGGCGGATGCCATGGTTGCGCCGTCCACGGCCGAGACGATCTGCAGCAGCGCGCGCTCCGTCTCTCGCAGCCTGTGTTCCAGGGCTTCGGCGTAGCCCTTGGCCGGGCCGCTTGTGCTGTTTAGCATCATCCTTGTTTTCAGGACGGCGAGATGGGATAGGTCAAGGCTTACCGTTTCCGCAGTCCCGGCCACTGGCATGGCTTCTTCAAGTCCCGGCAGCGGGAGCAGATCGGCCTGTCCACATCATTAGGCCGACGGGCTGACGGCATGTAGTTAAGAACTCACCTCTCTTCGTCACACTAGAAGGAAACATGTTAGTATGTGCATAGACTATCTCAGGGGGGTTACCCGTCGGGCTCAAGCTGGCCGTACCTTTTGCTTCCGTGAGCGACACTGATTGCACGCAGCTCGACCGCGCACTTTCGCTGGCATGTCGACTCCGCCCAGGCGGGCATCGCCCAAAATTGTTGAGGGGCTTTAGCAAGGCGGTACAGGGTTAATTCATATGCGAAGATCCGCATAAGCCGTCTCCGAAGACCAGGCAGTTGATTGAGTAGTTGAAGATGTTTGGCCGACTTGCATGGGCGGATGCATTCGGTTAATATTTCAGCCGACGTCGGCTCAACTCCCTCTTTCCCTCTTTGGGTGGCGGCGCCAAAACTTGGAGCCGCGGGGAACTTGCTCACTGGGCATGCACTCATTCGTCCGGTGATCAGCAGGCATGTTGACACAGCTAATTCAAACCAATCCCTAGTGACCCCACTTGATCGAAGACTGCAACTACTGTTATAACTAACATGATAAAGAGGCGTGGCCTGGCCCCTTGTAGGGTGCTTCTGCAACGACTCCCTCCCCAACTTACTAGCTTACCATTACCATTTTGGACCATGTTTCCCGGACTCACCCCCTTCACCGTTCAAACGGAGACTTCACCTGGGGTCGTCTCCATCTACGGCCTCAAAACTGACCCACCCATCCCGTCGCTGCCCACGCTCCTCCTGCTCCACGGCTTCCCGCAGAACCACCGGATCTGGTCCCGGGTAGCCGGCCTCCTCGCTGGCCGGTACAACCTCGTCATCATCGACCTCCGCGGCTACGGGGCCTCCTCCAAGCCTTCCTCGCTCGCCGCCTACGCCAAGAGCGCCATGGCCCGCGACTGCATCGCCGTCATGGACGCCGTCCTCGGCCCCGACGGCGACCGCCGCTTCTCCGTGTGCGCGCACGACCGCGGCGCGCGCGTCGCCCACAAGCTCTGCGTCGACCACCCCGCGCGCGTCCAGCGCGTGATGCTGCTCGACATCTGCCCGACGCTGGCCATGTACGCCCAGACCGGGCTGGCCTTTGCCACCGCGTACTTTCACTGGTTCTTCCTGATCCAGCCGGCGCCGCTGCCGGAGACGCTGGTCGCGGCCAAGCCCCGCGAGTTCGCGCAGAGGTTCATGGGGGCGCGGCAGGCGCAGGGCGCGCAGGTCTTTGATGAGGCGGCGTTCGAGTCGTACGTGGGAGGGCTGGCGGACGAGGAGACGCTGCACGCCATGTGCCAGGACTACAGGGCGAGCGCGACGCTGGACCTGGAGGAGGCGCGGGCGGACATCGCGGAGGGGAGGCTGATTAGGTGCCCGCTGAGGGTGTTCTGGGGGAAGCACGGGGTGATCGAGGAGTGCTTTGACGCGATCAAGGAGTGGCGGGCGGTGACGGAGGAGGGCGTCGTAGTGGACGGGCACAGCGTGGACTCGGGACATTACATCCCGGAGCAAATTCCTGATCTTTTGGCCTCAAAGATTATTGACTTTTTCGTTGAAGAATAGAAGCGATAGAGTGGAGAGAGCTTAAGTCAATACCATGTACACCGAGATGACTTCGATATCTACTCTCGGTGTGTTGCGCCGTCTACAGCATGACTACATCAACACTGTTATCATAGACTCTCTAAATTCGGCAAAGAATACTTTATTATTATTTCGACCACCTTGTCAGCATTAATCACGGAGCCTCAGTGCCGCGCGCTCTGCCGAAAAAGCCTCTGTGAGCTGTCGGTTCATCTTTCAACCGCCACCCCACCTCGTCATGCAGGACATATAAGTCGCAGTCCTGCCCGAAGCAAGTACTCATTCTTCAAACTATCACTCTTCTCCTACACCATACAAACATCTCTACCAACTCTTCCCAGTTATGGCCGCCAAAGCTCTCAAGATCGCCGTCATCCCCGGCGACGGCATCGGCACCGAGGTCATGCCGGCAGGCGTCCGCTGCCTCGAGGCCATCGGCAAAGTGTTCAACATCGCCTTCGAGTTTGAGTGGTTCGACTTTGCCAGCTGCGCCTACTACCAAACCCACGGCACCATGCTCCCCGCCGACTGGAAGGCCACCCTGCAGCGCTTCGACGCCATCTACTTTGGCGCCGTCGGCCTCCCCGCCGTCGTTTCCGACGACGTCTCCCTCTGGGGCAGCCTTCTGCGCTTCCGGCGCGAGCTCGACCAGTACGTCAACCTGCGCCCCTGCCGGCTCATGCCCGGCGTGCCCAGCCCGCTCGCCGGCCGCAGCCCCGGCGACGTCGACTTCCTCGTCGTCCGCGAGAACACCGAGGGCGAGTACAGCTCCGTCGGCGGCACCATGTTCGCCGGCACCGACCGCGAGCTCGTCGTCCAGGAGACCATCATGACGCGCGTCGGCGTCGACCGCATCGCGCGCTACGCGTTCGAGCTCGCGAGCCGCCGGCCGAGGCGCCACCTCACCAGCGCGACCAAGAGCAACGGCATCTCCATCACCATGCCTTACTGGGACGCGCGCGTCGCGGAGATGGCGAAGGGGTTCCCGGAGGTAAGCGTGGACAAGTACCACATCGACATCCTGGCGGCGCACATGGTGCAGCGCCCGGACGCGTTCGACGTCATCGTGGCCAGCAACCTCTTCGGCGACATCCTGTCGGACCTGGGCCCGGCGTGCGCGGGCACCATCGGCATCGCGCCCTCGGCGAACATCAACCCGACGGGTGAGTTCCCGAGCCTGTTCGAGCCGGTGCACGGCAGCGCGCCGGACATTGCGGGCCGCGGCGTGGCGAACCCGGTGGGCATGATCTGGGCAGGGCAGATGATGCTGGAGCACCTCGGGCACGAGGAGGCGGCGGCGGCGCTGCTCCGCGCCATCGAGGCGGTGCTGGCACGCTCTGATCCGGTGGTCATGACGCCGGATATGGGCGGCAAGGGTACGACGAAGAGATTCGGCGACGAGGTCGAGCGGGAGATTCTGAGGGCGGGCGGCCAGGCAGCGCCGAGCACGAGCAACTCGTAGTATACATGTATATACCCCGTTTTATATAAATACAAATATTTCATTTTATATATAGATACCATGCCTCCTTCTTATGTTAGTGCCCTTTTAAATTGCTTCTTTACGCCCATACCTGCCACACCACCGCCGCGAGCGCCAGCACCGCGGCTCCCAAGCTACTACCTCTGCTCCTCGCACCATTCTCGACCTGCCTTTGGACTTCGTCGCCGAAATGCCCCTGCACGTTGCCCGGCGGCCAGTACTCGCATGCGACGAACCAGCCGCGCGCGCCGCACAGCACGCGCTCGCAGCCGACCGTCGTCGTGTCGCGCCAGACGAGCTGGGTGAAGTGCCCCGTGACGTGGTCGAAGCCGGGCCGCGCAAAGTTGTACTCGCGGCGCTCGTCGCCCCAGGCCGCCACCGCGGCGGTGGCGTTGGTGTAGCCGATGGCGATGTTCTCGCCGTACGGCCCGCCCGAGTGCTCGAACGAGCAGTTGTCGCTGTGCGCGGCGTCGAGGTAGGTGCGCGCAAAGGCGGCGAGCGTCACGTTCCAGCCGAGCGCTGCAGCAGCATGCTGCCGCCGGTACGTGTTGGTGCTGTTGAGCACGGCCGAGGTGAACATGTACCGCTTCGAGTAGGACGGCTCCTCGGAGGGGATGGTGGGCGCGGCGGTGACGGTGATGGTGACGGCGGAGGCGGTGGCGCGGAGGGCGAGGAGATGCAGCAAGAGAGAGAGAATGCTGGTGGCCGCGATAGACATTATGATAACTACTGTCGTGTACTGCACGATCACCTGCAATGTGCGTATCTTTAACTTGGATGGTTTCGATTAGTGCTGCATCAAGTCAGGCCGTGTATGCATGAAAGGGCAACTTGTCTTACCTTGACGATGAAATCGAAGACGAGTTTGACGCTTGGTGAGTATTACAACAGTAGTAGCAAGGGTGCGCAAGCACAAGTTGTATGGCTTGACTACATCATCAGCATCACCACTGCCAATCAAGTTGTGCACCATGGCGCGTGGCTTGCAGACAACATGGTGAGTCCCAAAAACCGGTTTCGCAAATCTACGTCAGCGAGCAAACTAGATGAAAATCATCTGCAGCAACAAAGCAACTCCCTTTTTCCTTTCAGCGTTTCAGGTCTGGAGGATACAGAAAAAAAACAAAAACAAAGCTGGGTTTGATTTGGCTTTGACTGGCTGGTGACGCTCTGGTGATAAAACCGTCAGCCAGCATACTTGGGCGGGCCCGAGGCGGGCGCTTAATGGTACGACAGCTTCGAATACGGACACATCCGGGTCTACCCGCTTGAAGCTGGCTGGGAATGGCGGTGCTTGAAAATACCCGGGGAGCAGTATATAGCAAAACCAAACCGGCAAGGGAACAAAAGAGGCAAGCCGTCGCATGCTTCGGAATCCCTGCATTGCCCATAGTCTTGGAGAAGAAGGCCGGAGCTGCGAAGGATTGATATGCCGATATGGGATGGCTGACCGGGGCCTTAAGCAGGCAGCTGACCCCCGGAACAGGGAGAGTTGATGCAAGGCAAGTCCCTGGCCTATCAAAGTGTCTGCAACTTCGTTTGGCGTCTGCAAGAATGCGTGGTAGTTAAGGCCAGGGAGTCCACTTATAGCCCTTGAATCCTGCGAAGTATCGGCACGGCGCGCAAAGCGGCCTCTGCTCTGCATGGCATAACTAGATGTATTGCTGATAGGTCACGTACTCGATCATCGTTCCTTCCTACCCTCGAGAAATAATCAGAACCGCCTTCTAATCATTTCACCCCACCACAATCATGAGAAAGTGTTGCGTATCAGTCAGCGGGAATGTATCCCCGGAAGGTGGTGGTGCAGTAAAGCAACATCAGGCGGCGGCTTCCGGTTTCATTGGAGGGCGCAAGCTTCATCGGCACTGCTTGTAATTGGGTGTGCATTTGCAATCTGCACTGGAAAGCCCGCCGCCGCGGCCCAAGTTTGCCTTTCGCCCACGCCATGCTGGGTAAAATAAAGTGGTTTGTCAGGCTACTTTCTGCAAATCATTGGCGGGGTGGCGTGGCAGCACCAGACCAACCAAACCGTTGCGGTGTTCGGGCTTCGAAGGAATGACGACCGAGTACATCCCTGACGGCCTGGTACTTGGGGACCCTGGCATTGTGCGTGTGTGTGTGTACAGTACAATGTGGTGTAGACGCTGCCCCCGGCAATGAAGCTGACTGGACAAAGAAAGTATTGACTGGGTATTGCCGTGGACGACTTGTGTTATGAATATCGGCCGCCACAGTGGGTTGCGTGGTGGCGTGTGGGCCTCGTTGGAGCAGCAGCAGCCAGCCCAGCGTTTTGTTCTTCCAACGGCTGTAAGAGAAGGATTGCAAATATGCAAATAGTAATTACTCTGGTCGTGAAAGTCTAAAATGAGCCTGCCGGCACGTATCTGCTCATGGGGAGGATTGCTTGGCTGTGGTGAGCGTGACGCCCCGAATAGAGACAATGAGAATTCGGGGCATTCCCATGATGCCGGTGTAATTAGTAAAGGCGTGATGCTGGCAAATAAGACTCCCGCAAGGCTTCCCCAATATCCGATTGCTGACCATCGCTTCTCCATGTCGGTGCAGATTGCATATCACTACCGGTCGGCACGGAGGTGCTACATGCCGTTCTATGTGTTCGTTATACTGCGACTGGCGACTGCCCCAACAAAACCGATCGGCATTGACCGTCTTCCGCGGACATTTGACGTCTCATCACATGCCATCTCTCGTCTCCCGAAGTACGTAGAGAGGGCTGTGGGTTGAAGTCGGACAGCGCATAACCGACACAGGCACTGCTGGTTTTCAATGACGACTCGCTGACCTGTCCAGCTGATGGCGGATGGACCACAGTAAACTCTAATGCCTGTGTCTACCCACGAGCAACCGACAGACCTCATTGGCCCGCAGAAGCAGACCGGAGTCCCGAAGCCGCCAGAACAAAAGACGATGAAAGTATTCTCTTGTTAAAATAGGAGTACTTCCAGCCCCCTTGGGCATGCCTGTAATCTGCTTGCATCTGACCCTTGGGTACAGTCCCACTCATGATCCGGGGAAAGCCTGGGGTTGAGACGGGGCACGGGGCATTGATGATTGCCGTGTTCAGATTGGGTCAATGCGCGCAGAACCGGTTGTATTCAACAAGGGCGGCCGAAGAGCCTCCTTGTCATTATACCGTGGCACACCCACTGTAGGCGTGGCGGTGGTTAGAGGCCACAAGATGCAGCGTTTCCAGCGTTGCCGAGACGTCTTATGTTCGGCGTCATCAGTCTTGGTAATTCGCCGATTCGCTAGAATCATCCGCGAGCAATTGAATGGGGAAAGAGCGCGGTGTCTTCTAGCAGCGGCGTAAAATGAGTTTGAATAGCCAGGAAGGCACTATTAGAGCTGGTGTCGAACAGAGCTATGTAGTTGGCCAAGTAGCACGACCAACTTTCAGGGATTGAAACTTGATCGAGTTTGAGGCTGACTACAGTCATTTGTGAAACGACTGTGGGGGAGGTACGTGGCGGAATGGTTAGATGGGAAAAGGATACGACAAAACCGTGAATTGGAACTATGCATTTGTTGCAAAGCTCCTTCTCTGCAGAAAGAGCTACGATTCGGTCACAGTCGCTCGCTGCAGGCGACGGATACCCTTAACTTTCCCACCATCTCGACCCATGGACAAAGATAATCTAGGTACGGCTTCGGACGACCTAGACGTCGTAGCCTGCCATTTGGCTAGATGCTAACTATGGAGAGGACTGGGAGGCGCAATCAAATAGCCGGATTCGACGAGGAGCACTGTGCACACTGTGCGATTATGGATGAGTCTGGTTGGTGGGTATGGGTCCAGTTGCAGAACTAGCCTCCAGAAGCCCAAGGTCGGTGCCATTGACGGATCAATTAGAGCACGCTTGGCGGTCAACGACCCTGCAAGAATAAACTGTGCTGACCAAAATCGATCGACCAGGTTAAACACGAGGGAGCCGCTAGGCATGGGTTGACGCAGCTGTGGCGGACAGACAGGACGCGATGGTCAGCTGGTGTAGGCCTAGAATTCGGTTCACCATCTAGTATTTCGTAGATGAGTCTGGCTGGCTTCATTGTCTTCATGTATTCGGTTTTGCTAGCGTTCGGCGTATTGTCGATCAACTGATGAGGCAGGCTGGCCACGATTGAGAACCAGCGACGGTTTGCCACGCTTTGTCTGCCGAGCTTTGCTGACGGGAAAAACTCAGAGCCTTGTAACTTGCTACTGATAATGGCTCGGCGCTGTGTTGCGCGCGTTTTAGCCTGTGATGATCTGCACAATCATCTCATCGGCGAGAACCGATGCTTGCCCGTTCGATTCGGATGATGGGTCAAAATGGTAGTCAGAATACCGTTATTCGTCTTAGTTACATTAGAAATCACGCCGACACTGTGCCACAGTTGTCAGCGGGGGGTGTAACAGGCGTGATATAGCAGCCTGCCTGGCCTGCGGCTGGGCGATGTACATTCAACAGCTGGCAGCTTGAAGGATGAAGAAGGAGTCAAGGCTTGTGAGTGTTCGAGCTTCGAGATGGACAAGACTGCAAATGCGACGGGGGCTGGCGAGCCGCACCTTTGGGATGGCCAGCCAGGCGGATGATGACGAGAAAAGAAGATTTTGACAGCGTTGCGTAACATCGGGTGTTCGCAGTGCATGTTGGCGCTGGCGTTGGCGTTGGCAGGTAACAGTGGCAGTGGTAGTGCCTGTCGAACTGCGCCGGCGACAACCGAAGCAAACAGCCATCTCGGTTTCATCTCGGAACGGCGTCTTGCACCGTCAATACAGAGAAACAACGAGATACGACGCCCGCTACACTTGGAGCTCTATGAATAAGGTCCGGTTTGCTTCCGCGGAATGCGCAAATTGTGGTCTGCTTACATGGCGTGTGAGGCCACAGTGGACAAGTGGACAGGTGGACGCGGTCTGCGGCATTGGCGATTCCGCAAGTCTGCCTGCCATGGATGGATGGCAATGCCGCTCCTCATCGCCAAGTTTGTTGGCGGACCGGTGGGGAGTCCTGAAACAGTCCCTGTCCACACGGATAAATCTTGAAGGTGCATGCAAAACTCAATCTGCATTGTAGGTAGGCGTGGATACGCATACTGGTAGTGATATAGGTAGGCTGTAGCTGTAGATAACAGGTACGGAGGAGTGAGCCATCCCCGGAGCTGTGAGTGATGGGACAACGGACGGGGTGGCAGCACCGGAGTAGCCAGCGATGGTTCAGTTCGACCGTTTCCTTTTTTTTTCGAACCCGGCGACTCGTTCGATGCTGATCTATTTTCCATCACGCAAAATCACCATTCCCAAAGATTGCCGCTGATATCATCGCGGGCGGGCAAATGTCTGTAGTGTCTTGCACAGTGTATGTAGCGACGCCCACCTATGCAGAAGCAGCCAGCGAGAAGGCTGCGGCAAGCCCCAATGCCGATACGCCAGTGTTTTAGCTGGCACATGTATCTGCAGGCCGGGATGAGACATGGGATATGCCCGCGTACTGGATAGAGGCTGAGGCGGAAGGATGGCCGAGTAGATGGAAGCGGAAGGGCATGCTATGTGCATATCTGTCTCTACATTGATAGGCAGACAACTGCGTCAATAACCTCCCGACAGACACTGTACTGTATCAAAATGAGCCATGCAGACTGCATCAAGTCTACAGCAATAAATCGCTAGAACATTGGCAACATGCATCATGGTTACATGGGGCGTACAGGGGCCTTGCAGAGAGGCTTGCAGCGAGTGCAACGCTGGAGGGCAACGAGACCCTGGCGTTATTGGAGAGTTCTGGGCCTGCAAAACAGGTGGGAAAAGCCCCCTGGAGAAGGAATGCAACACCTGCATCAAGGACGCCTATTTTCTGGCACGGGAGAGACGGAAAACGTAAGCAGGCTGACTATGGGAAATCTGCCAGCATCTAGGTGAGGTTTGTACTGATGATAGACACTTCCCGCTTCCCTCTCATGCTAGCGACGTGGTGCGTGGCAGAGCGACTTGTTGGGTCCGTCCGTTGGTTAACGTACCCAGCAAGCAAGGCCGGCTGGATCACGGGCGCCGCATCGCATTAGCTCAGGCTCAAGCTCCACGCCTGCGAACCTGCAGATGCGAGCGAGAGTGTACCGAGTACTCCATAGGCAGTTCTGGTGTTATTATTGGTAGCCAGCCGTGTTATAATTTAAATCAGTCTTGACATTATCCACTGTGGCTCACACAGCTGCTTCTGCGCCGACGCCAACGGAAATGGGCTCGCGAATGACGCTGCCAGGGCACCGTGCGCAGGAGCGTAGCATTCACTGTGTCCAACGCCTGTGCTGTTGGTGCGATGCAACGGCGTTGCGCGCCGCTCGAGACATGTCTGGAAGGCCTTGGAAAAAAGAGAAAGGGAAAAGGAAAAAGTACACATGCATGGCCCACGGCCTTCAAGACAAAGCGATCCAGCAGATCGACCGGGTTCATCCTGTCCTTGCTCTCGACCGGAACCGTACTTCGTATCAAATGCTCTTCTCGTCTTGGGTATGAGATGGCGACAAGCGCCAGCCACCGTTTACCCCCAGCCCGTCGAAGCTTCTTCCAGGGGCCGTTGCCTTATTACTACTAAGGTACCAAGGTAGCTGGTGTCTACTAAAGCTACAAGTTTCGCAATCAGGCCACCAGCAAAAGTACACAAGCACCCAAATAGGCAGGTAAGGTACATAAATAGTACAACTCGTACCGAGGTGGTTCAGAGGCTGAACCAGTGACCTAACAAGCCCGCCAAGTGTGTGCTGCAAAAGGCCCCGAAGATAGTACAGTGCGAATTCGCACTACGCTTCGCTCGCCGCCTGGCCGCCACTAACCTTTCCCCATCTCATCCACCGCCAACCCGTCACAGCGCTAAATAAACCTTTCTTTCTTCCCTCACCTTTCTCATCGTTCCCACGACTTCTTCTTCTTCCCTCCCTGAGCAGCAATTGCTTCAACTTGGCGGGCCCGTGCTGTTTACGAGCGACGTTTTCTCTCCTTTCTCCCGCCCAGGCTGCAATTCGAGCAGCCCAGCTCCCCCTTGTCGCGTATAACTGTCGCTCCCACCAACCCGCCGCCAACCCGCCGCCAACCGCAGCCCGTCCTCGCGCCGTCTTATCGCCCCTCCATAATCAGCGCTTTTGTCCCCCACCATCGACACTCCTGCCCGCTGTCTTCCTCTCTACATTGACTAAAAGCCCCTCCCTCGACCTACCAAACTTTCCTCGCCCCACGACAGCTCGACGGCGGCTCAACCAACAGTGCAGCTCACCGCAATCACAACTTTGCACGTAGTTGCCGCCCCTTTTTAAGAACGCCGGGCTTGGCCATGGTCATGAACGATTCTGGAGCCAGGCCTTCTCGCTCTTCGTCCAACATGACTTCGACATCTCCCGCTGCTGCCGCCGCTGCACCCGCAGCCACCGCGCTCGCAAAGCCTGCCGCTGATGATTCTGGTGAGAGAAAAATCCCTCCCGCTGCAACGCTGCCCTCCTTTCTCCCGTCCGCCTCGGCGCAGCGCCCCGCGTTTGCAACATATGCGCCAGGCTCCAAATTCTCGCCAGCATAATTTACATCTGTCTCATGATGAATCGCCGCTAACCGTGCTGCCAAACTGTCAGCTTCCACTATTACCGTCAACCCCAAGCCGGCACCACCCACCTTTCCCGCGCCAAAAACCGATAAGCCACGACCCCACGTCTGCGCAACTTGCCAGCGGTCCTTTGCACGTCTGGAGCATCTGAAGCGACACGAGCGCTCCCACACTAAAGAAAAACCCTTTGAATGTCCCGAGTGCCAACGATGTTTTGCTCGCCGAGACCTGCTTCTGCGACACCAGCAGAAGCTGCACCAAACCACCACCCCCTCGGCCCGCCCGCGCAACCGCCGAGAATCTGCCAGCGGCGTCACTCCCGCCCAGGCTCGACGCAAAAATAGCATAGCAGGCGCCAGTGTTGGAGCTGCCGGCCAAGGGAATGCCCAGATGAGGCCGCGAGCCAATACTATAAGTCATGTTGATGGTTCCGCCATGCAGATGCTGGCCTCCACCAATGCCCCCGTCGCCAGAGGCATGGGCGGCCACAATAGACACCCGTCGCTCGTCGGCCTGCCACTGCACAACTTTGACTTTGGTGGCATGTCTCTCGCTCTCAGCCAGCGCGGCATGGCCCTCAGCCTCTCCAAGCTCGACACGGGCACAAACGCTGAGCTGGACCCGTCTCTCAGGACCGCGCCGGCCGTCGGCCCTTTCGGCACCGAGTATGACTTTGAGGGTCTGCTCTTCGGTCATGGATCTACCATCAATCCCAACGCCCTCCACTATAACGACTCGCCCCAGTCCATGAATGTCGATCAGCAGTCTCCCTTCAGCGGCAACCTCAACGATCTGTCGTCTGGTCAGCCGTTTGACGAAGGGTTTGACTGGGTCGCCGGCTTCGAGCACCAGATGACATTCCAAAATAACGAAAACGCCATTGACGGATCGAGCCCCTCGGCAATCAGCACAACGAGCCAGAGCGGCATAAGCGATGTGATGGTGGACGGCTCCAATCACCCGGTCCCGGCAGGGTCTTCCACCATGTGGCAGCCCTCGGTCATGGGACCGCCGCAGATGACGAACCCTTTTGCGATGGATATCAATGGGTCGGTTTTTCCGGATCTCCTAAACGGAGCACCTGTATCACCTCAGCCAGCTTCTCAAAAGATCAATGACCCCTACCTGTCCCCGCATCTCTCGCAGAGTTCAATGAACCCATCCGTCGTAACGGGACGCACCGCACAAAACATAAGCAGCTCCCCAAGCTTCCATTCCGGCCCGGACCCTACGCACCCCATCGCTGCCGGGAACCTCGGAGCCTCTCCCGTAACCACCATTACAGATGCCACCAGGACCGCCATCGTGAATATCCTCTCCAAGTCCCAGCCATTTGGTCGTAGACCCGTCCTCAAGACTGCGCCGCAGCCTGCCAATAATCAGCCTACCGAACAGAAGCTGCCACAAACCGCGGATCTCCAGCGATACGTTACAGCATACCTGACGCATTTCCACCCACATCTTCCATTTTTGCATGTGCCCACCCTCAACTTCGACATGTCCAAGCCCGGCCACGAAGACGAAGAAGGTTCAACCGGCGGCAAAGGGTGTCTCGTTCTGGCCACTGCCATGATCGGTGCCCTGTACGAGCGAGAGCTTGAAGTGTCCAAGGAAATTTTCGATCTGTCGAAGCGAATGGTGTTTATGTTTTTGCAAGATCGTCGGAAGCAGGAAATGAGCAGGGCTAGGAGCACTCCGTCCTTGAGCGGGTCGCAGCCGAGCGACGACGGATCTGACACGCCCATCTGGCTGGTACAGACGATGCTGTTGAATGTGTCCTATGGCCACAATGTTGCCGATAAGATCGCCACCGATATTGCCTCGATGCACATTTCAAGCTTGGTGGGCCTTGCCCAGGGTGCTCAGCTGGCGAAGCCGATACAACTCGTCGTCCCCAACATCGAAGACGTGCACATGGCCAACGATGATAATTTTGAACGCAAAAAGGAGCACCTGCAAGATCAGCAGTGGCTGGAATGGAGCCGAATGGAAGAGCGCAAGCGCACCTTGTACGCCGTGTTCCTCTTGTCCAGCGTTCTTGTAACGGCATATAACCACGCGCCGGCTTTGACGAACTCGGAAATCATGATCGATCTACCCTGCGACGAAGAATTTTGGGCTGCGGAGACGAGTGTGGATTTCTTCGCCAAAGGCGGTGTCCGCGGCGCGGCGCACAATACGCCGCCGTTTCGCGAGGCCCTCGCCGGGCTGCTTCACTCAAGCCAACGGGAAACTGGCGAGCCGGCCATTACCAACATGTCCGGGGCCTTTGACATGATCTCCAACCCGGGCCGGCTATTTGGCAGCAAGATGAGCCCCAGCTCCTTTGCGATGCTGATGCTCATTTACGCGCTCCACAACTACATCTGGGAGACGCGGCAGCGACACCACAACAAGGTGTGGACGAACGAGGAGACGGAACGAATGCACCGACACATTGAGCCGGCCCTGCGCGCTTGGCAGATGGCGTGGGCGAGCAACCCGCGCCACTGCGTGGAGCGACCGAATCCGTACGGGCTAGGCCCGCTACCGGCCGACTCCATCCCGCTTCTCGACCTGGCGTACATCCGTCTCTTTGTGAACCTTTCCAGCGCCAAGGAGCGCTTTTGGGAGCGCGACTGGGTCGGCATGGCCAAGGAGATTGCACGGGGCAGCCAGGTGGTGGAGAACTCGTCCGACGAGTCGAGCACGGAGCCGAGCAGCCGAGCCGAGCCGGCGGACGCGACCATGGCCGACGCCGTCGTGTCCGACTCGCCCGGCCCGCAGACGCAGTCGATCGACTTTGCCAAGTTCCACGCGAGCAGCGACGACCCCAACTCGGCGGAGCGCGTGACCTCGCGGCGCGAGAAGCACCTGCGCAAGGCGTCCTTCTTCGCCGCCGACTCGCTGCTGATGGCCGACCGGCTCGGCCTGTCCGTGGCGGACCTGTGGGGCGGGGAGCTCCCGCTGCAGGCGGCGCTCTGCGCGTTCGACTGCCTGCAGGTGCTCGCGGAGTGGGTGGCGACGCTGCAGGACCGCGTCGGTCCGTACCTGGGCATCCTCGGCGGTGATGGGGACGGCGGCGCGGGGGACATTGACTACACACAGATGCCGGCGGTCATGATTCTCGAGGAGGACGACGTGCGGCTGCTGGAAAAGGTGCGGGCCATCGTGGAGGCGATCGCGCGCAAGGCCCGGGAGAAGCTGGCGGCGGCGGGCGTCGACCCGGCGTTTGAGCTGGTGGAGCCCGGCGGGTACGTGCCGAAGCTGCTGCGGCTGTTCGGCGTGATGCTGAAGAACGCGGGCGTCTGGCAGGTCTACCTGATCCTGTCGCAGTGCCTGGAGTCACAGGCGCTGCACGCGCGGAGCCGCGCTCAGCGGTCGACCACGACGCCGATGACGGATTGAGCGAGGCCCCGCGTACGGATTTCGATGGCTATGAAAAAAAAATGAGAACGGAAAAAAATACAACTGATACCCCCCCTTGGCTGTGAAGGATTCAAGGAAATGGAAGGAAAGCATGAGGACAATTGATGGGTCAATTTCGTAGGGGAAAACGGAGGCGGTGGTTGGCTGAAGTTGATGTCTGGCTGCCATGTGCGCCGTGGGCTTAAAGAATATATGTGAGATTAGGTGTTTGCTCATCTTTACGTAGCACAGTAGGGAATACAAGGCCATTTGCTATCCAAGAGACGAGTCTCGCGACCCATTGGCGGGACTGCTAGGCTGCCTTGTCTTTTATCACAGTCAGGGCCACTCGCTTCAATAGGAAGTCAATTATCAAACCAATCAACTAGACCATTATCCGGTCAATCAATCAGATAAAAAGACTAGGCCCGATATCCCCAGCATCCGTGGCAACTATACCGACCATTCTTCTCGGGGCTGGGGCATTATTAGGCATCAATAGCTTTCTGTATCGGCTGCATGGCTCCTCTCAGGTTACACACGCCGGCATGACAACTTGCTGGGAATGCTTATTATTACTAATTTATGCCCATTCTCCACTCGTAGGTTCAGCAGATTCATTCATGCCCCAACTTTGCACCCAACGGCTTAGCCATCTGGTATATTCACTTTCGGCTTTCTCTAACACCATCATGGAGGAGGAGGTCGATGCTTCAAGCTTCCCCTGCGAGAATGGGCCGCCTCACATCTTCAGCACTGAGCGCCTCTGCGAGGCAGTGCAGACACATTTCGACGTGCCTTGCAAACTGGTCAAGATAGCCCAGGGCGGTTACCACAAGGTCAGTCGCTGCCAACTTGCAAGTGCGTCCAACGCCGCCCAGGTAGCTAACATGGCCTCGAACTCGTTGAGTAGGTTTACGATATTATAGCGACAGGTGACGAATCGCACCCTGAAAGCCACTTCAAGCTGTTGTTCGGGTTGCCTCGCCCGCCTTTCCATGGGACAAGATGAACTCCGAGGTAGGTGTTTGGTAACTAGGCTTACTTGCACCGACATGACTGCTCACTACGAAATACTCTAGATTGCGACGAGGAAATACATCGCTTCGCATTCTTCCATGCCTGTGCCAGAGGTATTGGCTTGGAATGTTGATGCTTCCAACCCTGTCGGTGCTGAATACATGATCATGAGCAAAGTAATCATTCCCCTCTTCTACGACACATCAGGAGAGATGGCCTCTTAACGACAAGTTTTACACGCAGATCTCTGCAGTTACAGCCGATGACGTTTGGTCAAGGCTCTCTCACCTGACATCAAGGAGAGAGTTATCATTCAGGTAGCCGAGTACCTTGCCGCCCTTTTCTCACTGCGGTTTGAAAAACCTGGTTCTCTTTACTACGCGCAGTTTCCTCCAGAGTCTCTCTCCCCAGTGTCTCCAGAAGCGTGGAGTGACGCTTCATTCGAGGTTGGCCCAATCGTCAGTGGTCCCCTTTATCGCATGATAGATCGTCGTCTCGAATACCCCACGACAGATCTTTACGCGCAGGTAAATTCGGTACCGTCGTCCCTTGCCGCCAAACGCCTACACTCTCTCCGCGGGTTTTTTTACTACTGCCAGCGACTATCTTGCACATTATCTTCGGGCGCTTCTGTTCAAAATGACGGAATTTCCAGATGAAACGATGCAAGACATTGGGTTGTTGGCTGCCCTCGAAAACGGGACAGAGAAGATGACCTCAAAAGACAAGGAAAAGATACTACACGACGCGGAAGGCGTAGTCAAGAAAGCGGTTGAACTATGCCAGGTATATCCTGGTGATCATGCCGTGTTCTCTGCTGACTCGGTGGCGGCCAAACGAGGGCCATTTTCAATCAGGATGGAAGACTTTCGTCTCGTCAACATTCTGGTGAGTACCACCACCCTATATTCTCGCAATTACCACACGGAAATTAATTTAGCTGGTGGCTAGATCGACCCAAGCACGGGGACGGTCAACGGATTCATAGATTTCGAAGCCGCGACGACCGCGCCGCTTTGGGTCGTGGCAACCGTACCAGATTGGATACCTGATCCAGACAGCGACATGGCCTCGTGGTATGGCGGCACCCCTGAGGACCAACGCCATCACCACAATCTAGCTAGTAGCCGATGCCAGGTCCCCGTTCTTGTCTACTAGTTGGTCCAAGGGCAACATCAACACCACAATGCGGCGATTTTACCTCGGTGTAGGAACTGTTCGTCTAGTAGGCTATTTTATGTTGTTTCGCCCGGTTATTATCCAGTCATGGACAGAGCCACCCACTTTCGATATCATGCCATTCTACTAAACTACCTTAATAACAGTAAATCTTAAAATAAGCATCGCGGCCTTCTCATCCGCATCGAGGCGCTCAAATCAAACGAAAGCTCGGATTTCTCACCTGCCTTAAAAATCAGAGGAGTACAAGACCTTCTTCTTGCTACAACTACTAGATATGCCCCTGAACTTGTGTCAGTCCTCGGCCAGTCCGTGTCGGCGTGAGCCGCTCCATCTGCTCCAACTCCAACCAGGTGCGGAAAGTAGAGAATAAGAAGGAGAAAGGGTGTAATGTCCAAGACCACAGTCTAGCGTTTTTCAATTGATTTTTCTTTCGTTACTTTTTTTTCCCTTCTCTTCAGTCATCTAATTGGGAAATGGTGATTACCGGAGGCAAGGCATGAAGGGGGTTCTGACTGTTGCTTCCAAGTTCTTCCTTGCATGTAAGGAACTGTTTGCCCAAGTTCTTGGCTTTGTTGAGGACGACGTGGCGGTAGGGGCTCTCTAGGATCTACGAACCAGGACGAACAGAGTCTCCAGAGCCCTGGGCATTGCCCATTGGGACGAGTCGGCTCGTGACCGCGCACTCGGAGGACTCGGAAAAGATCCTCATGAGAAGCGCTGAGCCGCTACGAGGTCAAGCGACCAAGAGTCGAATCTCAGGCTCCTTACTAGGCGAGTGTTGCCGATCCATTTTTCGGTCTCGACAGATTCGGAGTATCAGAGAACTGAACAAAGACAAGAATAGGCTGCAGAGCATTGAAGCTTTAAGGCTTGAGCGAATTTTTTTTCTCCATTGACGAGTCATTTATAGGACCTGTATGGTTGTAAAACTACTTTGGTCAGTAGGCAGGGCATGCTTGGTCGGGCGGTAGGCAAAAATCTGCAAGTTGTCAAACTTGAGCAAATCGATCTTTTTCGCTGGACAAGGTCGCTTATAAGCTGACATATATACTAAGAAAATTTCAGCTATTATGAAGTATACGACTTAAAATTTTTAAATGTATTTTTCGCTCAACTAGGCCATTCATAGGTATGTTTTAGCGTGGATAATAACACCGGTGTAGGGCAGATAGATATATTACACAGCTGCCATCTTGTGGACTATGTCTTTTGCCACACAGTGTAACTCCAACTATCTATCCAATCTAGAGGCTTAAATCTATTTAAGCTCAAAGCCGAATCGCTCTGCTCGAACGTCCGGTGCAAGGCTCAGGAACTCGTCCCTGGTTATGTTCCCCAGCTGTTGGGGGTCGTAGTAACCATTCTTAATCCTCTCCCGCTCAGCGTCGGCCCTTGTTTGATTCAGCCCGTCCTCCTTGAGGAAGACCGAATCGGAGAAGAGGGCGTAGCTGTCAGCATTGTTCAGGCTGCTATCCTTGTCGAGCTTGGTCGAATCATACAGACCATACTTGATATCCTTGGTGGCCTTGACGAAAGCTAAATGGGTCATCTCGTGAACGATGGTGTGAGTGACCGAGGAAATCTCGTTGAGGTCCGGAAGCGTAGGCTGGAAATAGGCTCTCCTGCAGAACAACATGTGTCCAGGGTCCGAACGGGGCATCATGGCGGCCATGGCGTGGTTGCACCACTCGTGGTTGCAAGTGATGTAGATCCGAGGATTCTTGAAGTCGCACATCTCAGCAACCTTGGAGAAGGTGTCGGCGACCGAGTTCCTGGTCTCCTGGCTCGAGTCCTTGAAGTAGGCCTCCATGCGCTCGGCCGAACCGGTCAGGGCGGCCTCCCGCGCGGCCGTGGCGTGGGACGCGCAATTCTTGATGCCTTCCTTGAGCACTTTCATGTAATCGGGGGAGCACTTGTGGACCCTCTCCTCGAAGGCTTCCGGCAGCGGGGGGAAGAATTCATGGTAGACAAGGATGTTGTCGAATTCGTATGGGAACTTTCGGGCGAGCGTGTTGTTCCCAAGCTCGGCAGCGTGAAGAGTAGCTGACCCGGAGAGAAAGGATATGTTCTTTCCGCAGAACCTATACGCATTACGAACGTCGAGCAGGTCGATGGTAGTATTGAGGCTCCCATGGGCGGGCATGAGTAGGAACTCGGACTCCTCTCTTGCCGTTTTGGTATCTGGAGACCCGCGGTCCAAAAAAGTCACCTCACAGTCTGCACAAGGAGTAAGTATTCATCACCTGTAGTTGTGGAGGGAAGAGAACCATACTTGGTCCGAGAAGACGCATTGATTCTAGACGGTTCTCATCAAGAATGCTCCCAGCCTTGAGGATATTGAAAGCCTTTGGGCTTTTGTTCTCAATGGTTACATCAAGCCTTGTCCATCCCCTCAGCTTGGCCCGGACTTCAAGCTTGGCGGGCCAGTCTTCTTTCGACTCAGCTGGGATGGTAGCGGCAAGTGCCAGCGGTGCAAGAAGTGCCAGCAGCTTCATGGTGAACGGCCGAACGAGTACAGATAACGGGAAGACGAAGAAGAAGGAGACAAAAGGAGTGTGAGGTAGTTTGAGCTAACTGTCAGTTTTCAACATGTCTTGCTCTTTTATATTCAACTGGGGCAGAGATGTACGTTTTTATATTTATCTGAAGGACAGTCGGTTCTAGAGACATGGCTCCGATCATGATTCGCAGTGCGGCGATATAAGCTGAGGCATTTACTGATTCTCATTTCGAAGCAACCTCCCCAACACATGCGAGTGTTGAAGGAAGTCTTGGATTTAGTTGGAATGCAGACCATCAAGCATGAATGCTAATATTAAAACTTGACTCTTTTTCACGATGTGGCGCAATCAGGCGTTGACTCGTGGCACGCGCCCACATTGGTGTCCGCGACTCAAGTGTGCATATATTATATATATACTATTTCTATATGCCGGGAAGCTGTAATTTCGTTAAAGTCGGAATGATAATTTGTTAGTTGGGGAGCGAGTGCCAGCAAAGCAAATGCGCCAGGATGACCTACCTTAACGTACCAAGGTACTATGTAGATGGTTAGGTAGTAGGCGCTTTAATACGTGCGTATTGCATTACAAATTGGCCGATTTTCATTTTCATCTCTTTTAATACGCCATTATAACATCCTATCTTCTTATTGAATTCTTGATCAAACTCCAGGTTAATACCTATTCCGTGAATGGTGCAATCATACATGCACATGATCTTGTTTCCAACTGCCAGGGATCGGCGCGTGGGCAAACGCCGGCCGTGACCTTGCATCAAGAGGACTAGAAGAATGGTGACCGCGAGCGTAGCAGGATCACGCTGTTGCGGATCGGGTGGTGCTTAAAGCATGCACCGCCCGACCTTGCCTTGCATCGCCCGGCGAAGCGGCATCGCGTCTACAGCGACCTGCCCGTGACGGGATACATCGACCACGTCTCCATCGCTTGCGAACGGCGCGACGCGAACCGATGCAGGCCGAAGCCCGGAGCCCCCCCCCCCCGAGTTCGTGGAGAGGTTGGAGCGCATCCGGCCAAAGGAATGGCGGGCGGATCAGCACGTGCTGTGCATCCTGCTGTGCATCCCGCAGCACCAACACTACGACGAGCGTGCGGCTCGCAAGAGCGCCTACCGAGTATGCATTCCTCCAGCTACGGGCACTCGCTCCAACCCCCTTCCCGCCCCTCTCGAGGACAAGCTGCCACCATACCAAGGCGTGTCTTGTTGTTGTCACGAGTAGCACCCACCGCCAGGACGTCTACCTCTTTGAAGCGACCATCTCGACCGCCCTCCTCGATCAGCTGGACGACCCCCGCATCTGCCCGAAGCGACCGACGCCGCCCATCGTCATCAACCGCAGCGTGATCAATGTCGACCCGGCCAAGAGCTTTGGGACGCGCGTCGTGGCCGCGCTGGCGGGCTACGGGAGGTTGCGCGACGAAGACGGCGGCTCGCAAGGCGACTCGCGAGGCCTCGGCGACTCATCGAGCAGTGACGCATAGGCCGGGGGCGGGGGGTCGTCTAGAAATGGCGGGAAAGCTGCAAGTGGCAGACTAAATGGAACGAATGGGATGTTTGGTGCTACCGATGTGTGCCAAAGGACGTGGGGGAGAACTGTTGCGAGCTGCTCTCGCATTTAGCGGGTGGCCAATGAACGATACCCTAACCAGTTGCAATTCCTGGAGCAATGCACCTTTTTATTTGGAACGGACGTGTCGTCCGTGGTCTTGGAGACCAATTTCTGTTTGAGCTGAACCCCAACATCGTCCTTGTCCGCACGTGAGATTCGTGAACTGTCATGAAAGCCAAGGAAATGGATGAAAGCGATTCCCACATACAAAATCTCTACATTGTCTATTGTACCAGAGACTGATGGCATGCTAGACACCGCCAGTCTACCAAGTGAACCATGATCAAGCCGATACCAAGCGACCGTGATGCAGCGTTGCACTAAAAGACCTCTCTAGACGGCGCTGCTTCATTACTACAGTTGCAGCACTGGTAATGAATAAGTGGTGAAGAGATTGATTCACGTCTATAGCATGTACAATGAGTGGTATTGTTCCCGCAACCAGCACACGTTACGAGCTGCTCTCGGATTCCGTGGCATCCCGGTCATGCAGCACGAGGTCATAGTAGCTGCCCTTCCTTTCCATCAGCTCCCGAGGACTGCCCACCTCCAGCACCTCGCCGGAGCCCATGACCACCACCCTGTCGTAGTCCGCGATGCTCTTCAGGCGATGCGCGATGGTGACGAGGCAGCGCCCCTCGCCCTCCGCCGCGGCCTCGCGCAGCACCCGCTGGATGCCCGCATCCGTCTCCGCGTCCATGTTGGACGTCGCCTCATCGAGCAGCATCAGTTTAGACCGCCGCGCCAGGATGCGGCAGAGCGAGAGCACCTGCCGCTGGCCGTGAGAGAAGTTCTCGCCCTTTGCGTTGACCTGAGTCTTGAGGCTGAGGCCTTCGGCGGCATCGGCCCCGGACTCGCCGTCTTCCGAAGAGGTCGCGGACTGCTGTCTGCTCGCCCTGATCGCGGCAATGGTTTGACAGAGGTCGAGCGCCTTTTGCAGATCAGCTTCCGAGATCATTCCTGTCGGGTCAAGGTTCTCTCCGAGCGTTCCTTGGAACAGCTGCGACTCCTGTGGGATCAAAGAGATTGCTTGACGGAGCTTCTTATGCGAAAGAGTCGTGATGTCGACACCGTCGTACAAAATCTTGCCGGATACGATGTTGGTGAAGCGAAGCATGGACAAGACGAGCTAATCGTTCGGCAGAAATTAGCAAAGGTCAGATGAACGGACAAAAGGTTGATACTTACAGTGCTTTTGCCGCTGCCAGTTCTCCCAACAACCGCTACACGTTCGCCAGCGTTGAATCGTAGGTTGATGTTCTTCAAAACGTCAGGGCCATCGGGATTGTATCGCACCGTAACGTTCCTGAATTCAATTTCGCCAGTCGCAGGCCAGTTGGGGGGGATAGTCTGGTAGAGGTCGGCAACCTCCGCATCGACCTTGGTCTCGCTAAATGATTCTTCCTCGGGTGGCAACTTGCCATATTCTCGAACGCGATGGAACTGCATAATGTTAGATGAGTAGGTATGTTGGTACCTGTGCTGTGCTTACCGTTTGCATCTGCACATTCAACTCGTTGGTCTGGAACACGAGCATCAGAATAGCGAAGCTGATGTCGGTAGCCTGAGACAGACAAAATCCGACAATGCCGGCAGATAACCTGTCGCTTTCCCAGATGGCCAGGAATGCAGCACAGACGTTGATCAACCCAGAAATAGTGTTCATTCGAAACTTGATCCACTGGTCTGCGTTGATTTGCGAAACATTAGCCTGCGTCGCCGACGATAGCAATCCGCCTAGCTTTTCCGAGAAGAGGCTTGGGAGAGACGAGGTCGCGCGGATAACAGCCATTCCATTGAGTCCCTCAGAGAAGCCAGAGAGAATAGGGGACTGGCTGGCCGAAATTAGCTGCTTGAGATACATGGCGTTGCGATTGTACATCACTCCAACCAGAATGCCAAGCGCAGCAAGTACCAGTGTTGGGCCCATGAAAATGGGGAGAATCACAGTGATCGCGCTTAGCATCATAAGTGCCATGATAACGGTCTTCATGGTAAAGAAAGCCGTACCAATGATGTTTTGGTCAATAGTCTCGATGTCTCCCGACATACGATTGATGACTCTGCCCACAGGATGCGTGGTATACCATGTTAGAGAGACGTTAAACAATGCGTTGACTGCTTTTTCATGTAGCGTCCTCGCCGCGTACCATGCGCCTCTGATGAAGGTGTAGAAGCAGACTAGGCTGATGGCATCATTCGCAATATTCAAGGCCACAAAAATGGACAGATAATACAGACTACTGTGCGAGTCATCTGCTTCTGCTTTGGTATTGTCAACCCAAACACTCAGCCAGTATTTTGTTACCAACTCAGCGCCTGTCTGTGTGAGCATAACCGCGAGTGGGAAGATGACAGCGACTGGACCGCCAAAGTACATGAGATATTGCAGCACTGTTCAAACCATCGTCAGCCAAAGTTATTATTTTACCATATCGAAGCGACTTACGGGGAAAACCTCCAAGGATGCCGCTCTGTTCCACTTCTTCATCTACCACATTCTGCTTCTCAGCCTCCGCCACCTTTGACGTCGGTTGAACCTCATCAGTGGGCGCTGCGTCCCCGCCATCGATCACTGGCACAGATTGTGGCGCACGAACGTGACCAATGTTCTGATCAGTCGACTTGATTGAGCCATTTTCCAGCGTGATTGACAAGTCGGCTTCCCCCATGATCCAATTGACCTGGGTAACGAGAATGACTGTTCTGCCCTTGATCAAGTCGGAGCAGAACACGCGATTCCACAGCAGGACGCTGGTTTTGGTATCCAGAGCCGAGAAAATATCATCGAGAATCAGCAAAGGAGCATACGAATAAAGAGCCCTGGCCAGGGCAACTCTCGCACGCTGTCCACCTGATAGTGCAGTGCCATTTTCGCCGACTTGTGTCGAATCTCCATTTGGCAGTTCAGCAAAATCGACATCGAGGCAGCAGGCCTTGACGATGGTCTGATACCGGGTCTCATCGCATTCGAGCGTGAATAGGACATTTTCGCGGATAGATTGCGCTTGCAGCCAAGACGTCTGCGAAGCAAAGGCCGCATCTCTGGGCCGGGTGACGCTGCCAGCTTCTTTGACCGTCTCTCCAAGTAAGGCCAGCAACAGTGTTGTCTTTCCGCTCCCGCTGACGCCTGTGATCGTGTTAAGCCCGTCGCTGACAAAATCGACAGTAATATCAGATAAACAAAAAGTAGCAGTCTTATTACGACGGAAAGTCGCATGGTCGATCCGGACAGGTCCTTCGGGATAACGGTCGAGCGGTTCGAGAGCGGCGAAGAAGCTGTCAAAACGGCGCAGAGAGACTAGGATTCTCGGCAAATCCAGGATAATGGAAGAGATGAAATCAAGGTTTCCTCGGACAGTGTTGAACAGCGTGACTGTTGTGTAGGCGACAGACGCAGTCATAGGCAGCTTCAAAACAGCAGCGTAGAGGCCAAACATCGCCAGCATCGAGCAGATGGGCATAAATGACGTCACCTGTGCGAAGGCAATCCAGCACATTGAAATATACCAATTCTGCTGCTGTTCCTTTGCGCGAACTTCCTTGACTCTCTTGACGATAGAGTCCTCCCAGCCAAAGTATTTGATCGCCTTGATGGACCGGAGATACTCAGACAACAGTGAGACGCGCACGTCCTGGAAGGCTTTCAGCTTCTCCTCGAAGCGCATCATATAGCTCATGATATATCCCGCAATTGGCGCACTCAGAAAGACAATAAAGAGGCCAGCAAACATGGGCCAGCCGATGATCTTGTACAGCCCAATGAGAGCCATGACAGACGCGGGAATTTGCGCCACTGCCATGAGGAAAATGCGCATCTGCGTAATTGTATTCATATCCGTCGAGATCAGATTTTCCAGCATTCCGGATGCTGTGCCTTCTCTGGCCGCTTCGTCTTCGTCTTCCTTCTTTTTCGCATCTTGAAGAATATTACCGTTCAACTCGCGTGAGCCTAGGGCTGCGTGAAAGACTTCACCGGTGAGCATCACCGTGCAAAGAATGGCCAGTTTACGAGTAAGAGATATGAACTGCATCAAAAAGACAGTCTGCAGCAAGCGGCCGCCGAACATGACCACGAGCCACACGTATGGCTGCAGTGTTGCGGCCTCTGGATCTCGGATGTATTCGAGGATTTGGTATAGACTCAAAGGGGCGCACAGGTCGAAGAAAGGATAGCTGATCCCTAGTATGATGGACTGGAGCATCTGTGGCGCTAGCAGATAGAAAATGGTTCGGCCTGTTGTTTTCTTTTGCTTCCTCAATGCAGAGAACCCACGGCGCAGAAGTTCCGGGGAATACTGCCAAGGAATCTTTGGCATGTCATCCATAATGAGCTTATCTTTGAAGCTCTTGAAAACAAGTTTGTCAACGTGCGAAAACGTAACATTCTCGTCTATCCAGCTGCGGGTTTCCTGCTCTGATGGCTCCGTAGTGAAGCCCTCTGGAACATCGACGCCAGCCCGCGGCGGCTGCCATTCACGCGGTGATAGTCCCGAAACCAACAGCGTACACGCGAGCGCTGTAATTGATAGCGTTGCGATCAGGTTTGGTCGATAAGCCGAGTTGAGTACAATGAGGGGCAATAAATCGGCGGCGGCGGTCAGGACAAGTGTGAGAACAGAAACAAGTGCGATCTGGTGAATCAGCATCGGCCGCGTTCTTCCCCGCACAATGATTCGAAACAACCCCAAAAGAAAAACATATCCAGCGGCGACAGCATTGGGCAATTGCCTTCTGTCTCGGCTTCCGGCGACGAGGAAAAGCGCCAGTGTCGTCCCGCGGAGAAGGTGGCCAATGACCTCGTAGAAAAAAATCCCCTTCGGTTTGTAGGGAACAGTCTTGCCGGAGCCATCATGACGTATTTGGATCGTTCGCGCGACTGCCCATAGAAGCGACGCGGAAGTGAGGGCGAGTTGGATAGAGCCCTGCCGTCCTAGAGCCACCAGGGTTTGAACCCAGGCAGGATCGCTAAGTCCCGGTTACCAACAGCAATTGCGCACGCAGAACATGACAAGCTTACCGGCTTGCGCCGTCGTGCATTGAGCTGAAGAAACCATCGAAGGCAGCGCGATTGCGATATGCATATATCGTATCCATGGCGGGGAGCTTCGTTGTCCACGCAACCGTTCAGGACTTGTACGCCTTGCCCCTCGACAATGCAACGCGGGGACGAAGGAGCTCTAGAAGTGAGTGAGCATGTACAAGGGGAACAGCTCATTGCTGCGACTGACAGGACCCTTATTTGAGGGGAACCGGGAAGGACACGATTCGTTCGTACAGGAAGGATAAGGCTGTGCTACTGAACATGGATGACTCTTCCGGCACAGGCTGGATCCCGTTAGCAAATGCATTATCGTCGTGGAAATTGAAGACAATTGCCACCAATTGTTCTGAAATCGCCATTACGGGTTAGGCACCCGCTGCAACGCGGACGAGGCTCATTAGCTCAACAGGTGATTCGTCAGTTCGGTGCCATGCAAGCGGGCTTGGGCCAAGCCTGTTCCTTTTCACCTGCCTTTTTCGAAGAAAAGGCTGACGCTGCTGCGCGTCCAGGTCTGGTGGTGCGTCACGCACTGTCAGCCGCAAAAGCAAGTCCAAACGGGTGCATTGGGAGGCAAACAAAAGACGCCAAATTGAGGACCGCATTCTGCAGATGCCTTTGCATTGTGTTTATAAACTTGCTGTTTCTGACGGGCGCAAGTCACCAGCACGCCATGCTTGCCCGTCACGAGCGCTGCTTTTTGCATAGTCGGTCTTGAAACTTGCATAGTTACTGCATCATATTTGTCATCGCTATTCGCGCTAATACTGTGTGAGGCACCACCGCTGGAGGCACCACTGGAGGCTCTGTTGCACCAACTAATAGAGCTCCCGGCGCCGGCGAGGCTGTCTTCAAGGCCGGCGCCGAAGAGGCTAGCGATGATGGCGATGATAACGATGATATCGACGGTGCAGTGACCATGCAAAATCCAAAATCGACGATGCAAAAAGTAGCGTTTGCCCGTCACGGAGTGCAGGTCTCACCAGCCGCCCGGTCCTTTGGCCCTAATATTGGAAAGTACCGCGATAGATACTCTTCAACTTCTAGTTCCTCTTCATGTTCGCTAAAGATACGTCGAAAAATTGCCTGGTACTGCTCGACGTGCCTTACTGAGCGCATGGCTTTTGTGTACTCCCAGTAGGCGGGGTAGAAGCCAGCAAATTGCCAGTCGACGATGCCTGAGAGTCTCCCAGCATCCACCAGGATGTTGGAGGGAAACAGGTCTGCATGCGTAAATACGACAGGGTGCTTCCGAGAATGGGCACCTGGAAACGCCCGCGCCAGATCTTCCGTGCATCCATGTGCGATCTGCTTGTTGAACCCCGCCTCGGTCTGGAAAGGCCCACAGCCGTTGGCGGATGCGCGGGGATCTTGCAGGCGGCCGCCTGAGGCGCTCGCAATGAGAAATCCCGAGATATTCGGTATGTCTCGGTAGGTATGGACTGCAGCGGCAAGGTCATCTGCGAGCTTGTGCCGCTCCGGGTACGACATTCTATGGATCACTTCGTCGAGTCGCCGGCCAGGCAGGCTTGTCATGATAAGCCACGGTTTACCATCGGCCACGAGGGGCAAAAGATCGACGAAAAGCGGCGAGGGAACCGACGGAGCGTGGGTTTCTAAAAGTCTCAATGCAGCGGGCTCCCCTTGGGCATCGCCGCAAAATTTGGCGTAGAGGCCGAGCGGGAGACTGTATACTATCTCAGATATCGCACTTTGCTGCCCGCGATATATGAGCTGCCTGTAAATCCAGCGGCGGATGACGACAGGGACAAAATGCCACACCTGTCTGAATCGAAGCTGCCAGCTGCGGCTCCAAAAGACTGAGACACCACATTAGTGAATGAAGGACGGGCGCGTCTTGCATTCATGACATACAAAGTGAGACGGGTGGTGGCCAGGGTTTTGCTACCTCCCGCTCAGCATCGTTACACTCGACCGCTTTTGCTAATAAGCTGTGTATCTTGAGAAGTATCGGCTTTGGGAGCGGTAGGTATGTTGCGTCTTCCGTATGCAAAGTGCAATCAAAAAGCTGCGCACCGTCATCTATACCTTCATCTGCACATCCCTCAGATTCGAAGCCAAAAACCGTATACTGCACAGGTTAGTATGCAGACTGAACTGCACTTCCTCTGTACGAACCTCTGCCTTTTGCACTTGGGAATCCATATTAACTTCAGAGGAACCGATACGCTGTGTTAATCGCGGGACCAGCCATATGTCTCGTTTGCAGAACGCTTGCCCAACGGTTGGGCTGAGTAGCATAGTGTTCTCAAGCTGGCTGTGTGGTAAACTATCGCTGAGAGCCTTTCGAAGGATAACCAAGTATTCTGCGGTAATAAAAGCCTCAAGGCAGCCCAACACTGATGATTGGCGCTCGTGCTTTATCCAGAGTCTCATCAGCGCTGGCGAAAGGATATGAAATGGATGCGCTTCTGCGCCTGGTGGGATGGCACCTGTCAAACAGCACTGGCCTTTGTCGCGCAAGAGTAGCTGATGCTTTATTCGAGCATTAATCTCTATTTCCGTTGATACTGCGGCTGGAAATTAGTATCAAAGGGAGGGGATGAAAAACGACGCCGATGGCATGGCACACACAAAGCTCCAGGATCCTGTACCAGTCATGCTTCAACCCGCGCAAGGCGTCTTCCAGTGGCACACCATGTTGCTCGACGCGACGGAGAATCTCGCGGGCTGCAATCTCTGGGTCTTGAGATGCTATGAGAAATGTCCGGACAAGTATGTTTTTCTCAACAGGCGAGAGCTTAGATGAGGCGATGATCGATCTGGCCCTGTCCGCCAGCAGACCCATGGTGCGTTGGAGGTTGCAAACGAGCAAACATCCGCCTGCCACCACCACCCACTAGAAATGGAGGCAGGGTTGGCAACTCCGCACGTGATGGGGAGATGTTTACATCTGGGAAACTCGAATGAAGAGCGCAACAAGGTATAGCCAATTTGTTAATATATCAATACTCAGGTCATGCAATATTTGAAGACACTATTCCGATACGTGGAAAAGGATGGTGCCTGTCTCCAAGGCAAATAAATGTAAGCATGTCGCAGGCCCAGTCACGGCTAAAACTGCAGCGTTCCACCGTAGCAGGACACGCACGTCCTTAACAACGCGGACAGCGCCGCAGTTCCCACCTGTTTGTTTTATCTTATTGCCCCTTGGGACGACGAGCAAAGGCCTGTCACAGCGCGCAGCAGGCACTGTTGATCTCCTTGCGCAGCTCCGATACCTGGGCCCTGCTCATGCGCAGCAGGGCCCTGTTGGCTGCGGCCAGGGAGGCGGCCTCCTCGGCGACGTCCTCGACCAAGTACCCGGGCAGCACGCTAATGTACCCTTCGTTGTCGAGCTCGTAGAGGGCCTGGAGGACCCAGGTGCGGCAGGAGAGCTGGCCGAAGCGCGGCGTGTCCTCGAGCCGGACAACGGGCGGACGGCCGCCGTGGAGGCCGATGCGCCGGCGCAGCGCGTCATGCATCTCGGGCACCATGTCACCGGCGACCTTGACGGCGGCGACGGCTGTCGGCGAGTAGGTCATGTCGCAGGACTCGTCGCAGCGGTACTCCCAGGTGCCCGGGACGACGCCCAAGTTGCTGATGTGGAAGGCCCAGCCGAGGCGCGCGCTGATGTGCAGGTATAGCACCCAGTGGCAGACGTTATTGGCGCTCTGGTTGCTAAGGATCACGTAGAGCGCGTTGGCGTCGAGATGCAGCTGCTGGATGAGCTCCTGGGAGACGACGGTGGGAGGGAACGGTGTCGGCGTGAGCTGTGGTGGCAGTTGCTGCTGCTGCTGCTGCTGCTTCTCTTGTTGGGCACCGGTGCTGGGACCATCGGCCTCGGCCGTGGACATGGTTTCCGGTGCAAAAGGTGGCGGCAGCGGCGGCGGCGGCGGCGGCGGCAGGACGAAGAACTCTGCACCCGGCCGGTAACTAGGTACTAATACTGCTTGCTGCGGCTGCGGCTGCGGCTCCTCCGGCTGCTGCTGCTGCTGCTGCTGCTTTGCTTTCTTCACGGGGAGGGGGCGGCGGCGGCGGCGGGCAAGCGCTGCGCTGACAGTATTTGCTTGCTTGCACGGCGTGCTGGTGGCGGCGACATCAAAAATTAGTAGGGACAAGCGCGGTTGGCATCTCTTGGCTTTTCCTTTTTAATTCCCTTTCCTGCCATCTACGGGTCTATATTTATACGCCAATCCAGCGCCCGGGAACCCCCCGCTCTTCCCCCATGCATCAAACCAAAGCACCTACACAATGCCCGCCCTCCTGCTGCATCTGAAGGTGACACACGACGGGATGAGATTGGGGGCTCGGGTGGAGAGACGGTGGAAGCTGAACGCCGCGTTGCCTAAGCGAGCCGCTCTTTTCATGCCTTATCGTGCTTGTTGGCTGTCTGTTAGACCAAACCTACCCACGGGATGGTTGGTGTCGAACTAAATCAACAACAGCTTTTGCCGGGCCATGGTGTCCCGGACACGACACGAAAGAACACAGATGAGAGAGAGCTAGCTTATCGTGGCACAGGGCAAGCCTGCAGGCTGCATCTGACATGGGGACATGGGGGAGGACCAAAGTTCGGGGCGTGGCTCCGTACGACGATGACACTCTAGTTACTTGGTACATACCTGCGCGCACGTTCACTTCTTGTTGGGCACTCATGACGGATGTCGTCTGGTCATGAGCAGGTAGCAAATACTACTTAATACTGGTTAATAAGGCCAAGGCTCCAGCAAGAGTGCGCAAGGCCGGGGCCGTGCCGTGCGGGCGGACCCTTTATGCTACTTACTAATTAGCACGGATACCTACATAGTTAGAGTTAGGTAGATATTAATAAGGTAAAGCAGGAATGACCCCCTGTAATTAGTAGCCTACTACGACGTACTGGGCATTGAGAGAGTTTCTGTATGTGGCCTGCCGTCTTCGTGCAACGGCTGCACAGGCAGGCGAGCCGATGCATAATGATTCAAAGCCCATGATGGATGAAGCAATAATGTGCATAAGCTGGACGGGATCGCAGTTGTGGCGGCCACCTGTGATGTCAGACTGCTTCAGCGACATGAAGAGCTGCAGCCAGCTTTTATTAGCGAGCTCTGGGCAAAATCCCCTAGCAGGCAGGTCTTCGCGTCCTGTTCGTTAACTTACTCCGAGCCCTCAACGGCTTTTATTTACTTTTTATCCCCGCACATTCAATAAGTGATATAGCTCTTGACATTCTGAGACTGTTTCGTACATGCGTGCCTGTGTGAGTTGAAAAGCCCTCGTTGACTCCGCTCATTCTTGGTCAAATTCCTCACACCTCATACATACTCGGTAGGTAGTTCTGTGTGCCAGGTCATCAGGTTGCTTTGTTCCAGCCAGCCGTGTCCTTGCAACTTACACCACCACCAACCACCACCCGCTCGAAACGGGTGGCCACGCCCGAGAGGCGGTCTGTCGCCGCCCGCCAGGTTACCTCAAGTGCTCTCGGCTTGCCATCCACGCCCATTTCGAACTTGGCCGCATAGAAGCTTCGTGACAAGTCCGATCCGACCACTGGCAGGACGTAGGCGACCCAGTAGGCACCGACGACATGGCGCAGAACCATTCGCGAGGGGACTATCAAATCCTCCCGAATCGCGACGAGCTGCTGCTGCGGCGACGAGCTCTTGCCCGAGGCCCGACCCCCGGCGATGGTCGATTTCTCTACGGAAAACGTATATGCGCCATAGCCAGGGTGGCTATATGTGCCCGCCAAGAGGTTGTAGTCGACAGCAAAAGACGGAGGATCTGCGCCGCGGTTGGCGTAGATTATACCAGTCGCATTATCAAAGTCTCGCTTCCTCTGCTTGAGCTCCTCTCTTGCCCTAGAGATTATATTAGTATTTCGTCCTGTTAAAATGGCTTTGGCCGCATGATGCAAAAGCATCGGGGAGGAGTAGAGTTTGTGTGAAACAGGGCACCATACTCTTGACCATCATCACGTCGGTCCTGGGGCGGGACGCCGAGCCTGTCTTCCATGAGCCTCTGCGTGAGCAACTCCTCCACGATGTTGCCCGTGTCGGCGGCGTTTGCAAACGTCACGACGCCAAACCGGACGCCTGGCATCCAGAGCACGTTGGCGCCGAAGCCTTGCGTGCCGCCGTCGTGCTTGTAGACGTCCTGGCCGTGGAACGTCGCCACCTCCCAGCCGAGGCTGTAGCTTCCGCCCACGCCCCAGCCTCCGGGCAGCATTCCGCCTCCGGGCCCTTGCTGGAGCATGCGCGGCGTCCTGATGTCCCGGTGCGTAGCCTCCGAGAACGGCGCCGCCCCGCGCAGCAGGCACCGCACCCACTTGGCGTAGTCGGCCGCGCTGCTGATGACGCCCGCGGCGCCGCTGGAGAACTGGGCCCGGTCCTTGTCCACGGCGACGTACTCACCCGCTTCGTCGTCCCAGAAGTAGCCCGTGGCGAGCCGGCAGCTGCTGCGCCGGGCGTCGCGGTAGGACAGGTACGTGGACCGCATGCCCAGCGGCTGCCAGATGCGCCGGCGCAGCACGTCGCCGAGCCACGCGTCGGTCACCGTCTCGACAACGTGCGACAGCGTGATGTACATGAGGTCGCCGTACTGGAACACGACGCGGGGCTCGACCGTGCGCGGCAGATTGCGCAGGTTTCGCACGGCGGCCTGGTTTGTCTTGTTGCTGCGTGAGCTGCAGTTCCTATCGTCGGGCTCCTCGGTGCCGAGCCAGGCCATTGCGTGGCGTGGCATGCCGCTGCGATGGCTGACCGCATCTTCGAGCGTGACGTGCGCCATCGCCCACTCGTCCTGCAGGACGAAGTCGTCTCGGACGATGGAGGAAATTGGCGTGTCCCAGCCTCGGGGGAACGCAGCTTTGTGGTCTCCGGTCGAGATCATGTCGGCGATCACAGCACCTAGGTGTGCCTTGGTGGTCGCCCCTCCGAGGAAGAGGGTATCTGGTGTGACTGGCGTGTCTGGTAGGATGGCATATCCGTAACCCTGACATGTATTCAATAAGATGAAGCATACACCACGTTTGATCACCGACGAGGGCCATTTACCTGTGTGTAAACCTGGTCATTGTCTATGACGGCCACAGCAAGGCCTGGCACTTTCCACTCCTTCATCAAGCCGGTCACATATTGACCGAACTCTTTAGTTAGCGGGTTACGCTGATGAGCTGAAGTTCCGCTGAGCATATTGTCGGTCGGGTTGTCCCAGTTTCTGCTCGATTTTGTGTATGCACTCCTCTGTGATTTCAGTCAAGATTGACGAGGACATCTGCCCTTTTTACTAGGATTGGGCATTCTATCGGCCTGATGGGCAGAAACCTAATGAGTGTGGCTACTATGCAGACACTTCAGATGCAGCCACTTCAGATGCAGCCATTTCAGAAAGCAGACCGAACGCGAAGCAGCATGCTGCAGTGTAACCTTTATACGAGGTCAGCAGACCCCTCAAGTTGACACTATATTCAGTATCTTTGATGAGCAGATCCATTATCCGACTCTACTCTCGGGTCCAAATTTTCTCATAGCTAGATGAGATCGGCACTGCCAACTTGTAAGTGTTCGGTAAGGCCTCCAAGGCCCTCACCCAAGCACACCTGCTACCAATCGAAATAGTTTCCCTTTGCCCAGGAAACGCATAACAAACCATCCTAAATCATCATAACGGACCTTTGGGCACCAATCACGGCCTCCAACATGGCATGCATGCTGACCCCGGCCAGGATGCCTTCTGGCGCCAACTGGGCCAATGACAGCCTTCCTTTGCCCGCGCACTTTTACCATTCCCAAACACCAAGCTGTTTCGTTTTCGACAGTCGAGCGTGCTGAATATCTACACTGGAGCCGTGATATCCAATCAATATGTGCCGCATCTCCGTCCAGCAGCCGACATCAACACTGCGAGCCCCTGCTATAGCATTCTGGCTGCCGCAATCTAGACGCTTCCTCCTATCCTTCCATGGATCATGCTGCAAGGCTAGGGAAGGCTGGACAGCCACATCGTCGCCCATTGGTAATTAGGCACGTCTTTGGTGTTTTGTATGCTTCTTTTAGCTGACCAAGAACAACGGAGCCGGTACCGGCCTGTATGCTGCTGTTTCATCTTTTCGCCACAGTGCTCCTGCCGCCTGCCTTACCGGCTCTACTTAATTTGTCATCTCCTCCAGGCTGCCCCGGAAAATTCATTCTTTCTACAATCGCAATTTTCATTCATCCGAAATACTGCAGTCGCACTGTTCACCATTCCTCGACTTTTTTTGGCGGCCACATAACTCATTGCCTCTGCAGGCCTGGCCCATCACCTAGGTAATACGGAGGAGCCCTGTTCCGTCCAAACAGGCAAGCAAAGCCCATATCACATGTCTCTATTTGATAAAACCTTCCTTGGGACTAATAGCCAGTTTGAAACAGCGCCTTTTCTCCTACGGTGAACTCAACGGTGACGCGAAGCTGTGTGCCCATCTACGCCTCTGTAACCGCCATCGTTTCGGGTTGGGCGAAGACGAACCATAACCGTTTCGCCGAGGAATACCAGCCCGAGGATTCCATCATCAATTTTTAGTGATTTGACAAACAAATTCATGCTACGACCCCTCGCTTGGACACGTTTCCCCCTTCCCTGCAACTGGCAAACACTTGATCACGGTCCGATCGACCCAACGGCACAATGAGATGGTTGGTCGCAAACGTCAGCATCTTCGCCTTTTTGGCCGCTGGAGTGCAAACTCTCACGCTCTCGTCGGTTCAGCTGATAAAGCCATCTGCGGTACCGCTGAGCTGCATCATCGCCTATAACACGCCATTCACCGGCTGCGCAATTAGCGACTTTTCCAGCGGCGAGTGTTCAGCGAACTGCCAGCGAGGGCTCTTGCGCGTGCAGACAAACATTCGAGCGTCGTGCAGCACGGTGGATGCTCCGGCAAATTCACTGATATTGGAGGCACAGAGGGGAAATCTTGTGAATGCGCTCTGCAAAGGCCAACCGACACAACAGACGTCAACTCAAGCGCAGCCCCAACCGACGTTTTCGACCATTTCCAGGCCGTCGACCACAGTAATTTCGATAACTTTGACAATTCCCACTTCTTCAAGGTCGAGCTCAGAGACACCTTCGTCTACCCGGACGGCAACTACTGCTACGTCGATGACAACATCGACAACACAATTCACTGTCAGCCTGACATTGCCCGATTCCACGACAAGCACCGAGACAGAGACGGAGACAGAAACGGAGACGGAGACGAAGACGGAGGCGGAGACGGATACAAAGACGGATACAAAGACGGAAACGGACTCAATTTCTACAACATCAACTTCCTCGCAAGAAATGACGACTACCGCCGAGAGTACTACATCCAGCAGCGGCAGCAGTAGTGTTGCGACAAAGACGTCAAAGCCGACCCGAGACCCGGAGCTTGGCGCCGGAGACCCGTTTGCCAACCCCCCCAGTTCTTCGGACAAGCTGGGCCCATGCATCTGGGGTATATTCATGATAGTATTTGTAATTTTCCTGTCGTGATTTTGTTTGTTGCGTGTTGATTTGACATGGACTGGTTGGGCGGCGTTGGGCGGCGTTTGGAGTCGGCTAGCTGACAAGCACGTTAGGCATTGGAGCAGACAGGACATGGCTAGTGATATTTATTCTGGTAACCTTTGGGCGGTGGATGGTGCTAGTTGAGGTTATAATACTACATTCTTGATGTATCACGTATCGATTTTGTTGTGCTCTGCGGGGTGCAGGGTATGGCAGCGGGCGTGCACCAATACACCGGACCGGAGGCACACCGCTGCTGAGTCCGGGAGAAGTAGGGGGAAGTCGCCCGGCATAGCCCAACCTATCTCATCGTCCCAAGAAGATCAACGCTTGCTGATATCGGTGGCTTGTTGGGGTAGCGAGCAACGCTGATCCTCGTCTCTCAGCTGAGAAAGCTGGGGTAACAAGTATCAAGTTGTGGCTTCATCGGCTGATATAGTTTGCGGAACGCTGGCTCAGACTGCAGCCCTCCTGAAAATAAGAATAATACTGGCTTGACCCCGGCAAGGTTTGCTGCAGTCTGTCGGGTGCCCGGACAAGGGACTCGGCCCCACTTTGCGGCCCGGAAGCTGACCGGGCTGCGGGACCAGGCGGTCGGAGGACGGGGGCGTGGGCAGGGGTCCCGGGGTTGCTAACCGTTGAGCATTTCTCCCGCTGAGCATTTCCTACCGCTGGATACGTTTCTTTTTCGTTGGGCGGTGATGATGGAAAGGTCTGGACCGGGCCGCGCAGGAAGGCGGCGGTCGCGACAGGATGCTCCCCACGCCAAGTGGAAGGCTGAAGCGAGCAACGTCAGCCAGCCTGGCAACGCCGATCGTTTGTTGGCGGCTGCTGCGCGAGGCTTACGCGAGGCTTACGCGAGGCTCGCGCCGGGAAAAGCCAAGGCATGTGTATCCCTTTTACGGTGACTCAGTTGAGGTTCTCGCTTGTGGTTTGCGGCATGTCTTTCGGGGAAGAGGATTGGACGCAGACAAGAAACGATGGGTAACCGTGTCTGCACGATGAACTGGTTGGCACGGTGGTATTTCATGTATGTGAGACTGCTGCGTCTGCGGGGTACGGAGGCTTGGTGCGACGGATTCGCGGCCTGGGGTAAAAGGGATTGCGGGCAAGAAAAAAAATATCTGCGAAATTCAAGCGAGTGGAAAAAAAAAGGAAATTATGGCCGTCAAGAATGATTCGAGCGAGGTGCATAATGGGTGTCGATCAGTCGAGGGCTGCTTGCTGCCAAGCCGTGCTAGGCGGAGGCCAACGGGTACACTGTCGAGCATGAGGGGACAAGTTTATGAGAGAACAGGCCGGAGGCGTCCTTGGCTGGAGACGGGAGAGAAGTCTTGGTCAAGTCGTAGTTATACTTGGCGAGATTTCTCGATGCCTAGAAAAAAATTGGGTAGAAATCGTGAGGCCAAGCCGATGCCCGAGATAGGGCTTATACTTTCATGGCTTTAGTGCTTGTAGGCAGAGTCGAGAGAAGCAATAGGTACATAGAATCGATGTATCCACTGAGGGAAGAAAATAAGCATGAAGCCAGCGTGGGCGAAAAGCTAACTTGGTGGGTGGCTTGATGATAGTTGGGAGGATACGGCTTAATTCTTTGTGTTCCGCGGGGTAAGTCAGAAGTGTTGCTGGTCGATGTTGATCAGTGAGGCGAGGGGCAGAGGTGGAAGCAGCATTAGTCGTGAGAGTCTTGGCTCGTTGAATGAAGGTGATAGGACAGTTGAAGGTGACCTCTTAGCTACCTGGGTAGCACCAACCTACCTTTGATAAACCAACCAATCCAACTCATTGTCCAGCGTCTGCGACTAGGGAATACGTGCATGATGTCGGGTTGGAAGAAGCGCATGCGACGGGCCAGCGGTGTGGTTGGTGCGTGGTCGGTGGTGCGTGGATGGTGGGATGATGAGGCTGACACTGGGGTTGTATCTGGTGTGAGACTGTGAGACTGTGAGACAGAGGACACAGACGAAGGACGGGAAGCAGGGTGTGACTCGTGAGAGTCAAAATCTGCAACACCAAGACGGGCGATTGTTGTCGTTGGCCATTGTTAGCCGACACAGTCATGTCACCAGGCAAAGTTTGTCGAGATTGCAATGGTGAGATTCGGGTCGGGCAGCGCTGAGCCAAGAAAGGTTTAGTAGTTTATTAGTGGCGGAAAAGCCATGGCCAGTTTGTTGAGGTCGAGAACCATGCAAGCACTGTAGTTACAGGGACATGTCGGAGGAAGATGGAAGGCTCATGGCTGCAGCGAATAACAGCGGCAATAAGAGGAGCAAACAGTGGGGGAATGAGAGAACAAGACCCCGACCCTTGTAAATGGCCCCAGTGTGGGCATGACCGATACGCTGGGATGTGCTGGGACAAGGTTTGGGGCAGGGGTTTGCAGCCCGCAGGCTTCCAGCTGATGCCAGCCAATGCCAGCCAATACCAGCCAATACCAGCCAATGCCAGCCTGACAATTGAAGCGTTCCGGCAGGCTTTGCGCTGCGCTAACCATCTGGCTCGCAGCAGGTGCCAACGCTCCATGGAGGCCTGTAACTTGGTCGACTCCAGGTACCAAATCAGGACCACTTATTTTCCAAGAAAAAACAATTGGAAAAAAAAACATCTCCATGTCCCTCATTGTACATTCTTCTTTTTTCGCGGCCAACTTTTTCCCCCTTCCTTTAACTATCCACACAGATATTCTTTACATCTTCTTCTCTACCATCATCTCTCTCTTAATACACCCAATTCCTCTTCTTCCACCTGAAAAAGACCACCCCTTCAAGCTCCCCGCCGTTTGTCCCACCCTCCAACGCCCGCTCATCCGCGCCGCGTCTCCGGTCGTCGGCACGTCATCGCTTCGCGGCATCATCACAACGCCTGCCCACCTCTTTGGCCCCCCCCCCCCAAAGCCTAAATATTTATTACTCCGTATCTCCCCTTCTCCACCAACAGTCAGCACCAGCTGGCTTGGCTCTAATCTCAACCTATCTTTTCTCTTCCGACGCTTTCCCCGGCTGTCGCCCTGATCTTCTATCCTCCTCCTACTTTGTCTCTTACCCTGAGCCCTTGGCTGAAGCAGCACTTCTTGCTTCTTCTTGTCAACCTACTGTATCTACAACGCTGCATTCATAAATCGCCTCCCCGCCTCCCCGCCTCCCTCGTCGCATGTCTCCGGCTCGCCGCTCCGTTTGCCCTCGTTTCCTCGACTGGGGTGCTCTGGCCAAGCCCTCCTGCTCCGGCCCATTGCTTCTGACCTCCGGATTTAGCTCGAGAATACAATAGAGCAATTGCGCAGTCGTCTATACACATCTCGCTGGGCTGTCGACGCCGTCCTCTGCTCTCGCCACCCTCCCTCTCTTCTTGGCCGCCGCCCACCGGCCACCTCTCACAATGGCGTGGCAACACCTCGACATCACCAAGCCGCACTTGGTCTACATCATCCTTGGCGGCTTCACCTCCCTCTTTATGCTCTGCTCTTCCTTCATCAAGGAGCGCATGTACATTGGCGAGGCCACCGTCGCCACCCTTTGCGGTGTCATCTTCGGACCTCACGCCGCCAACTTAATCAACCCCAATGACTGGGGCTCCGTCGACATCGTCACCGTCGAGTTTTCCCGCATCGTCCTCGTCGTTCAGTGCTTCGCCGTCGGCGTTGAGCTGCCCAAGTACTACATGGAGCGCCATTGGAAGTCCGTCATCTTCCTCCTCCTCCCCGTCATGACCGCCGGCTGGCTCCTCACCTCCCTCTTCATCTGGTGGATGGTCCCCGTACTCTCCTGGCTCGAGTCCCTCGTCGTCGCCGCCTGCGTCACCGCCACCGATCCCGTCCTCGCCTCCTCCGTTGTCGGCAAGGGCAAGTTCGCCAAACGCGTCCCCAAGCATCTGAGAGATCTCCTCTCGGCAGAGTCCGGGTGCAACGACGGCATGGCCTTCCCCTTCATCTACCTCTCCCTCTACCTCATCCAATACCACCGTGACGCCGCCCAGGTTAGCTTCCACTTCATCGTCTATGTCATTCTCTATGAGTGCATCTTTGGTGCCGTCTACGGCTTCTGTATAGGCTACATTGCCCGCCACGGCATCCGCATGGCCGAAAAGTACGACCTCATCGACCGAGAAAGCTTCCTCGTCTTTTACTTTGTCGTCGCCCTCTTTTGCGCCGGCTCGGGTAGTATCCTTGGTGTCGATGACCTCCTCGTCGGCTTCGCCGCGGGTGTCGGCTTCTCCAATGACGGCTGGTTTGGCGAAAAGACTGAGGAATCTCACGTCTCCAACGTCATCGATCTGCTGATAAACTTGGCCTACTTTGTTTATTTTGGTACCATCATCCCTTGGGAGCAGTACAACTCTGGCCTCTTTGGCCTGTATGCCTGGCGCCTTGTTGTCATTGCCATCTTCGTCCTCCTCTTCCGCCGCATTCCCATTATGCTGGCCCTCAAACCATTTATACCCGACGTGCGAAATTGGCGAGAAGCCTTGTTTGCCGGCCACTTCGGTCCTATTGGTGTCGGCGCCATTTTTGTTGCCATTCTCGCCCGCGCCGAGCTGGAACACGAAGAGCCTGTCCCACTATCGCAGCTACCAGACCCTGGTGTGGAAAACTACGCGTTAATCTACCTTGTCTGGCCCATCGTCACATTCCTCGTCATTTCCTCCATTTTGATTCACGGCTCTTCAATTGCCGTCTTTACCCTCGGAAAGCGCATCAACACGCTGTCTCTCACCATGTCCTACACCGCCGCGCCTGAGGATGGTCCTTCCTGGATGAACCGGTTGCCTCGGATATCGTCCCAGTCCCGCTCTCAGGCCAAGACCATGTCTGAGGCTTCCTTTGACCTCAAAGACCCCCAGTACCCCGCTGGCACCCTTGCGCCTCCGGGTGGCTTCCTGCGCCGCCAGAGGGACGAGGACCACAGCCGCCCTGGCAGCCGCACCTCCTCTCTCGTTTCCCGCAAGCGCAAGCACAAAAAGTGGGATGACGGCATTGGCCCTGGCGGTCCTGTATCTCAATCGGCCATCTTCCCCAATCGCCAATCCATGTCGCCCACCGACGAGCAGGCCAATACCAGCCAACCTACCACTGACTCGACACTAACGGACAACGACAAGGAAAAATCCGAGACGCTCCATGATCAGCGCCATCATGAAGATGACGAAAGCCCCGCTTCGCCACAACGCGTCAATATTTATGAAGAAGGCCACCATCTCGTGTTTGAGGACCAACAGGGTGAAGTCATCGACACGGTCGACGTCGATGCTGTTCCGAGTCCCGATAACGAGTCACCTGGAGAACCAAGCAGCCCAGCAAGACCTGGCGAAGAAATATCGTGGTCTTTTGGGGGCCTGCGCCGTCGCTTCAACGACATGTACACCCAAGAGGTCGAGAAGCGCAAGGAAAAGTCCAAACAAGCTCGCAGCCATGAGCCTGCCCACGCTTACCAGTTCGGCAACCAGGTGTGTACTTTCGCGCAGTCGTCTCTCATTTCCATTCAAAGCTAACCTTTGTAGATTATTGTCGAGGACAAGGATGGCGAGGTCGTGAAGACGTACCAGCTGCCGTCCTCCAAGTCTAGCCAGGAGTCCAGCGCCGTACTAGGCTCAAGCCTTAAATACCTCGGCCTCGGTGCCCTGGCCCGGCAGAACGAAAAGGACCCGCAGGCCTCCGCCGAAGAGGGTGCGGCCGGCGACGAGGAACCGATACCCTCCCGATCCCGGTGGACCGCGGTCCGCCGCATGACCGGCACCGCGCCTGGTGAATCATCGCGCGATAACGACGACGACGATGACGACCACAACATCCGCTTCACCATTGGTGGTGTCGGCCGCCGCATGAATAAGGAGGACTTTATCAAGGAGGTGCAGAAGCTTGACTCCATCACGCGCAAGGAGGTCGCCGAGCAGTCAACCGCTACCCGGCCTATCAAGGAGGTTGCTAAGCGCAACCCCGGCCTCGTGGCGGCCGCAACCGACCGCCGGCGCCCCAGCGGCGTACCGCGCATCGTTGAGACGCGCGCCGACAGCAGCGAGCGGTCGAAGCGCTCCGACGAATCCAGCTCCCGAGGCCGTCCCGCCGTCAAGGAGGCGCGGCCCTCGCCAGCGGCGCCATCGGAGGACGAGTCGCACGAGACGCCTGTCGAGCGGCGTCGCCGACTCGCCGTCCTCAGCCAGCAGAGCCAGCAAAGCAAAGATGCCGCAGCCGGCGCACAGGGCGACGCAGGCGAGACACCGGCGGAGCGACGGCGTCGCGAGGCTGCTCTCGGCATGGGCGGTGGCGACGCCGACGATAGCGACTCGGAGGACGAGGGTGGCGAGCGCGTGCCGCCCGCGCGTCGCGGCATCCGCTTTGCCGAGCCGAGCAGACGTTGATAATTGAGCGCGCGCACAAAAATTGTACTCATTGAACAGCACAGATATGGCTGTTCTCTTCTTTTCCCGTTACTGCACATAGCGGCATGAATTTTCTCTGCATACATTAGATTACTTTGGTATATTCTCGGTTCTACGAGTAATGAGTTTGGACAAAATTTATGGTCACGAACGGCGTTTCCACACTGGCAGTTGTATGTACTTGTCCTGCGCGAGCATTCAGCAGGAGACATGAGCGATAATAGATATTAATTGACCATGCTTGTGATTCAGCATAAGTAGCGAACCGTTGAGATTTTATCTGTTGTTGTACGGGGTTCTGATTCTTTTGTCTATGGCGGCATTTCGAATCTCTAGTTCTTCTACCCTAGCACGCGGTCCGTCCCTGCCGTTTGAAGCCCATCTAGCAACGATCAACCTCAGCCGCACAGTCCTCCACAGGACTAATAAATAGCCAAGCTCGCACCACATCTGACATACACGCGCATCTCATCTCTCATCTTGCATCTTCTCCCCTCTTTTTCCTCTTCTTCCTCTTTTTCCTCTTCTTCCTCTTTTCATACTACCGGTTCACGAATACACGGCTCCCAGCAAATGCGCTGCTGTAGTTCGAGCGAAGCGAGGCTCAAAAGCGCAGCGGAAATCACGAAAAGCGAGCGCGCGCGCATCGACTCTGTGACGGCAACCCTCTACATTTTTCCTTTTTTTTCTCCGGCCTTCGCCTTTTCTTTTTGCCAAGAGGATGGACCAAAATGGCGAACAGGACTCGCCAGTGTCCATCGCCGCCAACATTGCCGGCCTGCTGACGTTCGCCTTTGCGCTGGCGGCGGCGGCGTACGCGCGCGTGCGGTACCTCCGGAGCAGCAGCACCGAGTACCTGCGCGTCAAGACGAGCCTGTCGTGGTACAAGACGGAGTCGACGTGGCTGCAGCACCTTGTGAGCACGCAAGGAGGGCCGGTGGCGGTGCCGCCCCGGGCAGGCGGCGACGACGACGGCAACACGGACCGGAGCAGCAGCTTCGACGAAAAGGGTAGTGGTAAGGGGGAGGAGTGGCCGAGACGGCGGCGCGTGGGCTTGGATCGCCCGCCGCCGCCGCCGGCACAGCGCGCGGAGCAGCACATGTTTGAGTTCGTCATGGACGACCTGCTGAACCTGGAGCGGCGGCTGCTGGACATGGTCAACGACGTGGAGTCGCGCGCGGCGGCGGACCCGGGCGTCGGGGAAGCCGGCATATCATGGTCGCTGGTGCCGGGGACGTGGCACGGCGGTCGGCCGTCGGTCGCGGTGGCATGGCTAGGCGTGAGGACTAAGGCGCTGGAGTTGGTGCGGCAGCGCGAGGCCCTGACGGCACGCGTGCAGTTCCTGCAGCTGAGCATGATCGCGTCGCGGCTACAGTCGCTCGAGGTGCGGGTGTCGGCGGCAGAGGAGCAGGAGCGGGAGCGGGAGCGGGAGCGGTTGCTGACGAGGGAGGATACAATGGTGTCGGCGCTCGCTGCCGTTCGCGACGGGATAGATTCGGGAGGGAAGCCAGCGGTAGAAAGATCGGGATACACTTCTCTGGTTAGGTAGAGCAGAAAACAAGACGGCAAGGCTTCTATCTGATCTTGTATCCCTGCAGGTAGACGTACGCCGACGCGACGAGCAGGCTCAGTGTTGCCCACGGAAGCTCGAGCTCGACGACGGCCCAGATCCAGAGGCAGCCGAGCGGTGGCGCGCGCCGCTGCGTGGCGAGGTAGCCCTTGCGGTTGGTCACGTAGAGCAGGCCGCAGCCGGCGGCGACGCTCATGGCGAAGAAGACGGCCTGCCGCAGCGGCGCCTGCCAGTGCGCGGGCAGGCCGGGCACGAGCGTCTGGTCGGACTTGCGGGGGTGCAGCGCATAGAAGAGGAGGAGGAAGACTACAGAACACGAAAAAGGGGGGGGCGTTAGACGGGCGCACTGGACGAAGAGATGGCCGGGGAACTGGAGCACCTACCGGCCCAGGCGCTGCAGGTGCGTCGGAGGAGAGCACCCCAGACAATCTCCGTGCCGTATTGGTGCTGCACGAGCACGTCAAACGTAAAGTGCAGCATGGCTAGCGAGGTGGTCCAGAGCATGGCCTCGAGGACACGCTCCGCGCCGGGCGAGAGCGTCGGGAGCTCCGACTCGAACTCGTCATCGGAGTCGGAGCCATCGGAGCTCACGCCGTCCGAGCCGCCGGTAGAAACGCGCAACTTCCTCGCAGAGGCGGTCGACTTCTTCTCCCGCGCCGCCGCTTGCTGGAACAGCTGCCGCTGCTCGGCAATCTTGAAGAGCGTCTGGTCGTCGATGGCCGGGCCGGAGCGGTCGGGATGCGCCAGCGGCGGCGGGGCGTGCGAGGCAGTCGTGCGCGTCTTGCGAGATCGTGTCATCGTTGCTTGCGGGCTCGGGTCGGGTGAATTGAGTGTCGATGAGGGTCACAGTCGGCGTGGAGGAAGTCGGGTCGAGAAGGAAATAGAAAAGCGAACAATGGGTTTGTGGGGGCGCAGTGTGGCGCTGCCTGTGGCGGCACGGCCGCGGAATCTATCCGCATTAGTGTAATCAGAGGAGTAAGATCGTTTACAACAACGGCTGAGACAGGAGATGAGCAGGAATTTATTGACGCATAATTCACATCGTCACATCTAGCCTACGCCTTCTCGCGGCACTTTCACGCCTCATCAAAAAACCCAGAGTTTTCCGGGCGCTCAACACCATGGGGGAGGCATACGACCCGACGCTCAGACTGCCGCGCATCCTCTGCCTCCACGGCGGCGGCACCAACGCACGCATCTTCCGGATCCAGTGCCGCCAGATCGCCGAGCACCTGCGCGCCGAGTACCGGCTCGTCTTCGTGGAGGCGCCCTTCCCCTCCGAGGCCGGCCCGGACGTCGTCCGCGTCTTCGCCGGCAGCGGGCCCTTCAAGCGCTGGCTACGCTTCGGCCCGTCCCACCCGGAGCTCGCCTCGCACCAGGCCGTCGCGCGCCTCGACCAGGCCGTCCAGGCGGCCGTGGCGGAGGACGACGAGCGCGGCGGCAGCGGCGAGTGGACGGCGCTGCTGGGATTCAGCCAGGGCGCCAAGCTGTGCGCGAGCCTGCTGTACCGCCAGCAGAACCAGGCGGCGGAAGGTGGTGGTGGTGGTGGTGGTGGGCTACCGCAGTTTCGCTTTGGAGTCTTGATTGCTGGTAGGGGACCGCTGGTGTCGCTGGAGCCGGCGAGGGCGGAGAATGAGAGCCTACCGAGCGCGGCGGACTTGTCCTCGATGAAGGAGAAGGAGCCACGTGGCGACCACGTCTTGACGATACCCACGATCCACATGCACGGGCTAAAAGATCCCGGGTTGGAGGAGCATAGGAGGCTGTGTAATGAGTACTGTCATCCCGGTACGAGGTCGCTCATCGTTTGGGATGCTGGGCATCGTTTGCCGGTGCGGACTGACGACGTCATACCACTTGTGGAAGCAATACGAAGACTCGCGAGAGAGACGGCGGCCACAAATCAAAAGGTCACTTTCCAAGCAATTTATTAGCATGGGCATAGAGAAACTCTTCAAAGCGCCACGTTTTAGATTCTCTGTGTGCATTTGTGAGCAATTCCACGTGGGATACTGTGCGGACGCGCAGCACTTGTTGAGTGAGGGCTGCCGATGATTATAAGAAACTTGATACTCAATTCAGCGGCGCTGTATAGCGATAAAGTCTATCTAAAAGAAGTTCCAAACACACAAAGCGATACGCTGTTCATATATTACTAATCCAACTTGCCAGGTAACATGATTACTTCCCAGCCGGCTGCCCAGCATCCCCGTTGGTTGTTCGCGTCTCTCCGCTGAGAGGGTGCTTTGGATCGTAGCCCACAGATTTCACGATGCCGAGGCCCTTTGTTCGCCCCTCACGGAAGAGCAACCTGTCTCCTGGCGCTAGGTACTCGGGCCGTTGCACGAAGCGGAATGCGACGGTCGCACGATCGCCCGTGCGGATGAGCTCTCTATCAATGTCGATGATGGCACAAGTTTGCGAAACAGGCCCCACGTGCAGCATTGCTTGATACTTCTTCTTGATGGTAGTTGCATGCGAGAGAATGAGAACTGGAATGATGGGTTAGCGACAACATAACATGGCAATCTGGCCTTCTGCTGCAACCCACCTTCAGCAACAAAGTCTCTGTGCACGACAGGTAGTACCTCGCCCTCGGGTTTCGGAAGGACTACCATTCCTTTTCGTACATCCTTTCTCTTTACCTTCTTCAAAGCAAAAGAGACAGACTGCCCGGCAGATGCTGCGGGCACCCGGAGCCTTTTGCGTTCAATCGAACGAATCGCAGTTGGGATGAACTGGCCGAGAGAATCTGGGCCAATGAGAACACTATCACCCTCATGAATAACGCCCGACTTGACAATACCAGACACCACAGTGCCGGTAAACGGGACAGAGAACGTGTCGTTCACTTGGAATTCAAAAGGGCCCTCTGAATTATACCGTCCGTGATGCGGGAGGATGTTCAGAAAGAGGCGCACCAGGTCGAGGTTCTGACCAGTCACGTTGGATACCTGGAAAATGGGACATATTCGATGACTGACAAACTGCGTTGCGGTGTTGATACAGTCCTCTCGGTTCTTGATAAAGGTGGGAACTTTTCGCGCTCCGGGGCTCTTCATGATTTTGCTAATCTGCTTGATGCTTTCCTCCAGGACATGGGGCGGGCAGATATCGATTTTGGTGACGACAACCATGACCGGGACATTCAGGGCCAGTGCTATGCCAAGATGCTCTTTACTCATGGCAGTCAGGCCATGATTCGCAGCAACCATGAGGACACAGTAGTTGGGGCTGGTAGAGAGCATGCCGAACACGGTAGTGCGTAAGTACTTTTCGTGGCCGGCGAGATCAGTAAAGGTAATGACCTTGGCGCTGCGCTTTCCGATTTCTTCCCAAGATAGTTTCCCTATTCAAAGTCATCTTTTAGAAAGCGAGTTGTCATAGCGGGGGTCATACGGCAACTCACGCCCAGGAATGTCAGAGGTGACAATTTGACCAGCGGCGTCAAAGCCTAGGATTTCCATGCCGACAGAGCTGGTTCGGCCGGTTTCAATCTCATGCTTGTGTCGAAAGAGATTTACACGAGCCTTGCCGCGTCCATCGTCAAGATCGCCCTTGACAAGAACACCCAAGAGCGAACTTTTACCAGCGTCAACTGCGGTGGCCTCTATTAGCACCCGCTCTCTATCATAATCTGCGCCAACTCACCATTTCCCACGACAGCTATTCGCGTCTCTATACCTTCCTCAACCGTCCTGGGCGCTCGGCGGAGAAGCACTTTCCCGGTGCAGCTCTTGTCCTTGGTCGACGCGGCTGAGGCGCAACCGGGAGCCGCCTCGGCCGTACCACCAACATTCTTTGTCAGCAGCAGCTGGCAGACGGTATCGACATTCTTTGCAGCAAGCTCTAGTCTAGCATAAGCAGTGTTCCATTCGTTTAGCGTCAGGTTCATCGGTTCGCCATTGTTCTCGTAGCCCAGTTCAAGGATGGCCTCTCCCAGGCCTTCCTCTATTCGCTCGAGTATGATATTTTGTAGCTTCCGTATTGACTCATCGTCGGTGCCGAGGAAGAGCGTTTTCAATTGTACTCTCGTGGCGGTGTCTGCGAGGTCTAGGGTGTCGAACAGTTCGTCAAGCTCTTCGTGGTGCTGATGATCGATCGACTGGGCAGCGCCGGGGGGCGCAGGGAATCGTATGCTCTGTTGCTGCTCGACATACTCGGCAAAGTCGCTTAGGGCCTATGGCGTGTCAATTTATGCTATTATCTTCGCGTGTGTGGTAGACAGCCGTACGGATTCGCCCTTGCGCTTCTCGTGCGGTAGCGCTTTGATAGCTTTCGTAGCCATGATGCGATCGGAATCGGCCACAAGTGCGCCAACGGTTAGATAGATATTCGGGTAATCATTTGGTGTTTATGTTTATTGGGGTATGATGTAGGGAAAGGGCGTGATTTTAAGCAAGCAAGCGAAAGCCTTGTCCGTATAAGCTGCGCCCTTGTCAATGTTGCTGAAGAGTCATAAGTTGCACAAGATGTCAGTCATACCAGTGAACTAGGCAGACTGCGTGGGGAACCTTGTGGTGAGCCACACGGTGGCCTTTGAGGTGGGGAATAGAGAGAACGAACCGTCACCTATACTGCAAGCCATTCCACAAGTGGGCAGATGCTTCCATGCACGCGTAGAGAAGACGAAGTGCGGCATGATGATATTCTCATTTTCCGGCTCTAGATACTCTGCTAGTCTCAGGCGCATGGCGACTTATCCAGATAAAAATTTCTAAACTTGGTGGCCTATTTGCGGAGAGCTTCCAATCACTAAACTCGCTCGCCACTGTGGCCTCCATCAGCGGCGCTCTTTGAGCAACGTCTCGGACTGGAGCGGTCCAGTTTTAGTCTTAGTTGTTAGGGTTGACACTGCGTCTGGTAGACTGGTGGCGATTAATCGCCGCTCTTGTCGGGCTCGGCCCAGTGCTCGTCTGTTCTGTACTTTGCCCAAACGCATCAGGAACTTCAGATTGAGCAGTATGTCCCGTCAAATCTCTCAGAATGGGACCTGCGGGGAAATAAGAACGACGCTGTCACCTGTGATTACGCGGGTTAGAGCAAGCCCAAACTGAGTTACTGTGCTTCTTTAACGTACCTCGAACGAAAAGCATCTCAGACTTGCGGCTGATGGTCTGTTTGGATTCACATCGACTTAGCTACCTTTCTGCGGAGTTTGAAGGGTCTAGTGCACCATACCTTGGCCTCTTCCTCATCCTCATCCTCGTCAACGCCATAGATGGTCTCCTCAACCTCACCTAGCACCAGGTTGCAGTGGCTGTCGTAGGCCTAAATGTGTCAATAAACCATGCACCTATGAGAAAAGGAGAGGCGACTCACATGAAGCTTGCCCTTGAGCTCTCTATCACCCCGGAGCTTGACAAACACGACTTCGTTGAGGAGCAGGCGCACAAGGTCCAAGGGCTCCGCAACATGGCTTGATCCGTCCGCATCGTCCGCCATGGTGAGTATCGATTATGCTCCTATGATTTAGGTCTCTTTGATGAATTTCGCAACAGCAGCTGGTCGGCAACGTCGTGTCTGCTCTCTGTCGGTTTCGCGGATACTGAATTGCGCGCCTGGAGCTCCCTGGAAAATCTTCGGGAGTGGCCCCTACCTATGCACTGATCGGGGGAGAAAGAATATGCACCTAACCAGAATGCCCCAGGCCCCGTTTACCCCAACTTCGGCTTGAGACAGCCAGGTCCACCACCCGCGATCCCGCCCCAGCGTTCTCCTCATCCGCGAGTTTAACTGTTGTGCGGTGAATCTCTGTCAGGGACAGCCAAGTTTGTTAGGGCCGTGAGGCTGTTTTTGCTGCATAGGAATGGCGTCACAATCACCGGCTCTGGCAAGATCATGCATTGGTCGCTGCTCAGCGTTTGTTGCCAAGAGACAGCTGGCAAGCAGCACACGAACTGTCGATTCATCGCGGCGGCGGTTCCTGGCCACGCTCACTGAGGCGGCGGCGCCCATTGTTCGACCTCATTTTGCTGATGTGCAGCCGCCACGCGAGCGAACTGAATTGGATAAACTTTTGCGCGCGGTACAGAAAAAGGATTCGTCACAGATTCTCGTCGCTTTTATCCAGTGGACGGACCTTCTAGCCAAGCACGACCCTGGCGCCGTGGAGGAGCTTCTCCAGCTTCCCGCGCCAACACTTTCCGAAGTTCTACGCTGTCTGGATCCCTTTCATGCTTCCGACGACGCAGCAGAGGGTATCAAAATCAGCGCTGGAGAAGCACAATACACGGCCACGGGCCAGTTTGTCGACCGGCATGGTGTGCACGGCCGCCATCGTCGAGTGCTTGCGGGGCTGCAGACCTTGTTCCGCATCCGCGCCTCCTTGACACCCCTCACGCTGGCCGACTATGAAGTTGCCATGCGCACTGCGGGCGCCGCCATTGACTTCCATGCCGCGCGTGAGTTCTGGAGCAATATCGCCGAGAACGGCCTGCAGCAGTGGCGGACCACCAAGGCTTGGAACGAGTTCCTCAAGGCCTTTTTCATGACAGAACCGCTGTACTACCAATTTGACAGAGCGCGAGTCGCCGTGACGGCGCGCCACTTGTACCGCAGCCGCAACCCGGTACATGGAGCGACGCTCGAGGCACTCGACCGGCAGCGCTTTAGCATTAACTCGCTACGACGTGAGCCGTGGAACTGCACCCCGACAGACACAGAGAGGGGCATGGCGGACATGGATAAAGAAATTATGCGAGATCTGCGGAAGCGTGTCCAGAGCCGTGGCTACCGCGCGCATTGGACACGTGGGCTATTGTATGGTCTCGAAATGAACGAAGAGCTTCTATGCACCTCGATTAAGGCTTTTTCACGATCAGCCTCGCTGCACGCGATCAAGGAACTCATCTTCAACAACTACTACGGAATAGTGATGGAGAATGATCGAGATCCGACAAAGACCACCATCACTGGTGGCCACGACTTCGCAGACTCGCCGCTCCGGCCGACCGCGGCCCTTCTCGAGGCAATTGCCGAAGGCTTCGGCTCCATGTCGCACATAGCACTGGCGCTGCAGTTGATCACCTTCATATCACACCGCTACAGAATCCCCATCCCGCACTCCGTCTGGTCAAGCCTTCTTAACTGGACATACCTCTTCGCTTCAAAGCCGTTCGACGCGCGCCGGAAGCTCGGCGACTGGACGTCCACGACGCAACGACCGATCGATGTTATGCGCATTTGGGAGGCCATGACCTCACGGGGCGACATCACGCCGACGTTTGATGATTACGACATCTACATCAAGACGCTCCTCGTGCAGCGGTGCCTTGTGAAGGCACTCGCCGCTATCGATGAGTACGCGATACCGCACCACACCAAACTCGTCGGCGCGTACGAGGTAGCCGTCGCCGACGAGGTCCTCCAGGCTGACGCTCTCGGGCTCGGAGCCGCAGCCGCACCACGCCGCGCCACGCTGCGGCGACGCAAGGCCGAGGCGTTGATGGACCGTGCCCACTACCGCATGTCCATATGGTTCAAGCAGCTGTTCAAGGTCGTCTCCGCGAACCGCGGCTTCCGCGAAGGATCCGTCGGTCTTGAGCTACTGCCCAACCTCATTCGCGACTACGCCTACTTCTTGCCCCCGGTCGTACAGTACCGCACCGCGCAGGGTACCGTGGAACTGGAGGTGGGTGGCGGCGACGAGAGCGTAGCGGAACGGGTGGCGTGGAAGCGGCGCCTTCGCACCACGCAGGCTGCCAAGCGTAGCGGTTTCCACGTCCGCGACTGGCAGGCGTCAACGGAGCCTGACTTCGCCTGGCCAACTGTCCCGTCGATGACGGTGCTGGAGACGCGACCGGTGCCCAAACGGCGACTAGAGTTTGTAGCGCCACCGCCGCCGCCGGGAGAGAGAGGACAGTGGTGGAAGACATTAGAGGATCAGATGGTGGTATAATTGAAATCCGCTGTAGATATTAGTATAAATATAATGCCAAATAAAGCGCTTAGGAGAATAAGCAGAAACATTTCGACCACACGCAATAAGTTTACAGCTTAACGTATCTTGTCGATCCGTTTCTTAGGTGAGATGTCATGGTGACTACGATAGGGAAGGACCGAATAAAAATGCCTTCTAAACAAAACTATTTTGGCATGTTAGCTTGGGAATTCTCGGGGCCGACAGGCGTTCGGTTGCGTGCCCGCCGCCATCTGCCCAAGAGCGTGATGAATATTCCGAGGCCGAAGTATAACTTCGGACACTTCAGCCCTACTCAATGGCTGACTCCTGGTCAGAGGCCACCTGTTTTTGTGTATTTGTAAAACCCTCGTGCCCAAATAAAAATGAAAGTGTACTTTATAGTCGACTCACTCACTCCAATTTGAAAATGATGGATATCCTGATTGAGAGCTGTGGCATCGCTGGTTCGGCGCTCGCCAGCTTCCTCCTGCTGGACGCCACCGACGCAGAAGAAGTCTCTCAAGATCACGATCCTCGAACGCGCGCCTGAGCTCCGACCTTACGGGCAGAACGTCGACATGCGCGGCGCCGGCGTCACGATGCTACGCCGGCTCGGCCTGGAAGACGCCGTGGGCGGCCGCCTGGCGCAGCTGTGCTGGCGGCGCAGCGAGGAGCTCAACGTCGCGTGCCGGGCGGCCGGCGGGCGCGGCGATGCTCCGGCCGGACGACCGCGGCGAGCGGTCCACCGTCTTCATGACGGTCATGAACGACACGGACCCGCGGCTCCCCGCCGCCGGCAAGCGGCATGACAACAACGCGGAGAAGAAGGCGCTGATGGCGGAGCACTTTGTCGGCGCGGGCTGGGAGACGGACCGCATCGTGCGGGGAATGGTGGACGTGGAGGACTTTTGGTTTGACGCGCTGGTGCAGGTCAAGATGGAGCGTTGGAGCACCGGCAGGGTCGTGCTTCTCGGCGACGCTGGGTAAGAAACCCCCTCACCCCTCCAACCCAAGGAGAACTTATAACTGACGGCGGGGGCTGGGGGAGGGGACAGGTACTGCGCATCGCCCATGTCAGGGATGGGAACGACGCTCGCGTTGACGGGCGCGTGCAGCCTGGCCGGGGCGCTGCTCCGACACGCGGGAAGGCGCCGGAGCGGGCGTTTGCCGAGTACGAGGCGGAGACGCGGCCGATCGCGGACAGGGCGCAGAAGCTGGCGCCGGGGATGCCGCGGATGATGCATCCGCAGGCGCTCTGGGAGCTGGTGTTGCTGCACGGGCTGATGTTTGTTCTGCAGAAGTCGGGTGTATTTACGATTCTGGCCATGTTGTTCAAGCCGCCGGCGGACAAGGTTTCGCTTCAAGACCGGCCGTCTGCAAAGTAACTGGCATTTTGTATTCTGTAAAATAATTACTTCGCTTGACCCTTTGATGACTCCGAGTCTCAATATGCCTCTGTAGGTTAAAGGTCCTGATGCCATGTAGAAACCTTCAAAGCTAGTAGTACAAGCAGACTGAGCCCAATCATGTAGACCTCCTCTGGACTCAGTTGTATTTTATCGCATTACCTCGAGATCCCGTTAATGCCAAAGGAGCGAGATCTTACTGCCTCGAATGATCTTCGGTCCATTGATTTTCGGGCAGCACAACTCATCAGTAGCCAGAATCAGGAATCCGAAGGTGGGGGAGTCTAGGTTCATGCGACCTCAGCCGCAATGCAGCAACAGCATCTCCCCTCGCTCGGACCTTTCGATTTCTGAAGATGTCCGCGAATCTACGGGGCAAAAAAGTCGGTGTCTCTACGATTTGGCAAACTACATTATCATGGCTTCACCTATTTTCCACCTTGCAAGCCGCCGCACATCAATATGAAGATTCCAAAAACCTCTTTGGCGGCGCTTCTCGGCGCATACCAAGCATCATCCGCCATGGTGAGCTCATGCTCGGACATCCTGCGCCCCGGAGCCCCAGAATCGGTCGGGGTGCTATCGCAGCCATTGAGGGACATGGTAGCCAACATGTCGCGCTTCACCGAAGCCCGGAACTGGGGCGCGCCGACGCACAACCAGGTCCTACCCGTGGAGCCCGGTGGCAGCGTGCTCGTCGCGCGCCATGGCCGCATCGTCAGCCACTTTGCCTTTGGCAAGCGAAATCTGTGGGCATCGGTCGACGGGTACAACGGTAGCCTGCTGCCGAAGTCGGATCAGGAGGACTCGACGACCGATACCATCTACGACCTGGCGAGCCTCACCAAGCTGTTCACCACGGTCGCAGTGCTACGATGCCTGGACGCCGGGCTCGTGACGCTCAACGGCACAGTCGTCACCTGGCTGCCGCGGTTCGGGGCCAACGGCAAGGAGAGTGTCACGCTGCTGCAGCTGCTGACGCACACGAGCGGCTTCGACGCGGACCCAGCGATCGGGCTATGGACGCCGCGCTTTCCCACGTACGAGTCGCGCATCGACGACATCCTGGCGACGAAGCTCATCAACGAGCCGGGCGCGGCGTATCTCTACTCCGACTTGAACTTTATGACGCTCATGCTCGTCGTGGAAGCGGTAACCGGGAAGCGCCACGACGAAGTCATCCTAGAGTTCACGTCGGCGATGGGCATGACGGACACCTACTTCAACCGGGACAACGTCGAGGGCGCCGCATCGCCACGGTACCACCGCGTGGCTGCGCAAGAGTTCCAGGAGGCCGTGAGCTCCGTCTACGAGCCGCCGCGTCCGCAGCCGGTGCGCGGCACCGTGCACGACGAGAACGCGTGGTCACTGGTGGGCGTCGCCGGTCACGCGGGGCTCTTCTCGACCGCGCTGGACACGGCCAAGCTCGGGCAGATGATCCTCAACAACGGCACGTACGGCGGGGTGCGCGTGCTGAGCCGGGCGTCGGTGGAGCTCATCTTCACCAACTTCAACGCGCGGTTCGGACCGCGGAATGCGCACGGCGCCGGGTTCGAGCTGGACCAGGCGTACACGGCGGGGCCGATGGCCAACATACAGGCGGCGAGCCACACGGGCTTCACGGGGACGTCGCTGGTGGTGGACCGGGCGAGCGGGACGGTATTTGTGCACCTGGCGAACAGGGTGCACCCGTCGCGGTACTGGAGCAGCAACAACGTGGCGCGACAGACGCTGGGCGCGTGGGTGGCGACGGCTCTGGGGCGGACGGTGCAATTTCCGTAGATGGAGGGGTATTTTACCGGAAATTGACTCAACGCTGGCAACTCTGTTAGCTCATAACGGATGAATTTGGTCGTCTGGTCGAAGACGATGAGAGCAAAGGATGATACGTACCGACCTAGGAGGAAAGGTTCCGGAGGCGAACCAACCATTGGCAAGAAAGATATGGAGCGGCGTCGCGCCGTCGCAATTGGAGAGCGAGTTGACTTAGCTTTTCGACGAAACTAATTGCATTTCAGCAGGCAAGCCGAACGAGCACAGCATAGGTCTAGGCCAGAGTCTATTCATTGTACAAACCGTCATTCTGTGATGGTGCCACAAAATCAAATACTCGTTGACGGATGGCAGCGAGCCGAAGATGTTGTCAGCTTTGTGCGTCCCTTGTGCGCAACATGAGTAAGGTGCTTACCCCGCTGTAGGTTAGTATGTACTGTACATACATACGTGCTGCGGGGAGGTGCGGGCAACCGGCACCGACAGATTCAACGAGGACATCTCCAAAATAGAGCAATTCAGGTTCATTTTCATGATGCCTATCCAGATTACTAACGTAGTCTTTTGGCCGAGACACTCCTGTCGATACCTTCACTTAGTAGCTCTCCTGGTCTCGCCAAGCTGGAAGCCTAGCACACCTGCACCACCCCCTCCTCCGCCTGTAAACGGATAGTTACACTGGCAGACAGGCACTGCTCCACTGTAAGTCTCAGGGTCCTGCGAATGCCCATTCTTTCCAACATGGGAATCTTCAGGAATCCTACCAGCTAAATTTCCATTAGTGCAACATCCCTTCATCATTATTTCGTCACACCCCAAGATAAAATTTCGCCGAATCCACGTATACAAGACAGCATCTCTGCGTAATCTAGCAAACTGTTATTCCTGCTTCTACACACCACCCCTTAACGACCTACCTACCTACCCTACCTTGATACCCAACTGACTTGCCCGTCGACAACCCAACCTACCCGAACCCGTTTGCCCATCCCCACCTCCGCCTCCAGATCTCCCGACGGCTTCAGCCTGGATTTCCATCGATAAACCCAGGCCACTACAACGACAGTTAGCATCAACAACCCGACTCATCAGTTTATGCCTGCCATCGCCCCCGTGGCTCCGCACACAGGATTTGAGCCCCTTACCCTCCGCGGCCCTACCGGCGGCGACATCGCGGCCCATGTGCTAGCCGCCATCTCTCGAGCAAGCAGCGTAGTCGACACGCATCAGTCCGCGGCAGTGCCATCACAGCTCTCGCTCAAGGGCCTCTTGCAGAGCGAAAACGTGCAGATGGTATCTATCCCTCCAATTTCCAGCCCCCAGGTGGCCAACGTTGTGCTAACTCCGAATGCCCAGATTCAGGAGAACCTCGCCGCCCTCGCCCGGTTCGCTGATCATCTCCCCCTCGACGTCGATGCCGCCGCGCCTCGCGTCTCCAACGACGAGCTCCTCATCATGGGAAACCTAGTACGGGATATCTCCGCTAGCCTGGAGAAGATTGAGTCGCTGCGCGCCGACGAGGACGAGGTTCTGCCCTTTGTCGCCGACAAGTATGTGCCGATGCGGCCCATGTCGTCGATCGCGCGGAGAAGGCGCAAGGAGAAGAAGGTGCGTTTTGTGCTCAATTGTGATACAAGAGCGTGTTCTAACAGATGCTCAGAAACTGAAAATAGCACACAAGTGCCACAGTTGCAAACGTCTCGACACGCCGCAATGGCGACCCGGTCCCGACGGCCCTCGCACGCTCTGCAACGTCTGCGGCTTGATTTACACTAAGAGACAACAGAGACAAGCTGAGCAAGTAATGCGCCCTTCACGAGACGAGTAAATATCCCTGGATGGATATTTTAATAGCTACGCGATGACGACACTTGTTTTGTTTTGATATGTTTGAAACGCTTGATATGCGACAGATACCATTTGCATTTCTCTCTTGGGACTTTCTCTTTTATTTCAACTGGCCTGGAGGCATCTTCAGTTACTGCAGGGTTTCAAAGTGCATTAAAAATTTGGAATGTGGAATATGGAATATGAATAGGGATTGAAAATTGTTTGATTTGGACCACTACCGCGGGAAATTTTGACATTTGGGCGGGCCATCACCTTGTTACGTCACTACCCTATTGTGATTTTGACCCTAGTGACGTGTGGCAGGTGTGCATCAGCTCTTTGGGGTAATTTTCCTACCAAGGTTCACAAGAGACGGTGGAATTCGTTGAATCTCGAAGCCGTGCGTTCCTGCATCCGTGCAATTTGTGAATGGCGAGATGGGTCTACCATGAATCTTGAGACACTTGACAACTGCAAATTGATTAGTTGTACGGACGCAGTTGCTCATATCGACAGACCCAACACGGACCAGCTGCCACCGACAGTTGAAGATAACAAGGCACAAAGAAAAATAGGGCCGAGGAAGTCCAGCATGTTGACAACGTGGTGCACGTTCACTGATCAATACTGCGCAACCGAAGATGCAAAGTCCCATTACGCCCGGCTCCGCTGGGGACTGCGGGTAGGCACTTCCGGTGTACGTGAGGTCCCGTATCTCATTGAGGGTTGGCCGACCACGGAGACGGCTCAGGCCAATGGCAGCGAATGTAACAAGCCAAAGAAGAAAGAGGGGGATGTGATTGTCAGATGACGGCACGAGATGGCGAATGGGGGTGGTGGTGGCGGAGTTGCGGCGCTGGCATGGCTGGGCTTTTGTCTCGGGTGCTTACAAGAGGGCTTGAGGGTCTTCTTTTAACACATGTGCGGTGATGCGCCTCTGCGAGAATATGGAGTTTGAGGCGTCTTTTAGCTTTTTAGGGGGGTTCACTGTCTGTAAATCCCAGCATGCCCTCTCGAGGGACCGAGCGGTGGTGGTTCGCAAATGGTTTGGACGGCTGCCTGGCGACGTGACTTGGCCAGGAAGGGCAAGTGAGGGACGAATTATCCCCAGCAGTGCCAAGGTTGATAAAAAAGCTCATCGGCGGCCGGCTCCGACTTTCACTTGTCTCCGGGCTTACTTGGTCACAAGGAGGTCTTGCTGGCACGTTTTCCATTCTGGAAAGCGAAAGGAAGTTGGGCCGGTTGTCTGCGGGTTTGGCTGATCATCCCCATCGGGCGCGACACTCCTTTCGGTGGCGAATCTGGCCTCGGTTTGTACTACCCACACGGGCTACTGCAACTCTAGCAGCGGTGCCTTGCTTTAATTCCTCTCTGCATTGTTTATGGTTAGATGGCGCCGTGAATGGAATTCTAGGGCGCAGCTAGAGCGTGGTTCGTTTTCGCATCATTTGAAGGCTCTTGGTCTGAGTCGGTTTGCAGGCGCGGGCTGTGCTTGCTAGCGCTGCACTGTCAGCTGTAAGGCAGTTGGCTGGGGGTTCGCTCAGCCGCAAAAAGCCATTCATGCTTTCTTTTCTTGATGGCGGGCAGAAAAGCACAGTCTCGGCACGAGTCGTTGGTTGGCGCGGATAGTGGTTCAATTTTTGGAAAAAGAGAAATGAAAAAGAATGAAATCAATGGTCCTCGGTCAGAGGTAAAAAGTCAGCGTCTCGTCTTCGGGCGCTGTTGGCAACTTATTAATAAGACTCGTTAAATCGCGGGGCTGGTGACGTAGTTGGCAGGATTGGTAAACGAGTTGCCCGCCTAGACTGGGTAACGGATAGATGGAAATAGAAACGCAAGGTAAAAGTTTTAGAGCAATAGTTTCGTATAGAGACAGCATAGAGACAATTCCTGTCGTTGAACTCGGTTGTCCGTGATGCGAGGACTCGCAACATTCTTGCAAAAAAAAAAAAAGCCCTGCAGTCTGCCCGTCTTTAGGCATGGTGCACCATGAGTCCAGCTGAGCTGCCATAGGCAGCAGGAGGACACTGGCAAGGGTGAGCGGAGGGACAGATTGTCAGCCCTGTGGGAAGGGGGACGGGATAGGAAAGGAAAGGGAGCCAATGATGTTGGAATGACAAGAACATGACTCCAGTGCATCTTGCGGGAGGGAGTCAATAACGTGAAGGGTTCTGGGTACCTGCAACCACTGTACCCGCCCGTACATTGCCGTTGAACGCCTGGAAAGGTTCTCTGCAGGCTTCTCCCGCTACTGGGCTAGGATGGATTTGGGCAGGAGCCGCTGCAATTGCCCGCTGTGGGGTGGGGGCTGCGGCGCGGAAGTGCCACACCGGGCCTGCTTGCTGGCTTGTGGCTGGGCGCTGCCCCCTCCCTTGTCTTGCAGGAACAGGACGGGGGCAGGCAACAGGGTCAGGCTCAGGCTCAGGTGGCCCATCAGCGAGGGGCGAGAAGTGAGGCGAAACGAACGGCGGGCTCCTTGGCTCCCTGTTACCCGTGGGGCCGTCGAGGAGACGAGGGTCGCGCCGGTACTTGCCTCTTTGTACCTGTGACGTTGCTTGCCGCTCCTCGTCGATGCTCGACTGCACTGTCGTGTCGTGCCTTTACTCTTTTCGGCGACAAGACAAGACACCACAAGCAGGTTGGCTTGTAGCAAACAGAGTCATACCTCCTCCTCCTCCTCCTCCACCACACACGCATCACTCAGCGAGCTAGTCAAGGAAGTCCATCGCCGCTCATACGGCCGGGCGGCAAAACCACCATGACCACTCGTACTTGACACCCCTTCTTTTTCCTTTTTTCCCTTCCATTCATTCCCTCAAACTATTCTCCATTCATCTCCTGTACAATACCTCAAGCTATTGCCTCGAGTTGGCCATCGTTTGCTGTCGCACACATACACACATAACTACCTACCTACCAACAACTGCGACTCTTCACTCACACGTTCGGCCCACCGTCACCTGCCCACTCATCACGAGCCAAGCACATATCTGACCTGGCCGCAGCAGTCTTGGCCTAACCTGTCTGTCGATTCTTCTTGATTCCCACCCCATCTACTCGATCTTTCCTTCTTTGCCAAATCTCTTCTCTATCCTTGTCGTCCGCGGGAACCTGGACAGCGCCAAAGGCCACATCGACGCTCACCAGCCCCAACCGCGCTCGCTTACACACAACGCTGCTGCCTGGATAACAAACACAGCCAACCACGCAGGCTGGCGTGCTACTGCATCTGTCCAGCATCCCCAATACCCCGTTGCCATCATGAGCGGTAGTGCAATAGCTCGCCGCATCGACCATGTCGACGCCCTTGCCCGCACACTCTATCAGCGCACAAAGCAGATTCCTCCGCCTGCGTTTGAAGATGCCGCCGTCGCTGTTCGACGCATGTACATGACCCTCCGCGGCCTCCGCGCTGAGGCTGATGACCCCAAGTCCGTCCTCAGCCAGTCTGACTCCCCTGCGACCTCTTTCGCAGCACTCGGTCCCATGATCGACCACTGCGAGGCTGCCCTCAGGCAGCTCGAGACGGTCCTCGATCGTTTCGATGCCGCTGGCAAAAAGGATAACCTGGCAGGTCGCGTCGCGTCTGTCGAACTTGCGAAAAAGGAACTGGACCTTGCCATTTTCCTTGACTTCGTCCAGACGCGGGCAAAGACAACGTCCACCACTACAGCCCAGCAGTCTGCGGACCATATGAAACATGATGTCGGCGCTACAACTTCCAACGTTTACAGTCGACATTCCCACGTGCGTAAAGCCGACACCGAAGCCACATTGCCACAATACAAGAAGACGCTTGAGCGCCTGGGCCTCACGCATGACGAAATAGAGGCTGAAGCGGTACGAAACCTGCAACCCCCAAGCTCAAAGCAATCTGCTGACATCGTGATTCAAGGCTGTAGTAGAAGCAGAGCGTCGACGGCAAAGCTCTGAATTAAAGGGCATCTGTGATGCTACGAATATACCCACCTACCAGAGCGTGGCCGAGTTTGAGGTGAACACGGCCCCTCAAGTCCGGCATCCCGTACAACTACCAGTGGTGCCACCTAAGGTGCCCATTCCGCCGCCCAAGGAAAAAAGCTCACCCCCCAAGAATGAGAAATCAGGACTTGGCATTAATGCCGATGCTTCGCCCACGGGGAACCACTCACCGACGGTGCTCCCCACACAGTACTCCTTCAATGTCCCATACGCCAGCATGGAGGACGACAAGGAGCCCGATCTATCTATGGCGCTCATCTCGACCAAGGAGCTTGTCTCCATGGACAGCCTAAATCAGAACATGAATGGAATGAACATACACACAGATCCAACAACTGCGCACTCGAGCCGTCTAGGTGACGGCCCGTCGCGATCGCCCACCTTGCCAACGGTTGTCGCTGGCTCACCGCAGCAACACTACAGCAGCGTGGCCTCCGATGCTAGAACACAAATTTTTGCAGGTACTAGCCCGGGTCGTTCATCATGTCTTGGGCCGGATAGATATGGCAGGGAAATTCCGCCCGAAGCGCAGTGGACCAAGATTCGCCGCACCCTCGTCAGCCCCGAGGTCCTCCACCGCGCTGGTGTGCGATACGAGGCACGACCCGAGTATGTCGCCATCCTCGGCCGTCTTAGTCGTCATGAGATTGCCGAGTTTGCTCGCCAAAGTGCCGAGTGCCGTGCTGCCCGCCCCAGTCGGCCCCCACTGCCGCCCCGGCGTTCCGACGACGATGCACGGCCTACTAATACCAAGGCGGACGTCAAAGCTAACGGAGATGGTGCCCGGCCTACTAACCTGGACACCAAAAGTAAAACTGAGGGTGCCCGGCCTATCAAGGCGGATGTCCAAAGCCATGGTGACGGCGCCCGGCCTAGAAACTTGGATACCAAGAGTCATCACAGCGACGACGACATCCTCTACGACTCTGACGACTCAACTGACTATTCAGATTACCACCGCACCCACGGCAAGGGCACTCGCACCTACCCATATATCGTCAGTCCACCGTCTAAGAACAGCAAAACGTCGCCTTCCACAACGGTTAAGCCTAAACCCATCCTCAAGAACAAGCACGAAAACCACGTGCGCTTCGACCCGGAACCGCACGACCTGGAACATTCCAGCAGCGCGCCTAGTTCCTACAACCACGACCGTCACAGGGACTACTACTATGGACAGGGTAGTTCGTCATCCTCGCGCCGGTATAGAGAGCACTATGACCGCGACTATGATGACCGCGATGAGCGGCCGCACCGCAGCCACAGAGATCGACGCGACCGGAGGAAGAAGTCATGGGGAGAGACGCTTGGTGCGGTGGGCATTGGAAGTGCCGCGTTGTTGTTGGGCGGCGTCGGATTTTAATACTTAGATATCTTTTCTGTTTTGTTGTTCTTTTTACTTTTTTCATTGGGTTTGGAAAACAGAACACGGGCTTTTTATGATGACGACTCACTACGACTATAATGACGAAAAAAGGATCTACAACATACTACTTGAGCTGAGCTGTACAAGAAGAAGGCATACATATATATTGCTGTTGTCCCTTTTCTTTCAAGATATTTTGCATAGTGAATAAATGAGATTGATGACAAGACTTGAATGACAGAGATAGGTCCTACTCTCGGCAAGCGACTCAGCAAGATTTAGCAGACTACAGATTAGCAGGGACAGCATTTAATATTTTACGGTTATGCGGCCAATGAAGACAATTTTGGGCACAACCCTCAGCCTGTTTTAAGCGCACCATTGGCAAGCTTACCCTAGAGGTTGGATAGGACAAATCTTCAGTTGAACACGTTGAAGAGAACGAGCCAACGGACGGCCTCCACTTGGTTGCAAGAGGGGGGGGGGGGGGGTAAAAATATGCAAGCATCTGTGAAGTCTATGACCTCATTTCAGGGGACGATCCCCGGACGAGGGCCGCTGTGGCTTTCTTCGTGGCGGTCGCGGCCAGGGTGAGATGGCGCGCGATGCGCTGGCTTTGTTCAGGGCTTTTTTTCTGGTCACGCAAAACTTGATGCGAAAGGCCTCCAAGACGACGATGCACGTGTGTTGTTGTCGTCGCTGGACAGTTTCCCCATTGACCATTTCCCATAGCTCAACAATTCCCTATCGTCAAGCCAATACGAAAGGCTTTTTGTGCCGTAGCAAAGCCCCTATTACCAATGGCAGAAAAGTTGGGCTGGGATGTTCCGCATCTGTTGGAGGAGCGACAGGAAAAACCCAAGTCATTGAGCTTTGTTATAAAGTTGTTTGGCGGCCGCCGAAGCGATAGGTGGGTTTCGTTGCCGTTGGGTTGTTCGTGTCGGAGATGCCCAGCGGTTCGGTTTGAGGCTAACCAGGAGCCAGCGAAGTGAAAGTTGGGTTGTTTCGGTACCTAACTAGTTTCTAAACCTGCAATTGATGGAAAGAGAATTTAATTTGCAATTCTTCCCCGTACTTGGTCGAGGATTGATTGACATGCAAGCAGGTGGTGATCCTTGGCAGGGCGGGCTGTCATGCGTGCCCAGGTTACGACGTTGAGTGCCGAAAAAAAAAAAACACAATTGGGCGGAGTAAGAGGGAGCTGGTCAAGAGCCATGACCAAGACCAATTCAAGAAGCAAAAATAATGCCGCGGCAAGGAGGTAAGAGCTGTACTAGTTGGCAGGTCGGGCATCGACGTAGGCATCTAGATATATCAACAAAGTCTTGAGGTATATGCGGTGAGTCGGTATAGCCGCATTGGTCAAGGGTCGGGCCCGGTCAAGGGATATTTCCCGGGGCAGGGCACGAAGGCATGCAACAATGTTGGGCATACATGTGGATGGAGCTCGAGTACGCGCCCGGAAGTCGCGGATGTGGGCTTTTTGTCCTTTGTCGTTGTGAGGGCTCGAAGCTCGGCGCCGGTTCGGAGAGCGCGGAGACGGTTTCTAGCGAACAAGGCCGGGCAGGGGAGCGAACAGGAACAAAGGCAGACGTTGCAGCGGAGGTTCCGTGGAAAATGGCACTTGAAGCCGAGTTGGAGGTGTCATGGGCCGTGGAAGGTGACGGGACTGCCGCGGAGATGTCTCGGTGCTGATGATGTCCAGGAAAGCATGGGTTAGTTGGTTGTGCACGATCTTTCCCCGGATGCCATTGGGAGCCTATAACGTTGAATGAAATGGTCATGTTGATTAGGCGGTTAGTTTGTCATTAGCACCGAATATTTTTTCCTATTCATCAGGCTCGTAAGACGACTAATAAAAAAAAAAAGTGAGCCCTGAAGTGGAGATTGCGAGATGCAGCCTGGGCGAAAAAGAAAAAGAAAAAGAAAAAAAAAACAAGGGCGATTCCGTCATGCATCCGTCACAGAGGCGCAAAGTGCCGATCGTCGAAAGATGGCTCCAGGTTACCTACGGAGGTGTGGGAGGTGGCTATCGGCTGGAGATGCTGGCTGGATGTGGCGTGACCCAGGCGGCGAGGAACGGAAGCGATGGGCCGTTTGAACCGGGCCTGGCTGAAAGAAAGAATTGCTGGATGAATTGGATACTTGACTAGGTGCCTACTGGTTAGATTGCCGTTCCTAGCGAACGGTGAAGGCGATGAATTACGTCGATGAGGATCAAGATGTCGGCGATGGCCATGGGCGACGTGCGACGCTAATAAATAATACTCGTACCTATGTACATACATACATACATACAGTACATAACTGGGTTAGCAGGAAACTAGAAGGCCTGTTGGGGTCTAGACCATGGTGCAAGTAGCGGTGCAAGTCGAGGCAAGTCACCCATCTTACTGTCCTCTTTTCTCTCAGCATAGCGCTGGAAGGAGGCAGCATGAATGAATAGACTGGTAATTCAATCTATATCAGCTGGCATTCATTGTCATTGGCTTTTTCCCCCCTCACGCAAATGAGTCCTTTCCGGTGAAATGCGCAGTTGGCGTGAGTATTGCATCGACAGTTGATTACATACATTCACAGCGGGTTCTTCAGTGGGGTCGCATGTACCCAAATAACCATTAAAGTACCTCCTAATCGAGCACCGCTATCCTCGCCGTTGGGTGAAGCGGCATCGTCGGAAGCGGTCGACCGGAGCGGGCGAGAGCGTGAATTACTGAACAGATGGAATCATGAAGCCGAGAAAGCAAGCGACTTTGACCTGTGAAAAAAAAAAAAAGCCCGATGGATGACCAGTAGCCGCATCGAGCAATACTACCCTGAAATTCCGACCCGCCGTGACTCCGAAACGCGCCCAGGCTTTCGTTATTAGGTGCCTACTAACTAATCCGGAAGCCTATAACTTGAGCAACGACTCAGGCTGCATGACAATTCTCTCCCAAAACAAAACTGAAGAGACGCGAGAAGACGAGATTGGATACATGCAGGCCTGACAGACAAACGACGGTCATTAGCAAGCCCGACTGCCCACACTGCAATCTGCATCGGGGATTTAGCGCCCCTCTGAGCACAAGCTTTCCTCTTCTCTGTCATTCTCTCGTCAACTCATTACGACGCTGCCCACCTCTTCCCATCCTTCCTCCATCCTTCCTCCATTGGTTAATAACGGTCGTCCATTGCTGCTTTTCCCAAATCCCATCGGTTTTTTGTTTCTCGTCATCTTCTTTCCTTTCCATCTCCCACATCCCAAACCGAACCTCCTGTCCGTCCTTTCTCTGCAGGACTTGTCCGCAATAACACCGCAGACGGCTCAGCGCGGTCTTTTTGCCTGCCCATCTCCATTTGACAACGCTGCCGTCATCCCGAGAGTCAGTCAGTGCTTGCTGCCCTCGTGCGCGACGTTGTCGATTGATTCACGCAGGACGGTCTGGGCCCCCAAGTCCACCCACTCGCCGACGGCATCCCGCCACTCACAGTCAGCCTCGGTCGCCGCTCGCTCACTCTTCGTCTTCTCGTGCAAGTCGAGATCATCGCAAAGAGGTTGCTCATCAGCAAGCTTACCGCTCATCTTTGCTGGCTTCAATTGCCGACGCTACTTCTTCCTGGTCTCACCTCACAGCAGCCCAGCCCAGCCACGGCAGCCATCGCATCAATTACTTGGCTGTCGCATTCCAGGTTGTACTTGGTCTATTCATACATCCCGCTGCTGCATTGATCATCTCATACAGGGGAGGGGGGTGCATTGATAATAACCGTTGAAGACCAATAACGTTGGTCATTTTGGGACAAAGTCAGGTAAGCCTTTATTTCTGTTTCTGCTCTTCAATCTCCGCCATGTCCTTTTCCATTTGCTTTTCTCTCGGCCAACCACCGCACTACGACCTCTGACTGCCGTCTCGTGTTTTGCTGTACCCGGCCTTGTCATTCCCTGGCAGCGATTCAGCTCAACATGGCATCTCACATCAACCAAGTTCAAGCCCCTCTCCGTCCTATCCTCACTCATGCTTGCCCACACACACCGGCTTGTCCTTGAACAGACGGCCTCTGGTTGAGGTCTAGATCCACTCCTGGAAGCTCATGTCGTCCATCCCGACACAAGCCTTCAAACAATCTCGATCTTTTACTTTCATGCAGCCACCTACCTCGCACGTCCCTGCGCTGCTTGGCGACACTGCTGCCGCCCTGCCTTCACCCCCCCGTCCCAGCGGCGTGCCAGCATTCACCCTGTGGCTGTGCATTTTGCATGTCATTGCTCATTACAGATAATTTCGGCTTGCTTTTCCCTGCTTCACCCTCACTGTTTCGTCCCCTAGCGAGGCGCCTCGTCTACTGCAGGCCTCCACCATCGTCGAGCTTCTTATAAGCCATGCCACCTTTTCGTGGGCGCTGATCTCGCTGGGCAAGTGTCCTCGGCCAACTCATCCTTTTTTGCCCTTCTTTTCATGGCCATTTAAATTCTTTTCCGCTGGGCACCATTTACTTGGCGGGATCCCCATGACCTCTTTGATTTCTTGGGCCCAAAGACGCGTCAGTCATTCAGTTCATCTTCGCCGAGCTTCCTCAACCCCGTCGCCGAATGCGTTGTCTTGAACCTTGATAAGTACAGCGCAGCCGTTAACATGACTTGCTCCAGACCACAGTCCAGCCAAGGTTCTGTACCTTGGGTAATTGCCGAGGGTGGCAATATATCCCATCGCTCAAGTTGGCTTCCTTCTCCCGGCCCTGACGCCCAGACCGAGTGCTTTCCCGCGCCGTTAATTGGGCCTCGCCGAACCCGGCCCCAGGCCATCCACGTCCTCTCATTTCCTTCCGGCTACATACCTCGCGATCTTCGACCGTCACCAACCAAGTCTCTCCGCCTCGGAATACGGCGAGAAAGAAAGCAGGATAAATCTGCGCAAAAGACCGAACGTCGAATCTTTCTCCTTCGCAGATTTTCCGCTCCCGGCTTGGAGTCTGCATGCCAACGCCAGCTCTCTCGTTTCAGCAAACAAGCTAACACAGCGGCTGCGACCGAGGGGCTGCGACCGCCACAGGGCACCAGTCCACCGCCCAGCTCCGTACACGAGGACGAGCACCGGACCACTCCCTTGCCGGAGCCAAGTTTGGCATCCGGCTCCATCTTGAGCGTCACCGAAGAAGAACACATCGCAGCGCCGCCTGCCATGACATCGCGCCGCAGAGGCGCCGCCGACACGGCCGCATACCGCCTACCGACCGACACCGGCTACCTCTCGTCCATAATGAACAAGTCAGCGGTGACTTCGGTAACGGAAATCCCCAAGCCTGTCGCGTCTGGCAGCGGCGTGACCTGTTCCATCCTCCTTGCCGAGCAAAATGTCTTTCTGTACGGCTTCGAACACGACAACCACTCCCGCATGGAGCATCGCAGTGGCACAGCGCTTCTACGCGGTCGATTACGACTCAACGTCACCAAGAACGTCAAGCTCAAGGCAGTCCAGCTAAAACTTGTCGGTCGTGCCCGCACCGAGTGGCCTGAGGGCATCCCGCCGCTCAAGCAAGATCTGTTTGAGGAGGAAAGCCTTCGGACGCAAGTCTTGACGTTTTTCAACGCCATGACCGAGGGGTGGGAAAACGAATACGGAAACCAGTGCACATACTCTCTCAAATCCAGCTCCAACAACTCGAGCAACACGAACCTCGCGCTGCCTGCCACTCAATCACACCGTGCCAGCCTAAGCTCGAAAGAAATGAAGCGCCTGTCGCTGCAGACTGTCCAGTCGCGTAGCTTTGGCAAGAGCGACTATAGCGTTGCGTCTGTAACGCAAGCAAAGGGCTACAAGGTCTTTTATCCCGGCACCTACGATTACTCCTTCGAGCTCCCGATCGATTTCCACCAGCTCGAGACCACCAAACTCCAGTACGGCTCCGTAAAATGGGAGCTGCACGCGACGGTTGATCGCGCGGGGGCGTTCAAACCTAACCTACATGGCGTCAAGGAAGTTTCCATTGTCCGCCTACCGGACCAGATGTCGCAGGAGATGTCGGAGCCCATCTCCATAAGCAGGCAATGGGAGAATCAGCTGCACTACGACATTGTCATCTCCGGCAAGAGCTTTCCCATCGGCTCCAAGATTCCCATTGCCTTCAAGTTGACGCCACTCGACAAGGTGCACATTCACAAGCTCAAGGTCTTCCTGACTGAGTCCACCGAGTACTGGACCAACGACAAGCGCGTCACGCGGAAAGACCCTGGTCGGAAGATCCTGCTCCTCGAAAAGGTGGCCGGCAAGCCTCTCGACTCGCACTGGCGCAACTCGTCGATACGCACCCTCCGCGGCGGTGAGCTCTCGCCCCAGCAACGGCAGGAAGCTAGAGAGACAGCTCGGAGGCGCCGCGTCGCGGATGCCTCGAGGAAACGCGTGCCTCCCGAGCCGCTGCCCGAGCCGACGGAAAACATGCTTGGCGAGTTGGAGCTGGGACTGGAGAGCATGTGGGGGGCGACGGAGATCGAGGCCAACGTGCAGATCCCGACGTGCGAGATGATGGCCAAGAACAAGGACCTGCGGCTGCACCCGGACTGCAGCTGGAAGAACGTCAACGTGTACCACTGGATCAAGGTGGTGATGCGCATCAGCCGGCTGGACCCGGAGGACCCGTCCGGCACGAAGCGCCGCCACTTTGAGATCAGCATCGACTCGCCCTTCACCGTGCTCGACTGCCGCGCCACCCAGGCCAACACGTTTCTGCCCACATACACGGGACCGGCCACGCCGCCTGACGTGTACCGCGCGTCCTGCGGCTGCCCCGACGCCCACGTCGTCGCCACCGACGCCTCGCCGAGCGCCTCCTCGATCGCGCTCGCGCCGGCAGACTGCGACGCGGCGACCGACGTGTTGCCCGCCGCGCCGCGCGCCGCCCACGTACACCAGCCAGTCCACGAGCCGAGCCGCAGCGGCAACAATGGCAGCCCCGACCGCAGCTCTCGGCCCATCCACCTCTTGCGGGCGCCGAGCTTCAGCCCGCCGAGCTTTGACGAGGACACGGCGCCCCCGCCGATGCTCGTCGACAGCGGCGGTGGTGGTGGAGGCGGCGTCCCGGCGATGACGCCGCCGCCGACGTACGACACGGTGGTGGGCACGCCGTCGGTGGACGGGCTGGCGGACTACTTTGCGCGGCTGGCGGACTACTTTGCGCGGCTGGCGGACTACGGGTTCGAGGGCGAGGAGGACGAGTCGGACGGCGAGGAGACGCCGCCGCGCATCTTGGAGCGCTCGGGGCGCGTCAACGTGGCGCACCCGCGGACGCCGGGCGGGAGAATGCCGAGTAGAAGCTTGGAGATTGCGAGGCCGCCGGTGAACTTGAACCTGGAGGATCTGGCGAAGAGGCGGAACGTGGTGCCGGCGGCGGCGGCCAGCACGTCGTCGACCTGAGGTGCGTGCGCCGTGGGATGTTGTTGGATCTGATGACAGGGGTGTAGAATGTAATGATGAAAATTTTTGTGTACTTACTGCAGGGTGTTGTGGGGGGCTGTTTATATATATACCAGATGAATTGCACAGGATGAGGAATACGGAAATACAGGCACATGCACGATACATGACAACGGAAACCCGTGATGAACCTAGCTACATGAATGAGTAGTGACAAATTTGTCGCCAGTGATTCATGATGACAGCACAACCTCAGTTGGTTTCCAGAAATAAAACCGCCAAGCATCTCCCACTCTGTCGGGGCCGCTTTGTCTTGATGCCACACGCCTCCCTCTCGTTATCGTAGGCCAAGCCGCGTTCTCCGGCCGAAAGACGCGCCGACCGGGCAAGTGTCGGTGTTCGGCTTCGTCCTGGAATACGAGATGGGGTGAGAGGGGTCCTGGTTCGCGGAGATGTTCGACCTGAACGTACTCCACGCCGTCACGAGCTCCCCAAGTCTTCTCCACCTCGCCCGGCTCGTTCCGAGGAAGCCGGCCCGGCTGCATTACACCGGACAAGGGCAGACGGCTTGCTACCGGACTGTAGATCTTTACTCATAAAGTGTTACCACAGCTTGCCAACGAATAAAATGAACAATCAAGTAAGGATACTAGAAGAATGGATTCTTCTCTTCTATTAAATTTGCGCAGAACCATCTTGAAATAGGTGACCAGGCTGGTATCTGCCCTCCGGGTGGACGAAGAGCATACACAGGCCTCGGCTCTGCTGAGGAAGAAATCCCCCAAACAATACAAATTTAAACCGAAGCAGTACAGTCGGGAATACGCACTGCTAAGAACGAGACGTTTGGCAGTATGGACGGGTACAGGCTCGCCACGATACCCGCGCCACCGCCGCCGCCGACATCACTTGCTGCACTTGCTAGACCAGGACGATGCCACGCTGGCTAACGAGGCAATCTGGGTCGAGCAGGACGTCTGCACCGACGCCACCGCACTGGGCACCGCCGTCTCCCGACAGGCCACGTCGGCCGAGGCCCTGGCCGACTCCGCCGTCGCGGTGATGGCCGAGTTGCACGACGTCGACGCCGCCGCCTGGGCGCTGGCCACCGCGCCCGTCAGCGCCGAGGCCGCGCTGGTCGCGACACTCGACACGGTCGAGGCCACGCGGGCGTCGCAGGACGTCTGGGCGGATGCCTGGGCAGCGGCCATGGCGGCGTTGCACGACGCCCTGTCGGCGCCCTGGACGCTCGAGGAGGCGCTCGAGGCCGCGTTGGCCGCCGCCGTGGACACGCGCGCCTCGCACGCGGCCGAGCCCGCCACCTCGGACGTGATGCGCGCCCGGCACGACGTGGCCGCCGCGCTCGAGATGGCGGCCACGGAGCCGGCCAGCTCCGAGGTGACGCGCGCCTGGCACGACGTCTCCGCGACCTGGGCGGACGAGGACAGCTGCGAGGTGCAGGACGCCTGGGCGGCGGCCTCGAGGCTGGAAGACACGCTGGAGAGCGCGGAGCCGAGCGCGTCCATGTAGGGCGGGTGCGTCGCGGCGTCGGCGGCGGTGCTGGTGGCCGCGGTCGAAGGCCCGACGGTGGCCGGGGGCGTGCCGGCAATGTCCGAGGTCTGCTCCTCGTACAGGATGGGATTCATCCACATGGCGCCCTGACGATGCTTGGTGACGTAGTGGTAGCACGAGCACGCGCGGGTGGTGTCCCAGCCGGCGCCCATGCAGTCGCTGTTCTGCACGCATGCTTCGGCACACGCGACTGGACCGGCAGCCGGTCCCATGACGGCCTTGATGTCGACAAATGAGTCGCAGAGGAAGTTGAAATCCCTGTCTTTCAACTTGATGGTGCCCGCCATGGTGGCGTTGACGCTGCACGCCTCGCTTGGCTTGCACCATTCCTCAAAGTGCGGCCCATGCCTATGACTTGGTACACCGGTGTCGTGAGCAGAGGCCAATGCAGCAAGACTTCCATATAGGCAGAGTAGAAGTAGAAGAGCGACCTTGGCAGCCATGGATTTGAGTGATGAGTGTGCTTGAGCACAGGTAGGGGATGAGGTAGTAGCGGTCTTTGAGAAGTTGGCTTGTCTCTGGAGATTGTGTTGAGGGGCTCCCGTCCCCAAAACTAGGAGCCATTTCCGCCTTTATACTCTTTCGTCTGTGAAAAGTTGCGCCGACTTGGACGCAGCTGGAAAGCACTCCCGCCGTCCAGGTTCCCACGCCCGGTTTTGCTGAGATGGCTGGGAACGGACAAGGATGAACACTCTCGGCAGCTGAATGTCTGTCATGAAATTGATCAAACGACCGTAGTGAGCAAGATTGCATGAAGCTGAAAGGAGCGCAGCTGTGCAGTCGTCTAACCTACAGCTGTTTCACTTCCCACTAGGTACATGGCTGGCTGAGGATGGGCAAAGGCTGCCTGTATATGCGAAGCCATGCAGGCGCTTTCGTTGAGGTATGCCTACGAAAACCCCGAGAATGAGTAAAAAGAGATGACAGGAGAACCCCAGGTACTCGCGTCCTCTAGTTGAGAGAAACAGGCAGCGGGCATGGCCTTGGGCATTCCCTTTGTATATTCCCATCGTGCGTTGCGTTCAGCCATGTTTTGTATGTCGGAAACGCGCGGACGAGCCGCGGGAATAGCCAGCTGAAACGTTGTCGCTGTGGCGTTTAAACGGCAATTCTAGATTATACGTGACTAGAAAGAATTCTTGATTGGATGCGCCCAAGGTAGTCGTTGGCATATTCGGCCCGTATGTAGGGCGGGCGCCTGTAACGCAATCATTGCCTGATGAGGTAATCTTACTCCTGGTGAGGGGCGTCGGCAAGTATACACTTCAGATGAAAATTTATTGCCTCTAGGGTAAAGGCACCCTGTAATCCTGTGTAGAGGAATTATTTCCATTTTCGAGGGTAATAATCTGACGGCGGAACCTGGCTCTCCGTGTGATCTTGGAGCCCCTGAACGCGACTGGATGATGGATGGAGCCGGTGGATGGGTATGGGAAGAGTGAGCAGCTTCACACGAAAATGAGAATTCCAGCGAAATGCGCCGACTGTTTACCCCGCGCTCTTGTGCATATACAGGCCGTAGTGGAGTGCCCGGCGTTGATCTGCCGCTTCTCTCCATCCCATCTCCCCGGGGAGAGCTCCGGGGAAGATGACACGCCAACTCCGGTGCGGGGGACCTCGGATGCCATGACTTATAAATGATCATGTACAAGATGCCCTGATTGCAACTCCATTATCACAACTTCAACCTCAACCGCAAAAACCAACCCATGACAATGGCAGCAGAAATCCCCATCCCGGCCGCGTACACCACCTCTCCGCAGAGCGAGATCCTGGTGACCAACCACCCGCCATCCGCGCCCGGCGTCACGCCCATCCTCATCGCCACCCTCAACCGCCCCAGCAAGCTCAACGCCATCACGGGCGGCATGATCCGCGACCTCATCACGCTGTTCGAGACCGTCACCGTCGACGACCGCGTCAAGGCCGTCGTCGTGACGGGCGCCGGCAAGGCGTTCAGCGCCGGCATCGACCTCAGCATGGACACGAGCGGCCTCCGGGACGAGGCCGTCGGCGAGATGCGCGACCCGGGAGGGACGCTGGCGCTGGCCATGTTCAACTGCACCAAGCCCGTCATCGTCGCGTACAACGGCCTGTCCGTGGGCATCGGCATGACGTCTACCCTAGCGGCGGCCATCCGGTGAGCCCTCCACACCGTTTCCCGACTAACAGCAATGGAGGGGTCGATTGGGCTAACCGGCGTCGACGCACCTGCAGAATCGCACCCCGTACCGGCGCAGAGTTTGGCTTCCCGTTCGCCCGCATCGGCCTCACCATGGAGTCGTGCAGCTCCTTCTTCCTGCCGCGCATGGTCGGCTACAGCAACGCGACGTACCTGCTGACCACGGGGAGGCGGTACCCGGCCGCGGCGCCGGTGCTCGACGGCGTCTTCGCGGAGCTGGTCGACGCGCCCGCGGATGTGCTGCCGCGCGCCCTCGCGCTCGCCGAGGACGTCATCACCAACGTGAGCCCGGTGGCCGCGTACCTCAACCGACAGCTCATCTGGCGAAACGCCGGGTCTGCCGAGGGTGCGCACCTGGTGGACAGCCCGCTTCTCTACGACATGTTTGCCGGGAGGTATGTTTTTCGTCAGAGGTGCTTGCCAGTGCTTGTGCTGACACAACAAAACTCAGGGACCACTTGGAGTTCAAGTCGTCATTCTTTAACAAGAAGAAGCCGGATTACAAGGCGACGCTTGCGATGGATGCGCCGAGGACGTATCCCTGGTGGAAGGAGATATCGCTTCGATTGCAGCCAAAGGCCAAGGTGGCGGAGAAGGAGGCGGAGAGTAGCAGGCTCTGAGCCAATACGAGACGTTCAAGGTACAACACTAAAGTAGGTCGAGTTTTAAACTCGGAACAATCGAATCAGTTGTCAAGTGCTGCTGACGCTTGCACGCTGGCTCGTAATGCCATGTCCCGTTTACAACTTGAAATGAAGATGCCGGTAAACACTTGGACAATAAAATACGACGCATTTTATAAAGAGAATCTTGCATGAACATAAATCATATGTACCGAGTATAACATTGACTTGATAATACAAAGTAGCCCATGTTGAGATGGCCTTTGACGCACGGTTGTTGAAGCCTCGCTCGTGCTGAAATCACGCTCCGTCAACGTCCGACTCATACTCATACCGCATTCATCGGATCAGTCCTTCTTGGCCGTGAGCAGAGGTCTGAAACCAAGGATGATGCCCTCGATGCCCTCCGGGTCGTGTTGCGCGTAGTTGGTTCCGTGCATGCTCGTCAGCGCGTAGCCCGTGCGGTTGACCGACATGGGCAGATCCGCGTGCGTGCGCCGGCCGTACGGCCCATACTCGCCCATGTTGGTGATGAACTTGAGCTGCCCCAGCTTGTGCCCTGTGATGATGTCCACGTTGGTGATGTACTCGCCCTCCTTGAGCTCGAAGCCGGCCTCCTCCTTGTCCCGCGCCGGGCCGCACTTGCCGTACTCGCCCTCCCACCGGTTGCCGTACTTGACCTGCATCATGCGGATATTGTCGCCCGCGCACATCTTGACGCCCGTGATGGGCGCGCTGCGCGGCTCGACCTTGGGCCCGGCCTGGGCGCTGAACTTGGTGTTGCCCGTGTAGCGGACGTACGGGCCGCGGAAGATCTCGCGGTCGAGGTTGCGCATCGCCTCGGCGGACACCTCGCCCTTGGTGCCGGCCAGGTACGGCCAGAGCTCGGCGTAGTTGAGCGCGTTCTCGACCATCTCCAGGTCCCAGTCGGCGTAGGTGGCCAGGGCCAGGCCCTGCTTGTAGCCGTCGCCGTAATGGGGCATCGTCTGGCCGTCCACCTTGCCGTCCACCCACGTCCGCGGCTGCACCTGCTTGCGGCCGTCGACGTACCACCGCTTGACGTGGGCGACCAGGTCGCGCGTGACCCCGTCGCGCCGCCCGAGGGTGCTGTCGCCGCGGATCGCGAACTTGTGCACCAGGCTGGTGTACGCCTCCTGCCAGAGGGCCATCAGCGCCGGGTCGACGCCGAGGTTCTTGGCGGCCTCGAGGGCCTCCTTGGCCATGTCCAGCAGCGCGGCGTCGGCGTCCTCGTCACGGCTGTCGAGGAGGCCGCGCGCCGCGTTCGCGCCGTCCTGGCCGGTCGCCTTGTTGAACAGGGAGACGAGCGTCTTGCCGTAGTGGCTCTCGTCCCAGCCCATCTCCTTGCCCTGCTTGATGCCGTCGGCGAGCAGCGCGATGTACTGGTTGGCCGCCGCGGCGAACAGCGGCAGCGCGGCGGCCGCGTGGCCCTCGCTCTGGAAGGCGGGGATGCCCGCCTGCAGCAGCGTGATGGAGTTGGTGTGGTGCACCCGCAGATTCTCGGCCTCTTTGGCACGGTTGTCGGCCGGCTTGTCGTTCCACGCCTTCCAGACCAGCGCGTACGTCTCCGCGTTGGTTCGGAAGCCGTCGATGGAGCGCTTCAGACGCTCCAGCTCCGCCGCCTGCAGCTTCTGCCCGACGAGCGCCTCGACGCGCTGCCGCACCTGGTCCCACGGGTCCTTCTTGGGCGCGGGGAACGCGATCAGGCTCATGGCCACGGCAAAGGCCGCGATGGCGCTGCCGGCGACGGGGATCGCGTTGAGGCTCACGGCCATGACACCCAGCACGGTCTGCGCGATTTCGTTGGGGTTGTCGAGCGTCGCCTTGGCACCGGCCTGGACGGCGGTGAAGGTCTTTTCGGCCAGCTTGGCGGCGAGGTCATGATCGAAGGCCATGTTGGTAGAGCGAGAGTAGAAAGAGTCAAATGGGTTAGATGACTAAAGTTGAGTGTGAGAAAAGAATGTCGCAGTGGATTGCTGTATTTGTGCTTGGTGGTTGGAGTTGGGATGGAAATCGAAGCGAGACCGCGGCCCTTTTATAAACGTCTTGTCCGGCACGGTCTTGTCTTGTAAGTTGTAGATGTCTATATTCGCAAGTATTGAAGAGCTGGTTCTCGTACGGCAACGGCGAACAACCATCTCGTCGCCGCTTCCCGGACGGTAACGTCGACCAAAAGGCGACTGAGCATTGCACCTCGTATCGTATGGTTTTTGATGCCTCCTCAGCCAACTTGAGATTTGCCGTCCGGCAATTGACTGCTATACCATTGCCATTGCCATTGCCATTGCCATTACTATTGCCATTGCCATTACCATTGCCCAGCCCAAGTAACACGCTTGGCACTGAGGCAGTGATCACAAGACTTGCGTTCAAGTCTGAGGCACAAGCAGAGATGTCAGTGATGAAAGCTGTGGAGAATTGTGCTTTTAATAGCTGACATGTCATGCTTTGGCCTTACACGCCTGCCTAATCTGGACAAAAGTTCTTGCCATGTTTTACTAATTATTTAGCGCAGGCCGGCCATTTCTTAACGACATGTATTATACGTGTACATACCCTGGCTGGAGTGTATGTAGCTGTCGGCCTGTCAAGTTGTCGAGTGTGCAACTGCATACAAGTCCGGTCATGTGTATTTAGCTTGTATGGATAGCAACCAGTTTTTTACATTTCAAACAGCGCCGACTCTACTTTACGGCAATATGCGTGTCGATAGCCGTACATCTAGACGAACTGATTCTCGGCGTTCATCGCCGTGCAACGCCTCTCCCGCGCCTTGCCCCTCTCTCCGAGCTCGATCCGAGTCATGACCACAGAAGACGTTCGCGCCCTCTAATAAGAGACCTCATGGACCTCTGTCTTTGAGTCATGAAGGACAGTTGGCATTTGACCTGGAAGGAACCGGAACGAGGACGCCGATTGAACATTTGCCGTCCGATGATGGTGCAGCGATGCCGGACTCGCCGTCCAGCATCGTACTGGTACAGGCACGGCATATGCCAAGATGAGCCAAGCAAGGTACGAACATGCCAGAAGTCTTGATTATGCCAGACGTGCAGATTGACGACTGTGGCGCGCCGACCACGGCAATGAATGGTGCCTGGGCGCCAAGATTCGTCCCGTCAATGCGGGTGCCGCGCCACCCGGGCGAGAGCATCTTGTTCCTGAAAGCGCCTTGCTGTCCCAGCAGCACATGCATTCACAGGTAAATCTGTTGGATAGTGATGTGCATTCGACCCGTCCCCGAACATTGGTAGGCTGAGCGCATAACTAAACAGCGCCATACATGGGCATGGTGTTTTTCCTCCTCGGATTACCGAAAATGGCCCCCAGCCAATGCCCGGCTTTTCGATGAGGGGTTCCCGGTGCTTGCACACTCCCAAAATGGCATGTACACGGAACTGAATTTGTGTATTTGTAGATGTACTTTTGTCTACACCAGCAGCTTGGACACTGCGAGGACATCTTGTGGCTAGGGCTTTCCGACTACTGTAACGCTTGCTCCCGGTGTCGAGGAACTCTGGTCGTCAACCACAGAGACAACATGTTCATGAATGCTGAAACACGAACTAGAAGTGGAACAGGCAGTAGAAATCAGCGTTTCCTTCCCCATAGCCCGGTCTGGAGCCACCAACACCTGCCTTTTTGTCTAGAAAAATAAGGTCCCCAAGGCTTCCAAGTTGGCCGAGCTCACTTGGCACTATCGCATATGGCACCATCGCTTATTGGCCGACCTTTGTCGGTATTGCATGGACGGCAGGTTTACTATTTTGAAGACTAACTGAGCCTCTTTAGCTGCCCGCAGTTCTGCAAGGGAACAAGATGCAAAATGGCAACTACGAGAGGTGATGGGACTATTCTTTCTGCAGTCAACATCAACCTGCGGCGATCCATGACTACAGAGCGCGAGGCATGCCTTCAATAATTGCAGGGTCGGCCTCGTTGGGCGCTTTTTCTGGTCCTTGAAAATTCCCAAGTAATGAAACTGAAAAATCTATCCACTGTTTCAAATATTCCCAAGGTTTGTGCCCATGTGCAACCTGGTCATCGTTTTCCTTCCATGTAGAAGCATTCCACAGCCCAGTCTCTGCTAGTAACTCGGTGTAGCTGCCATGTATTCACTAACACTCAACCACATCAAGCCACCTCGGACACTACATACAAGTTTGGCATGACGGCCGTGATGGGCCCCGGTAAAAAGAACTTGTTGGTTTGTTGGGACTGATGGCTTATAAACTCCGTCCGAGTTATCATAACAATAGTTGGCGGCTAAACACTCGTCATCAAACTCCGATCCCCATCAAGTTGTGCAAAACTGTCTCTCGTTTATTACAACAACCAAGCAGCCATGAATTCTTGCTCGATTCACCATCACCCGATCTTGCAGCATCCTCACACTCGCCCAGTCGAGCCCACGCGCCATGCCCAAGAAACCCCCTCGATAGCGGGCTTTGACAGCCTCTCGGACCAAGTCTTTGTGCGGGATGGCGACCACGATGCCGCCGCCGGCACCGCCGCCACGGATCCGGACGTCGTCGTCATCTACGGCTGGGGCGACGGCCTCCCGCAGCACGTCGCCAAGTACGCCCAGGGCTACCGCGCGCTCTTCCCGCTCGCCAAGCAGGTCGTCGTGCTCTCGCCCATCCCCAAGGCCATGTTCACCAGCCGCGCCCAGCGCCGCGGCCACATGACCCCCGTCGTCGACCAGCTCTTCGGCGGCGCCACCACCTCGTCGTCTGCGCAGCCGCCGCGGAGCCTCCTCCTCCACTGCATGTCCAACACGGGCGCCATCAACCTCGCCGCCACGCTCGACGCCTACCGCGCGCGCTTCGCCGCCGCCCTGCCGCACGCGCTCCTCGTCATGGACTCGACCCCCGGCGGCACCGACCTGACCTGGGCGCGCCTGAAGCAGTGGTCGCGCGCCATGGCGATGGGCTTGGCGCGACTGCTGCCCTGGCCGTTGGTGGCGACGCAGGCCGTCTGCGGGCTCTTCCTGCTGCTCAACTTGCTGTGGCTGCGGCTGCGCGGGCAGGAGCATGCGGGTGCATGGAGCCGCGTGGCTGCGAAGCAGGAGGCGTTTGCGACCAAGGGGGCGCGCAGGCTGTACATGTACAGCAGGGACGACGACCTGATCGCCTACGAGGACGTCGAGGAGCACGCGGACGAGTCCAGGGCGCTGGGGTACGCGGTGGACACGAAGGAGTTTTACGGCAGCGGGCATGTCGGGCACATGCGCCAGCATCCGGACGAGTATTGGGCGGCGATTCACCAATCGTGGATGCGGGCGGCGGCGGCGGCCGGCGTGCATACACCCGTCGCCGATGCCTCTTCCGAGTCCATCGGAGAGCAGAAGTGATGCAACCATCTACAACATGGAAATGGCGATTTGGATTTTCGATTGGACATTTGCAATAATAGAGATATGGACATGTAATTAGAGATGGATGGGGAAGAAGGGGGAGGGGATGTAGACTGCCGCGGCACAGATGGAACGACCGAGAGAGACCTAGATAATGACAAACTCTTGCTCCTCAAATTCAGACCCCAAACCCTCACCGTCCATGTACTGGTCAAGATAGCAATCACCCACCATCACGTACCTGTCCTTTCCCTGCTCGCGCAGCACAAACGGATAGTTTCCCCCGTACAGCAGCACCACCACGTCGCCGATCTGCGCGCCATTGACCACCCACCCGAGCCCCCTCGTCGTCCTCGCGAACCGCCTGTTGAAGCACCACCTCTCGTGCGACCCCGCCAGCTGCTCGTACGCCCGAGTCATCCTCTTATGAAACGCGCGGCCCTCCCGGGACGTCTCGCTCGCGCCCGTCGCCTCCTGCACCATCCAGCGGCACGCGCCCTCGAACGTCTCATCCGCGCAGGTCACCATGCCGTGCAAGTCGAAGCCCAGTAGAAAGTCCGGCCCGAGAGGGGCCTGCTCCCGCGTGCGGCCGCACGCAAACGTCCGCGCCATGGCTTCGCGCACCTCCGGCGTCGGAGCGCCGCCCGGCGAGGCGACGCCGTAAATGTCGAGGAGCGCGGCCCTGGCCTCGCCCATGTGGTGTAGCCGTCTGCTGTGGTTCCGCTCCGGCAGGCTCGTGCCGTGCGGGAGGCTGGCCGTGCCGGCGTCCACCCTCCGCAGACCGTACGTCGGCGCGCCCATGCCCTCGGGCGTGTCGGCCAGCCGCGTGATCGCCCTCGTGCTCTCGATGGCCTCGACGGTCGCCAGCAGCCTACCCCAGACGCGCAGCTCGCCGCGGTCCGCGTCGACGCTGACCCGCGGCGTCGCAGTCCCCGCGGCGCTCGCCCGGAGCCCGCGCGACCGTAGCGGCTCGGCCCCAGTCCGGCACCCACGAGGGGAGGCGCAGGCTCGACGTCGTCGCGGGGAGCATGCAGTGGCTGAGGACGTCCAGCGACCCTGTTTCCTGCAGGAACTCGACGGCGAGACCGGTGAAGACGTCCTCGGGGCGCGCGGCGTAGTCGACCGGCACGCGGACGGACCGGCACGCGAGGGCCAGCACGGCGTAGATCTTGTCGGCCGGCACGGTGCTGTCGAAGACGCGCGTCTCTTCCAGGATGTCGAGGAGCGGGACGGATATCGGGGCCTTGGGCCCGGCGCGGGCGTCGCGCAGCCACTGCATGACGCTGAGCGACTTCATGGCGAAGCTCCGCAGAACCGTGTCCAGCTTGAAGGTCCTGGCAAAGTGCATGGACTGTGCGAGCCAGTCCCAGTCCTCGCTGCCGGATCCTATGTGGACGGTCGCCCGAGTGGCGTTGGCGGCTTCTTGGAGGACCCAGATGCGGCGAAACTGGACTGCATATTAGCATGTCGTGATGTGGTAGAGCGAGAAAGGGGACGCGGATGAACGAACCCAGGCTCGGTTGAACAAGAGCTCCAGCGACTCCCAGTCCAGTTCTGCCGTCTTCGGGTTAGTGAGTAGGCGCTTGCGTATCTCAAAGGTCCGCAGAGTGCTGAATTCCGCGTCGCTGATGGATTCCCTCGCAATGTCCAGGATGCCGCTGAGAACCTGCAGGCCAAGCGACTCGACGCCCGTGTCCTCGCCCAGCCAGATACGCACGTGCGCCGCGCCGGCGTAGATGGCGCCCATGACCAGGACATGCTTGTTCCTCTCCGCCACGTTGTCCTGGTCGATGCAGAGGGCATCGATCCAGATGCGGAGCGGCTCGTCCTCGCTGCGGATGCGTCGTATGGCCCGATGCAGCTCGCCGCCGACCTCTACCGGGGTGCCGTCGCAGATGATGGTGCCGCGCGGCAACTGCCCTCCAAAGGTGACGTACGTGCGGTGAAGCTCGGGGTGATCCAGCATGTCGCGGAAGGGGATGCTGCCGTGCTGTCCGTCCTCGGAGCCGTAGGCGTAGGCGACGAGAGTGTCGTCGGGCGGGATGAATTCGACGTTGGTGCTTTTCCCCCAGCAATAGCTCAGGGCCTCGTACGGCTCGGGCGCGGGCGCATTTTCAAGCGGCATGTGAGAAATGGAGCAGATGATATCATCTTGGAACTTGCCGGGCTGAATGTTGACGATGCGTGTCTCGTGGGGAAGGTTCAGGGCCTGGTATGGGTAGCGCGGCATGGTGGACTGGGAAGATGCGACATGCTGATGTTGGTGAAGAAAGGTGAGAAAGATACAAGACAAAAGATTGAAAATCTTAATAAATAGTTAGAGAATCGGTTAATCTCATGTTGATCGACATGAGAGGCCTCTGGATCAGCCCGAGCGGCTAAGGCGAGCCGAGCCTTGTTACACTTCTGGGGGTGTGACAGCACTGCCCTGCAGCCTGATCGGCAGGCAGATTCGGCATTTGAGAATATGACAATTTAGATCAAGATTCGTTTTTGTAACGGATTATCTTCATCTTCTTGAAATCAAACAAGACAAAACTTTCTTTCTATTATTTGTAAATAAATTCAGCGCACTCCAACCGCCGCCGTCTTCGACGTCCAAGGTTGGAGGCCGACGACTGCAATACGAACGAGCCTTGTAACGAACCCTTGTTCCTTTCTACGTGGCAGTGCCTGCAAGGCGGCAGTACGCACTGCCCCCCAGCGGGACAGATATGCAGGTCAAGATTCGCCTCGCACGCCCTCCTTGGAATGAGGCAGAGAGACCCATGCATCCATCCATCAGGCAACAGCAGGTCTTTGACTCACCTCGCCGAGGACGATGCCGATTCCAACGCCTTTTAAGTCACCGCTTCCTCCATCTTGTGTCTCGCAATCTTGGTCCTTTCACCATCATTCTATTAGTTGACGACTCCTCAGCAAATCCTCAACAGTAGCAGCCATGGCAGTGACTCGTAAAGATTCGGACAACGCCTCCGAGACTGCTTCGGAAAACGCCGTCGACACTCCCGTCACCGATGCATCTCAGAAAGCCGACAACGATTCCAAGGAGGTCGACAGTGACAATGACTCCAAGGAAGGCGACGGTGACTCCAAGGCAGCAGAAAAAATCATCATCGGCATGGTAGCTGAAACCAAGGACGTGTTCGCCAAATTTGATGCCGATGGAAACCGATCCTGGTCCGACAAGCCACCCTCGGACCTTGAAGAAGCGCCGGAGAATGAGACGACGAAAAAATATGCAATCATTGTCCGGAAGAGTATGTACATGCAGGAGCGACGCGAGGGCAGGACTTGTGAATGAATAACTAACACATCACCATAGAAAAGCCGAGGCGAGCGAGCTCTACCAAGCCGCTCGAGATAGACAGTCTCATCATCCAGTCGCCGCTGCTGAAACGCGCCCTCGGCGACATCATGCAGGACTATCCCGGAATCACCACCGACGTTGCGAGACTCAAGTTCTACGCACCGTTCGAGTGCTTCGTCCATCGCTGGGAAGAGTTTGAAGAAGCCGTCGCCGACGAGGATCGCGACGCCACAACCCGCGAGCACCTGCAGCTGCTCCATGCCATCCTCACCGACGAGCTCGGCGCGACGATCCAGCTGCGCCAGGACTACTTCAAGAACAAGGCCGTCGACTTTGAGCACTGCTGGTTCCTCTTCACGCCCGGCTGCACCGTCCTGACTGAGCTGCACGGCCAGCCCATGGCCGCCCGCTTCGACAGCGGAAACTACATGGAGACCGCGTGCGGCAAGTTTTACTCCGTCACCTGCTCCTACATTGACTGGGATGGCGCGCAGGTCGGCTGGGTCGAGAAGGAGGCCCGCATCCCCCAGTTTCTCGGCACCACGCCCTTCTCCAAGCTGAGCTGCTACCCGCTCGAGCACCACCCGCAACGCGCGGCCGTCGAGGAGCAGCTGCGCGGCCGCGGCCGCCGCTGGGAGGCCCTCCGCGGCTTCCACTACAAGGCGTACAGCGGCGTCGCGCTGTACTCGCCGGACCAGAAGGCGCTGACGCGCGAGCGGGTGACGTGCCGCGTCGTGATTGACGGCGCGCGCTGGGACGACGCCAACCCCAGCTTTTCCTTTTATATCAGTGAGACGATTCATGAGGCGGACCAGGCCCAGGCCGACTATGTCATGCCGTCGCTCAACCACTTCCACGTGCTGCTCGCCTCACCCGTGGTCCGCGGCTACGCGCTGAAGAACAAGCGCTGGATGCAGTTCTTCGTCGACGGCATGAGCGAGATCGAGTTCCAGCAGGGCGCATTCGACTCGCTGGTGCTCTCCGAGGAGCGCAAGCGGCTGATCCTCGCGTTCGCGGAGAGCCAGGCGCGGCACCGCGACTCCTTCGATGACGTGGTCCACGGGAAGGGCCGGGGCGTCATCATGCTGCTCGCCGGCGGGCCCGGCATCGGCAAGACGCTGACGGCGGAGGTGGTCGCGGAGCAGATGCGCGTGCCGCTGTACGCGATGAGCGCCGGCGACCTCGGCAGCTCGTCGTACGACGTCGACGAGAACCTGACCAAGCTGATGGGCATGGTCAGCAACTGGAACGCGGTGCTGCTGCTGGACGAGTGCGACGTGTTCCTGGAGGCGCGCAGCTCCGCGGACCTGGAGCGCAACCGCATCGTGTCCATCTTCCTCAGGACGCTCGAGTACTACGAGGGCATCCTGTTTCTAACGACGAACCGCGTGGCGGACATGGACGCGGCGTTTGCGAGCCGCGTCCACCTTACGCTCGAGTATCCGGACCTGGACAAGGCGGCGCGGCGGGCCATCTGGGGCACGTTCCTGGGGCGCGCGGGGGCGACGGGCGTGGGCGATGAGGCGCTGGAGGTGCTGAGTGAGATCAGCCTGAACGGAAGGCAGATCAAGAACATCATGAAGATGGCGCAGCTGCTGGCGATGCAGACGGGATCTGGTGATGGTGTGGCGTTTGTGCATGTGCAGACGGTGCTGAGGATTCAGGGCTATAAGATCCCGGAGAAATAGTTGACGACTGCCTTTAGACTGAGAGAGAGAGGGCAGCAATTTGTAAGGGAGGATTGGGATTTTCTTTGCACGTTGTTGATGACATTGGTAACGCATGAGACTGGCTAGACAGCTCTAGAATGAATCGGCCATGTACACATGGGCGACAAAATAGGACACATTTTATAAACACATTTGGGAATGATGTTTTATTACAATAGCTAGACAGATTCAAAATGAATTTGCTTCAATACGCAGATGAAAGAATTGATCGCGATCTTGCCCGGACAACCGCCCTGCTGTAGGGTAGCTGTGAAGGTGCCAGGATTACTGAACCGAGCTAGGAGGATGAGGCCTAAAAAGGCCGCCTTTATAGCCTCTTGTAAGTTGCTGTCGGTTATCATCGCCCAACTACTCAGTGCAGTACGTGCATTAATCCAAGGACGACCAAGTCCAGCGAACCACAGGAAAACCAGGGCTTGGCAGACCAGGGATAATGCAACCCCGCCCCCATCTTACCTTGATCGGGCGGGCGCGGAGTCTCTGCCACAGGATCGGAGCAGGCAATGAATGCGCTGAATGCGCTGAATGCGCTGAAGGCGCTGAAGGCGCTGAATGCGCTGGATGGAGGGGACCGCCGACCGGGCCCGGGGCTGGCTTGTTTCCCCGCATCCTCTCCCGCTGTTGGCATCCTCCCGAAGCTCCGAGGTAAAAAGCAGCAAAGCAGCAAGCGAGTGCCGAGAGGACCAATGGTGAAGTTAAATAAGTGAATAAAGTATCCGTAGACGTATCCGCAGAATATATACTTATTCCCACCCTCTCTTCCCTTCCCTTTTCACTTCTGTCAAAACCCCTTGCCCAACTCTGTCCCGGCTTCCCCCCCACCATGTCTGGCGTTCTCTACTCCCTCGAGCACTCGCGCATCGCAAAGGCCGTCGGCGGCGTTGTCGGCCTCGGCTTCAACCCCGTCGTCTCCGGCGCGCTGCTCGCCTTCCTGCTGCGCGCGCCCCCGCACGTCCTCGCCCAGACTCTGCAGCGCGTCTCCCTGCCTGCCAACCAGGACCTGACCACGGCCAAGACGGTCCTCCAGGTGCTCTTGGGCATTGGCCTCGTCCGCGCCGTCAACCGCAAGCTCAGCGACATGGCGGCCAACGCGTGGCGGTGGGGCCCCGCGCCCGGCTGGGACTGGCCGCGCGAGGTCGCCGTCGTCACCGGCGGCTGCAGCGGCATCGGCCTGGCCATCGTGCACAAGCTGCGCGCCCGGCGCGTCCGCGTCGCCGTCCTCGACGTGCAGCCAGCGCCGCGCGAGCTGGCGCGCGACGACGGCGTGCGCTACTACAAGTGCGACGTCACCTCGTCCGCGTCCGTGGCCGAGGTGGCCGCCGCGATCCGCGCGGACCTCGGCGACCCGACCATCCTCATCAACAACGCGGGCATCGCGGTGCCCACCAACATCCTCGACATCTCCGAGGACGCGCTGCGCCGCATCTTTGGCGTCAACACCATGTGCCACTGGCTCACCTGCCAGCAGTTCCTGCCGGCCATGATCCGCGCCGACAAGGGCCACGTCGTCACCATCGCGTCCGTCGCGTCCTTTGTCAGCCTGCCGGGCCACGCCGACTACGGCGCGACCAAGGCGTCGGCGCTGGCCTTCCACGAGGCGCTGCGGACGGAGCTGCGCCACGCCTACGACGCGCCCAACGTGCTGGCCACCGTCGTCCACCCCAACTTCGTCGCCACCCCGCTGCTGACGGACTTTGAGCAGCACCTCAAGGACGGCGGCGTGCGGATGCTCACGCCGGAGCAGGTCGCCGCCGACACGACGGAGCGCATCTTTGCGCGCAGGGGCGGCCAGGTCATCATCCCCAAGTCGTCGGCCGGCACCTCGGCCGTGCGCGGCTGGCCGACCTGGCTCCAGGTCCTCATCCACGACGTCCTCGGCGCCCGGACGGCAAAAATGAACGCGGACAAGAAGCGCGGCACTGCCAGAAAGTGACGAGCATGATTTTTCCTTGAGTTAGCTTCCTCCTATTAGAACTTTGTGTACGAATACGAAAGGCTTTACGGCCATTTCTCTGCACGTGGCAATACACTCTCGCTGGCAACATGCTCTCGGTGTAGGCGACACCTATTTCCAGTTTTGGGTTACTGTTAGCTAGGCCAGCCACGGGCAATAAATAAACTACTGACATAAGACATGGCCTTTTCACGCGTGATGTCAACTTTGCTGGCTGATCTCACGAAGAGGATCATGATCCAACCTCCGTCGTTGGCCGTGATGGGGACCGCCAAAACCCAGCTGCCCGAGAGTCCATCAACCACTTCATCGCCTCAACGCGCACACGTTCCGAGTAAGGTCAAGAGTAGTCTATGCGAGAGGCTGAGCTGCATCTCGCTGAAGAAACCTCAGAAACAGCCAGCCACCTTTCTAACAAGGCCTACTGCCACTGCTGCTGTTGGGGGAAGGCGGGAAGATCCTATCCATTCCCGTTAAATATTTTTTTTTTTTTTTGCCTACATGTTATGACCATGTTTCTCAAGGACGTGGCACACAGGAAATGTTTCGTCAGCTATGCAAAGAGACTCCGTATTTGCGCATCATGCAGTTTGTCATCCAGCGGGCAGGGAAATGTCAATCTAAATGTCTCGGCTAGACCCCTACTATTAGCTAATGACACAGAATAGTTGATCTGCATAGCCCAATTCAGCCCAACGCGGATCTGGGCAAGCTCAACTTCCGTTTACTAATAAGTCACCTTGCCAAAGACCAAACGTTGGCACAACAACTGAACAGATTGTTTGAGGAAGCCCATGCTTGCGGTTTGTGGCCTGGGGCTTGATTGCCACAAGTCTCCTCTCCCCTGTATGTTTACTTGTGCATGGGACGGTCGACAATCGCGAGTGTCTCGGAATGATAACCTTCAAGTAAAGACGTAACCCCGCGGCTTGCGATGAAGCAGCAACCCCTCAGTAGCAAGCTACTTGTCAGCGTTGAGCTCCCCGCTTTGAAATCATACGCAGGGTATGTGGTACTTCTGCACTACATGGCGCAGGCAGCCCATCGAGAGACGAGGGGGTGGCATCAGATGTCCCAGGGTAGCCGGCTCGGGCCGTCCACCGAGCAATCTCATTTATGGATACTGGGTAGATGATATACGTGTGCTGCCCGAGCAGCATCTTGATGTCCAGCATCTTGATGTCTGACGATGCCGCGACACGCGCCGCCCCGAGCGTCGATGCCCGAGGCTGGCCGAGTAGATCTACACGTCTGATTGCAAGGACGGACGCACAGTAAATTTGCTAGATTCCTTAATAATTGGTAGAATGTAGATTTCTGTAGGACTGCACCTGAGACACTGCATTCTGTGCAAGCACTGGTGCGCAGGAATCTCATAAATATTCGTAAGAGCTGCTCTCATGTGGCTTGAGAGTATGTAGCTGAATCCTCTCCGTTGCTGCGCCAAAGACATTGCTTTTTGTGCAAGCACTTGGTACGCACTACTCCAATGAGTATTCGTGACAGTTTCTTGACTGTGGCTTGCGAGTATGTAGCTGAACCTTGTGTGTCCCGTATTTTATGCTCTCTTTACTGCAGAAGGCTGCGGCTGCAGTGCTCTTGCCATACATTCGGGCGCAAGATAGAACACACTAAGACATGAACGAGCATCAAGAGCGGGGTTACCTGTGGGAGTAACTTTCTCAACAGCAAGAACTGATGATTGGTGAGTAGATAGACAATGCGCTGAGGCAGGCCGAGCCTGGAAATTGCATAAAAAGAGTAGACGTCCGTCCCAACCCATCCACTCTCATCATCACCTTCATCACACTACTCATCACACTACTCATCACACTACCATCAGACCAGCCTCTTCTTCTATACAAGCAGTTACATCTACTATACCTTCCAAGATGACTACTCCCACCAAAGAACCCCAGGAAATCAGCGAGGAGATGTTCGACGGCCAGACCCCGACCAACAGCGAGACCGTTTGGGTACGTACGTGGATGGAACCAGAGATCGGAAGCCAATGCCAGACAGACGGTTAACAATTTACCACAGGTCAAATGGGACGTTGACAACGGGCGCGACCGGACCATGGACGTCCCCATCGGCACCAGCTTCACCCTGGCCGGCTCTCCGTAAGCAAGCCCGGCTTCCCCATCGGCTTCCACCCCTCGCTAACCGCTCTCGCAGCAAGATTCAGGGCATCGAGATCAAGGGCCGCAAGGTGACGCTCTACGGCTGGGCGTAAGTGACCGGGAGAGCATCCAAAGCAACGTCCACATCGTACATGCTGACGCTTCATCGCAGTGATACCTGGCCGAATGGCAACCCGAGCCTGACTGTCGAAGGACCAACCGGCGGCAAGAAGAAGGTCGATCCGAAGAGAAGAATCGGATCGTACCGCGTCGAGATCCGTGACTAAAGTTGCGGCTTTGTCGGCTCTGCCTCGATTCGCCTCAACCAGGGTCTGACTCTTGAAGAGGAAAACCGGACCAGCTAGTGGCACGACGAACCACGTTGACAGAGTCAACGGTTTGATGTTGACTCTGGTAATGGACTGGAGGCGGCTGTCTGATGCATTGTCCTAGTTTCAATTTAGCTGGTCAGACCGCATGGCTAATAGAATTCAACATGATTGGCAACCCGCCGTTATTTTCCACGCGGTAACAAGTCATAGTAGTAGTGGTCGAGGGTAGGAACTGGCCTGTTGTGCAGCCGCCTCGGTTCATTGGCGCAACGTCTTGACAGTGGCGCTCAGTTATGGCAGTTATGGCGGACAAGCTCTCATCGCCTCGACATGGGTTGACGGGGAGTTTACGTTCGCTGGCTGATCTAGCGAAAAGGATCACAGCCACGCCGTCCCGTCAGAGGTCGATAACTGGACCGCGTGCTGAAAACAAAGGGTCCGTTAATCTAGGCTGCGCCACCAACCGGTGTTTCTTGTACACTAGCTAACTAACTAACAACTTGGTTAGCCATTGAAAGGCATTTAAGCCCTGTCTACGGTAGTTAATCACTTGTCGAGCAATCTGTCATCATAGACAGTAAGGAGAAGGAAGTCCCTTATAGCTTCAGCCTGTCTCTGTCTTGTGGTGCTGTTTCGTCCTGATGCAAGAGCTCTGAGGCGATGCAACTCCATCTGCTACAACCAGCCCGTCACAAGTGTCAGACACCTCAACTTACAAGTGGCGCGGGCCAGAAAACTCAGTCCGGAACTGGCTAGGCGCTCTCGTCTCCCCTCGGGTCCTCGATTCATGAAACTCCAGTTGGCAGTTTCGGCAGGGGCGAAATGGCGGCGCATCGCGTCTTGTCGATCTCCTAACTTGGTATAGTATTAACCCCCCCTTTAACTAAGTTATAGGTTTCTGCGATGCCCACATTTTACATGCTGAAGCTAAGCTTCCGTCATTCTTCGTCCCTTCAACCTTCAACATTCTCCGTCGTTGCCAAGCTACGAGTCGAGGCTATGCCATCAGCGCGCTCAACGCATCGCAAGTCCTCTGCGCGCACCTGAGGCGCTGAGAAACATAAGACGCGCGACAACGATATACGTGCCTCTCGACTGTCTCGACAGAGCTCACATGCGCAGAGCTCTGTTGTGAGGCGTCGCCAAACTCCGCCAATGTCCTTCTTCTCTCGTTACCCGACGACGTCAACGTTGACATAGAGTCCATCATCGACATTCGCTAAGTAATCCTCGGAAACATCAAAGAAGGAAAAAAAAAAGGAAAACGCATCCCGATGCAGGACCTTGAAAAGGACCTGCCTCTCTCAATGGCCATGGCCGGCCTGGCCGCCGTGTCATGGTTCATCGGCATCGAGATCAACGTATCTCTCTTCCTGCTCTTCAAGCGCAAGAAGGGTCTCTACTTTTGGTCGTGCGCGATAGCCTCCTGGGGCGTCATCACGCAGCCCCTGTTCATGCTCCTCGCCGACTTTCACGTCTGGAAGGACCCAGTGCCGGCGCTCGTCCTCATCTACATCACCTGGTTCCTCATGGTCATCCCGCAGAGCTGGGTGCTGTACTCGCGGCTGCACCTGCTCATGCGCGCGACCAATACGCTGCGAATCATAAAATACATACTCATCTTCACCTCGATCGTCTTTGCCATACCGACCATGGTCATCGGTGTGTTGGCTGTAAGTAAACGCAGGGATTTCTCTGCCAAGACAAACCCCATCCCGAGAAGCTGGGCGACTGACTGACACACCATCCAGCAAGCCACAAACGTGAATCCCGCGCTTCGCCGGTTCAACATGAAATGGGACCGCGTCCAGCTCTTCGTCTACTTTGCCCAAGAAACCGCCCTCAGCATGCTCTACATCATCCAGACCTACCGGCACCTCCGCGACGTCCTCCCCCTCCGTCAGCGCTTCTTCTCCCTCTCCTCCTCCGCCACGCGCGACTCGGCGCGCTCCGACGAGCGCTTCTCCGTGCTCCGGCACCTCGCCCTCGTCAACGTCGTCATCATCGCCCTCGACGTCACGCTGCTCGGCATCCAGTGCGCCGACCTCTTCTACCTGCAGGCCGCGCTCAAGCCGTGCGTCTACGGCGTCAAGCTCAAGATCGAGTTCTCCATCCTCAACCGCCTGATCACCATCGTCCGGCACCAGGCGCACCCGAGCGAGCGGGTGGATAGCCGCGGGGGGGTGTATTCGGGGAGCGAGGAGGGGCGGGTAGACATCTTTGACGGCACGGCGCTGTACCAGGAGCGGGTCGGCGGCGCGCGGCACTGGGAGCCGGGCAAGGATCCGGCGTTGCGGTACGAGCAGAGGCAGCAAGGGCCGAGTGCCACGTTGTAATATTTTGCGCCTCGAAGCGAAACTTGTTGCGTCAACGTTCAGGAAGAGGTATTTGCGTGGCAACTGCCGAGAACGTGGAAGAGCAACAAGGTATAAAAGTTTACTTGGTTCGCCACCGTGTTGGCGCTCCGTCCTTGATGGATACGAATAGATAATGCTCCAGTCTTGCTAGAGAGCAGAGTTATTAATAGAACTACAAATTGTGAATAATCGGGACACATGTCGCGCCTACGCGTCTCACATCACAGCGTACGTGTTTCCCATACGTAAAGCGATTAGTCTCCTTTGTGGGCAAGTTGGCTTGCTGCCAAGCAGCTGACAGCCGCTGTTGCCGTGTGTCAGTAAATAACGTCATCTAATTAATTTGCCTTGGCAAGATCGCCATAAACCCGGCGTACCCGCACAGTGATCGTACCGCGGGGTTGGCAGAGATCTGACAGTGCATCTATTGGTCTTGCTGAGCCCCAGGAAGCCCTGGTCTTACCTGTTGGTTTTGTTTTACAATTCCACAAGGTCTCCGAGGATCCAAGGTAACGCCGACTTGCACATTCAACCTCCGTCTACAATTTCTAAGACTTGCGGGCCAAACAACTCGTCCGTTGAGAGGGCTTAACTCGAAACGCGATGGATCGTCGGCGAGTTCTGGCGATCAGTTACCCGTAGGCACATCAGCCGTCGTTGGGCGTGAAAAGTGCCGAGTGGATATATTTGGCAGCGAGCTTCCACATCAGGCAGGTAAGCCAACGTCTTAGACGGAAGTCCGGCATCGGCTTTCAAGCTAGTGAAACACATGTATGGGTTGATTCTCGTCCCTGATATTTTATATTCCGGGCCTATTGTTCCTATCTCTTCTACTACCAGTAAGCTGCCAAGATCTGCGTCGTTGCTACCCTCTGACCCTCCCAAATGGGAATTTCTCGTCGGTTGCCGACCGGCAGCATAGGCCTTGTGTGTCAGGCAATTGACAAAGCATGCTCACTTCTGGATGGAGAAGACACCGATAAATGGGGATGAATAATGCCGTTGACCAACTCGCGAGTCATCAATCTGGTACATCATGACAATTCCGGGAACAAACCTGCCATATGAGGAAGTCCCACGGAGGCGTCGAACGACTGTCCCCGTCTTGGCCCTCTAATAATAGCAAAGAGGATGGCCTGTGCCATGTAAACACTTTAAGTAATAGGAGTCTGTAAGAATACTACCGAGCTCTCGAGACGTCTATATAAACCGACGATGCCCTCGCTGTAATTCCCAAGTCCATCACAGCCCAGCTTCCTCACTCCTCTTCCTTCCACTCCTCAACTCTAGCTACAAGCTACAAGTCGCAGACATGTTCAAGTCTCTGATCCTGGCCCTCGCCACCGTCGGCAGCGTCGCCGCCGCGCCCACGAGCTCCGGCAACCTCGCCAACTCCGTGTCGGTGCCTCAGCACAAGCACAAGCGCGACCTGACCTCGCGCGGCTGGTCCGGCGCCATCCAGGAGGCCGACTCTGGCACCTGGAACTTTGTTCAGGGCACCGTCGTCCTCCCCACCCTCAACGACCAGAACAACCCCAAGGGCTCCGGCGACATCTGGGTGGGCATCGACGGCAACAACTGCGGCACCGCGATCCTGCAGACGGGCATCGTCTGCTACGGCGACGGCTCCTTCTGGGTGTGGACCGAGTGGTGGCAGTACAACATGCAGGACTACGACACCAACCTGGGCGTCTCGGGCGGCGACACCGTCCGCATGACGGTCAACGCCACGTCCACCACCTCGGGCACCACCCTCATCGAGAACCTGACCACCGGCAAGAGCGTCTCGCAGACGTTCACGGGCGAGACCCGGTACCCGCTGTGCGAGAGCGACGCCGAGTGGATCGTGGAGGACTTCCAGGAGAACGGCAAGCCGGTGCCGCTGGTCAACTGGGGCACCATCGAGTTCACCAACACGGTCGCGTCGGGCCCCGGCACCTCGGTCACGGCGGCCGGCTCGGAGCTCATCAACATCAAGCTCGACGACGGCACCATCGTCACCCAGTCCAGCGTCGACAACGACGGAAACGTCTTTGTCAAGTACATCGGCAACTAAGGCAGGCACTTTGCCAGATGCTAGATATTGCAGAACAGGACATGTCCTTTTCTAGGTACATATTTACATATATATATATAGTGTTCACGAGTGTCAATAAACTGGGTTGAACAGAATCAGCAACGTCCATTATCAAGCGTTATAAAATTGTGTCAAATGTGCTTGCGAGGGGGAGTCTGCTGGTCATGCATGTAACATGGTGTAGGTGGTGGAAGAGGCCCTCTGCGGTAACCGCCAGTAAGCACCTCGGCTTGAATCTGCCTGCAGCAGCTCTCTCGACGCCCTTTTTATTAGTGAGTGCCTGGCGATCATGACCAAGGACAAAAAGACTCAGTTCTAGCCTTGGCTGAATATAGTAGGCAGTTCTCCGGATCGCCCAACCCAACAGTTGTCGCGCAAGCTAACGTTGGCGCGGTTTTCAGTAGCTTGGCTGGCGCCACAAGAGCACTCCATTATCGATCAAGCATAAGTTGGTGGGTAGGCATACGTTATGGACGGGGCGTCTTTTATTATGCCGTGGTTTCAGTGTAGTGTACCATATAGCAAGTGGCTTGCTTTCTTGGCTGCGCCTCTCCATTGCCAACTGTGTACATACGTAGTAGGGACGCGTGAACAGGCGGGCGGAATCACACACCATCGAAAAGCACTGTGGCTGCTTGGCTTTCTCCTCGGCACTTTTCCACTACCATTGGCAGGCTCTGCCAAGATGGGCTGAACCAATGTCTCGCATGCTTCAGGCTAGGCATCTGTCACGCAGTCAAGAGGAGGCGCTGCGTAAATTCGTGCAGTTGAAATACACTATTTTCGCATCAACATTGCTGCATGTTGCGGTGGAAAGGGAAGGAACACACGTGTGACACGACGACAGCCCCTCAGATTGCCCACAATGCCTGCGAGATCCATAACGAACGGGGTCAGCGACCAAGACCTCTCATCGGATCCGTTTTCGCAGCTCAGGAGACTCTCAGAAACCGGCGGTACCTCGGACAAGATCTTGCGCGGCTTCTTCATCGGCATCGCCATCGGCGTCCCGGTTGCGCTGGCGTGCTGCTGCTGGTACCCGTGCTTCCGTCGCAGTCGGCAGCGGCGGCGAGCGAGACACAATAGTGAAGCGCTGGCGGCCATGTGAGCGCCGAGGGCCGAGCGCCGAGCGCCATTCAACGATCCGTCCTACCTGATAGTGACACCAACTCGGCAAAGAGAGAGCAAAGCGTTCACTTCATCAAAGGCACCCACGCCCAAGGCGGATTCGGGCGATTGCTATTGATATTAGCAGAAACTGCCTAACCACAACCACTGGTTCAGTGAGTGGGCTTGTCTGCCCCTCATCTGCAGTCAGTCGGCAGCAGGCAGCGTGGCGCAGCATGGCATGTGTCGCAGGCGGCTGTGGCAGCTTATTACCAAGTACCCCAGCCCCCAGCCCCTCCCTACCTGGAGCTGCTGCGTCACCGCACTGTCGTCATTGTCCATTGTCACATTATCACATTGCATCTACTACATCCTTTCTTCAACTTCAGCGACCACGACTACCACCACCACTCCTTCACCACCTAACTGCCTCTTCTTCAGCATTACCCCCTACCGCCTCATCCTTTGCTTTCACACCTCCACCACAGACCCGAACCGACAGACCGACCGCAGCCACTCAACCACGAGCTGTCCGTCATGCTCGACGACAGCCTCCCCACGTTTCGCTTCCAGCCCTCCTCCGACAACCCGCTGCACACCCTCCTCTACTTCACCCACAACGGCTCCGAGCCCGCCGCCGAGTACCTTCTCAAGCGCCCGCCCCCCGGCCAGGCCAAGAACCAGTACGCCCTCGGCCTCGTCGACGTCCACTACTCCTCTGTCATCTACGGCGAGGTCCTGGTGCGCCCGCAATGGACCCAGCCCTCGCTCTCCGCCGCCGAGTTGCGCGCCCAGGGCGGCGTGTCTACCGTCGTCCCCATAATCCCCGATGCGCTGCCCGTGTCGCTCTACAACCCGGACCAGACTGTCCCGCTGCGCCTACAGAGGAGCAGCTTCAAGTCCGACTCCTGGGAGTTTGAGATGCCCGAGCAGACCTTCAAGCCGCCCAGCGCCTCCCAGATCGACCAGGACAGCGCGTCGGCCGGCCTCGCCGAGCTGACCCCCAAAGTGCTGTTCCGCTGGAAGCGCGACTCGCGCCTGAGCAAGGACATGACGTGCTACATGACGGGCCGCAGCTTCGGCGGGAAGAAGAGCAAGGAGCCTGACATCACCATCGCCATGTACCACGCGTCCTCCAAGCAGAGCACAGTGACCATCTACGAGCCCAACATGGCTCGCGTCGAGGTCGAGGACCGCAAGGGCCTCGAGGTCGTGCTGCTGCTAAGCGCCGAGGTCATACGCGACCTCTACCTGATGCCCAAGCAGAACCCCTTCAACACATCCGGCGCCCCCGTACCCGTCGGCTCGACAGAAACGCACGCCGCCACGAGTCCCACGTCATCATCGCCGCCGGCACAAGCGGCGTTCGCGTCCGGTGCGCTCCCACCACCACCACCAAGCTCCTCCGGCCGTCCGTCGCCAGCCGGCGGTCGCGACGCGCAGCAACAGGCTGCCATCGACACCGAGACCAAGCGGCTGCAAGCCATGGTGGCTGAGGAGGAGCGCAAGTCGCGGGACCGCGACCGCCGCGACCAGGAGGAGCAGCGGCGCATCCAGGCCATGCTGGAGCGCGAGGAGGAGGAGCGCCGCCGGCGGAAGCAGGCCGAGGTCGACGAGGAGACGGAGCGCCTGCGGCGGCAGTACGGCCTGCCGGCGGAAACGCCCTCGCTGCCGCCGCGACCCGGGGCGCAAGGCGGCAGCGGTGGGTGGTTCGGCGGCGCCTCGGGACAGGCGGCGCCCCCGCCGCGACCGAACAGCACGGGACCGCCGGGAGGGAGCGGCAGCAGCTACACGATGCCGGCGCAGCAGGCGCAGCAGCAACACGGGCGCGCGTACAAGCTGGGCACGGCGCTGGGATCGCTGCTGCACGGCAAGGACGATAAGGATCACAAGGTGAATAAGAAGCGAAGCGTGCATTTTTAGGATAAATATAGAACAGCAATTTGGATACGACGTGAGATGACGCGAGTACTAATTGCGACAGTTTATGGCATGCTGCCAATCACATGTATAGCGGATAACGAGTTGTGAAATCGTGAATATTAGAATATCATTATACATGTATATTATTATATTATCATTATGCTTCCAACTCGCTGTGTTCCACGCAGGAACAAGAGCTCGACCAAAAACTTTTAAATATCCGGTTTTCCCAATGCAACGCGTGTATATCATTTCCAGAGATGGTTCGGCCCCGCGAGGGGCTACCAGAGTTGTTGCCAAAGTCCAACTTCAGGCGTCGTCAAGAGCGCGAAAGCCATGTTCGCTTAGAGGAGGCGCGAGTTCATGCTCATCTTGACGGCCGACTGCAGCTGGTCGTGCTTGTGCTGCTTCTTCTCCTTCTTGCTGCTGCCATCGCGGGTGGGCGAGGCGGCGCGCGAAGGGGCGGCCGAGGTGGCGGCCGAGGCGTCGGCGAGGGAGTTCTTGCGCGACGAGGCGGCGCTGTTGATGCGGTTCACCTCACGGCGCTTCTCGGCGGACATGAGGTAGGGGGCGACGTAGACGAGCTCGGCAGAGTACATGTTTGCGAGTGTGTGTGTGTGTGTGTGTGTGTGT